CGTTACCCACTCCTAGCTCCGCAACAGTTGTTTGACTGTCTATTAGAATCTTTTCCGATGTCAACCTGTTACACCTTTTAAACTGCGCACTCAATACACAAATTAGTATAGTTTGGATGGCACAATACAGGACTATACTAACCAACAGCCTAATCAACCAAGAATGTCACAGGTAAGACAGACTTCTACAAGAAACACAATTTTCGGTTTCACTTTAAGGCCAATGTGATCACAATTATAGTATTCAAGTTCCAAACACTCAAAGTAACAATCGCACAATTCTCAGATTGTATTTCAAAACTACAGGATTGAACAATTGAAACATCAACCCACTATAATCAATGAATTTGTACAAAACAGATCACAACATATCAAACAGCGCAAGTAACAGTCTTGTTAACACCAATCCAGTTCAAGATTTCGAAAAACAGTGGACTATTGTCAATTTTTCGACAAAACTAGAGAACATAATCAACTCAGATTCAATCCTTTCAACATAACAGAGAACAACTCGCGTTTTCAAGATTTGGGAAAAATACAGTTTCAATCCTTAAAAAAAAAAAAAAAAACAGTTTATAAGGACTTGACTCAAGTTTTCACAAAAAATAGAAAACAAACCACGGTTTCAAGTTTTATCCAAAACAAAAACAAACCGAGATTTCTCAATTTCGAAAGAAACAGTGAGTTAGCCACCTAAAAGCTCTGATACCACTTGTTACTACTAATCCAAGATCCAATAGGCTATATTCTCTCGAAATCAAATTAACATCGAAGAAAACTTAAAGAAAACTTTGATTTATTACGGAAGCAACAGTTCAAACTCAGTTTACCCTAATATCAAACCAACCGACATCAATCACACATCCAAGACCCAACTACAAACGACACGCCACGGAAACGCAACAAACACACAAACCCGAACCCTTATCTACGGAAACACAATCGATTTCAAGCCTATCACACCGCGAACAGCATATACATCGCGAGACACACATAAAGGCACAAATCGATTAAACCAAACCGTAGAAACACCGAGGGAAGAGGCGCGCATCAACGGGGAAGAGGAACTCCCAACTCGCCGGACAGATTCACCGGAGAAGGCAGACGCGATGACGAAGGAATCGCCTAGGGCATGAGAGAAGAATCGCGAGAAGGTTCTGTTATGTATCGTATGTTCTGGAATGAAGTGTGAACCGGTTCAATGGATCAGCCTATATATATAGGACAGAACAGACCAGCGGTCCAGACCGGTTCAAACCGGTCCAGCCCGGATCAAAGCCAGGCAGCTTGCGAACCGACGAGTTTCTCAAAAGATTGGGTCGGGTAGTGGGTTGCCGGGTCCGGGCTTCAATTTGGGCGGGTTGGTTGTGTGCATTCTAGGCCTCAATTATCACGGGCCAAAATATATAACAATATTTAAACTGTAATTATTATATCAATTTTTATTATTATTTTATTCTATCTCATACATAAAATAAATAATCATTTAAATCATTATAAAATAATATAATTTTATCCTTAAAAATAAAAACACTCTTAGACCGACAAAAACTATATTGAAATTTAAGAAATTTATAATATAATTTAATAATTCAAGATTATATTAATATTTCTAATATTATATATATATATATATGTATATTTTTAGGATAGATATTTATGAAGAGCATGTTAGAACATGATCGAGTGTCATCATCACACCAACAACACAATATATTTATAAATCTAATTTGATTTTTTAAGTAATTAATGCCATAAAAAGTGGAATGCCATAAATAAATGACACGTTTCAGCTTGTCTAAAATCATCTTTCGATTATCCTTCCATGCAAATCAATCTTCAATTGCTTTTCACATGGTTCTTCTAGGGTCTTTATTATTATTATTATTATTATTATTTTGTTTTAAATTAAAAACATTGTTATTCAATTTTTATATGTTAAAATATATTTAGAAGCAATATATTATATTTATAATAGTTATTTTATTTAAGAGATTTATAAGATTCTTGTCTTATTTAGATGATTTGTATTTCATTATAAATATGTACGTATTTATATAATTGAAATAGAGAATTTTAATTTCATATTCTAACAGCATAATTTTTAATAAAAATATATTGTTTTATAATAAAATAATATCTTTAAATATAATTAAATAGTAGTATAATCATATCCTTCAAAAGACAATTATTTTAAAAATTAATGCGCCAGACAGTTTATATTAAGACTCAAGAACTTATAATATACCAACCCTGGTATTGATTGATATAATTGGACCGATTTGGATTTGGGCTAGCCCAACTATTGAAGGTTATTTAAATATGTTCTTGCACTTTTTTTTTTTTTTTTTTTTAAAATAATATGGGAATTCGTCGTCGCTATCCGAAATTGCGCATTGGATAAGCCTCGACAGCCGAATCTAATATCCTACAAACTAAGCTCGACAGACAAGTCACGTTAGGTAAACCTGTGTGACAGATGGACTTGGAGACTTGGAGTTTGAACCCATATATTTCAACTCAATGTATTTTATTATTATTATTATTATTATTATTATTATTATTATTATTATTATTATTATTTCGTCATTCCTATTTAAAATATTTATTTTTAATTATAGTAAAATTAATTATATATAAATATTAAAACAATTAATTTTATAAAAAATATTCATTTTATTTGTATTTTTAAGTACAAAAATATTAAAATTATTTTACACATTTTTGTTAATAAATAAAATATTACTACATTTTTTAATTCACAAAAAAAAATAAATGTATATTTTCTATTGAAACGAAGAAAGTAATAATAAATATTTAAATTTAATATTTTTTTTTGAAAAAATTTTAATGCAGTATTTTAAATGCAGTATACTCCCTCTATTCCACTTATCATGTTCACATTGTCGTTTATGTCCGTCTCACATCTCATGTCATTTTTCTTTTTCGGAAAATGATTATATACTTTAATTTCATTTTAAATTTTCTAATTTAATTTTTTTTAATTTTAATTAAATTAATTAGTTATCTTAACCTTAATTTATAATTATTTATATTATAAAATAATTATTTTCTCTAATACATTTTTAATTATCTATTAATTATACCCCTAATAAATTCTCGTGTCTACAGTAACGCGGACAAAATATCCGAGACGGATTGAGTATTATTTTTTAAGTCATATCAAAATATTATTTACACAAAAACTTAAATCAATATTCGTTACAAATTTATTTCAAATAATAAGTAAATAAACAAGGTTTTGGGTATGCTCTAACTTAAGTTGAAGTATACATTTACAAAAACAAAATAGCCTTTTAAGTAACACTTTATACCTACAACAAATATAATATTGGCATGTAATTTCTATTCATCTGTTCGTTAACATAAGAAAAATTTTATATAATAAATAAGATATAAAAATTATATAGTGTACTTTTTATAACACACATTATTATAGGTATTTTTTTTTTTAAAAAAAAAGTAATTAATTATTATTATTTAAGTTACACAATTTTTAATAAAATATATATTTCTTCTTATAAAAGAACACATAGAAATATTAATTAAAATAAAATTTATTTATTAAACCCTCAAAATATACTTTACCTAAATAATAACACACTTGTTGAATCTTCATGGAATCTTATCCTTTTTGTCTTAAGGAAACCTTCAAATCACAGAGCATTCAAGATCATGCATACTTACATACATACAAACAAACCATTTTTTGGACTTTTATGAATAATTCCAACACTTGGTGGCATTTTTTCACGCCTCAAATATTAATTAAGCCAACTCGACTATAGCAGTTTCAAGACATGGCCGGTCCTGATTTTCGAAAGGTCCGAAATGGACCAAAATGAAAAATTCTTCAATATATATGAATGACATTTTTTTTTATAATAAAATATTAATAATTGAATAAAATATTTCTTATGTTGATATTTTTAAACGCAAAAATATTAATCTATCTCGTACCATCCAATTAAATTCTTTTAATATTTGATAAATTTCAAATAAATTATATATATATATGTATGTGTTTTTTCTTATCTTTGATCTTTCTCTTGCGACTCTTGTCCACCTTACATACCCTCTTCTACTTATTATTATTATTATTATTAAATTTGTGGTCACTAAATATTTCCACGCTCATCAAGAATCTACAATAGGTTACTTAAGAATCTCTAGAATTTGCTTTTTTCTTTTTTTTTTTTAATTGATAAGAAATATAAATAATACTCTCTCCGCTCCACATATCATATCCACTTTGTCGTTTCTGTCTGTCCTACATGTCACTTTTATTTTTTGAAAAATAATTACACATTTTAATCTCATGTTAAGTTTTTTAATTTTATTTTTATAAAAAAATGATTACACACTGTATGGATGGAGGTAGTACTATTTAACATTCTAATAAAAATGTGTCTTCCACCAATTTCAAGATTATATTTATAAATGAGTTTTTTGGGTATATTAAGTGATTTTTTTTATTATTAATTTTATAGAATCACAATCAACTGCAAACCAGGCCACGGTCACAAGTACAATCCTTGCACGGACTGAATTCGTACGTATTTATTTTTGAATTTTTTTCAAAAGTCTCATAATAATAAAATTCATTTGAAACTGTGTGAAATTTTCACAACAACTTTCAATATTCACCCAACAATTATTTTTTAATAACTTTTTATAATATTCTATTTTATTTTTATTTTTATCAATCTTTTTTTTTTTTATAACTATTATAGATAAACAATACTAAAATAAAAAAATTGTCTACGTAAAATAGACCCTCTATAATTTAAATAAAAATTTAAAAAATGAGATATAAATCAAACATAAACGGAATAATTTAACTAAAATTGATTGAAAAGAAGAGGATGTGAACACTCTAGATTATCCGCCGCCTTATATTACAACGCAATCCACAAGTTTATCCTGTCCGCGTAAACACAGGTTTTACCAGAGTGTCTACGTAGAGTGCCACGTCATACGTGGGCCCACAAATAATGGAGAATAGACCATGCTCCGAGACCACCTACTCTTTCCCATGGGCCAATCAAAACCGCCTGTCATCTAAAACTGCTACTCTCACCGCCCGTCACCCAAACCTACTTTTGCCCCTCAGAAATAAATTCAACGTAACCAGAGGAAACAGAGAGGGTGGGTTCCGATCGCCGGCGCCACCATCCATGGCGGCCATCTCTCTTCAATCTCTCCTTTCCCTCTCCAAGCCCAGGCCCAGCATCCCCCACCCTTTCCTCGCCCCCACCGCCCGAATCTTCTCGAAAACTAACCACAGACAGTTTCATCTCACCGGCGCAGTTGCGGACGGGCATGACGTCATCCCTGTGCAGAGCGACGATAGAGTGGACCATCCGGACGGTGTCGTTTTGATGGAAATGGAATCTGATGCGACGGAGGTGGAGCCGGCGGTGGGAGGCTTTGGGGCCGAGGCATCTGGGATGCTGTCGTTTGAAGGCGCCGCTGGGTTCTCCTCCGCTGCTGCTTCCGCCGTAGACGAAGAGAGTCGCCGGCCGGAAATCGAGAGGCTCGTCGATCGGACAATCAATGCTGCAATTGCACTGGCGGCTGGCTCTTTCGCAATAACGAAGCTCCTCACAATTGATCAGGATTATTGGCATGTGAGTTTTATTGTATATACTGTTCTTGTTGCTTGGCTAAAATATTTGGGGATTTTCGATTCTAGGTTAAAATGGTTGAATCTGATTTCGGGATTTATTCTCTGGATTCAGTTTCAATTGAATGATCTAAATCCTATTGTCTCTATAACTGAACATTTTTGGAGATTTTGGGTTGACTTGTTTAAATTTGAATCTAATTTTTGCATGTACGAGGACAATGTTTCGATTTCTTGATTGTGAAAGTTAGTCTTAGCAATGTTAATTGAATAAAGGAAAACTAATTAGCATGTGAATTACGAACATTTTCTATCCTTAGTCGAATTATACAGAAATTTGGCCTATCAATGATGAACCTGAATATCAAAAATGAGTTTTTAAGTTAAGAACATATGCTTAAAAAATGTAGGGATGGACGTTGTACGAAATATTAAGATACGCCCCGCAGCACAATTGGAGTGCATACGAGGAAGCTCTGAAAACGAATCCGGTCTTGGCGAAAATGGTAATAAGTGGGGTAGTTTATTCCCTCGGGGATTGGATAGCACAGGTAATGATTGATATCCTACTTTGCAACCAATGTTTCGATCGAATATGGCCTAATGTTAGTTGTCGATGTCTCTGTCTCATAATTTGCAGTGCTATGAGGGTAAGCCTCTGTTTGAGTTTGATCGTGCTCGTATGGCTCGATCAGGGCTGGTCGGCTTTATGTTGCACGGATCTCTTTCTCATTATTACTACCAGTTCTGCGAGGTATTATTGCAGTTAAATGTCTTAATCTTTTTCTATTTTGGTTGTCTAAAATCTGATCCCGGAAAATCTTGTCTATGCTTCGCACTTAGGCTTTATTCCCTTTCCACGATTGGTGGGTGGTTCCTGTTAAAGTAGCCTTCGATCAGACAGCCTGGTCGGCAGTTTGGAACAGCATTTACTACACCCTTCTAGGATTCTTGCGACTTGAATCACCTGCCACGGTGTTTGGCGAGTTGAAGGCAACCTTTTGGCCCATGTTAACTGTAAGAACTCAAACTCTTGTTCGATTCATGTCTAGAATCAGTTGAATGTTAGATTTATAACTTTATTAACAGATTTACGATAGAGTACGTGCCTGTAAATAAAGTCTTCCTCACTAATTGTTTTCAGGCAGGATGGAAGCTATGGCCCTTTGCTCATTTGATAACATACGGCGTAATCCCAGTCGAGCAAAGGCTTCTTTGGGTCGATTGTGTGGAACTCATATGGGTCACGATCCTGTCAACGTATGTCTTAAATCCCTATATAGTTACTATTACTTTCGCCCGGACATTGCTACTTATTACACATAATGTCGTGAAACAACAATTTTGTTTGGTTTGATGTATTAGTGTTTTTTCTCGAAAACTTTTCTTCAACTATTTCTAGCCAAACACTACATAGCGCGAACTTTGTCTGAATCAGTACATTGAGAATTCTTGTTTGTTGGCAGTTACTCCAACGAGAAATCTGAAGCCCGGATAGCTGAAACTCCGGTGGAGGCGAGCGCCACTTGTTCGACGCCTACATTACCGGAGGAGATGATCAATCAGCAATGACTGATTATTGTTTGCAGGATTCGGACATCATTCCTGGTAAAGTGATCCTTAATATGTCTATATGTGTTATGTGTATTGTATTGTGTATGTGAATGTATCATTGAGGTAGCCCTGTGTAAATTTTATTTTATTCCTTTACATTTTTCTTATTCCATGTCTACACGTGGCCAAAAAAATCGAATCAAATAGATTTAAATATTATTTTTTTCGTCTCAATTCAATCAATATAGTAACAGTATTTTATATACAAATATTAAAATATTTATATTTTAGCAAAAAAATCAAACAAATAACAAAAATATGATTATTTTATTTTTACTTTAATAGAATTCAAATTTGAATTTAATTAGTGTTTATCGAAATTTAGTGATATAAATATTGAATGATTATAACCCTAATTTACTATTTTTTCTCATCTCAAACATTCTCTGTTCATGGCGATGGCAGCAGCGAAGAACATTATAGATGAAAATCGTGCATCATGTGAAGTTGTCTCTGCCGATGTTCTAGAACTCATTCTCTTCCGACTACCCGTCAAATCTCTCCTCCGACTAAAATCTGTCTCCGAGTCATGGAACCACACCATCTCTAATCGAGACTTCGCCATTGCACATCTTCGTCGATCCAAGAATTCATTGTTTCCCTCTCGAAAGAAGTTTCTTTTCTGGGACTTCTCTAACCTTTTGGAGTTGAAAAACAATGAATTGAAGCCATTCTGGGATCACAAAATAAATGGTTACATTGTGTGGCAATGTTGCGACGGCCTACTACTCTTATCTAATTATGATTCCAGTGGAAACATGTTTGTCGCCCTCTGGAATCAATCGGCCAAAACGTATACAAATTTAGGGTTTCCTTTTCCATCTCCCGAGTATATATTCACATGCGGCATCAATTTCGATTCCTTATCGAAAGATTATAAAATACTAGTCACTGATTTGGAAACATATGCAGTGTTTAGCAACAAAAGCGGGCGTTGGAGTGAGTTGAAAGAAGTGAAAATAACCATTGGAGAGGACATTAAAAGCTTCCCTTTGGATGGTCATATCTGTTGGATTTCTCAAGTTGAAGAAGAACATAGTTATACTATTGAAATACTTCTCTTTGACTTCAAGCACGACAAGTTCTGTAAATTTTTTTACGATATAGGGCGATTGATATTCGACTGTAGACTAGTTCATTCTCCACCTGGTCAATTTTGCATGATACTTGCCGATAATTTTGACAAGGCCCGTGTAGTGTGGAAAAAAGCCGGCGGCGAATGGATGGAGTTCAACGACGTGCCGGTTCCGGTGATGGAGTGTCATTCGGAAATGCACTTGACTGAAGATAAAGAGCTTATATTCACCTGTGATTGTTACGGCCCCCCTTATATTTTCACGATCTATAATTTGATTGAAAAAGAGAGTAGAGAAATTTCGAGGCCAGATGGTACATTTGGTCCATGCCATTTGTTCATATATGTAGATAATCTCTTCTTTAGTGGTAGCACAAGTATCTAACTTTCAATCTGAATTATTATTATTTTTTATTTATTTATTTTTTAAATTTACAATTTGTTTCATTTTAGGCACGATCATTATTGTTGTTTATATTGTGGTTGTTTTATATTGTTGGATCAAATTTAAATAGAGTGGGGCCAGATTTGATTAATTAATATCTTAAACAAAGATTTGGAACTATAATGGTCGTTTCGATTTTTTTGTTATATATATTTTTTTCAAATTTATCTGAATTTTTATTTTTTTTTTTGTTTTTTTTAAAAGAGGACAAAAATATGCTCGGCATTTATTAAATTGAAAAAAAATAATAAAAAGAAATAGTTAAACCGTATAAGATGTAGGAGAGGGAAGAAGGATTGCATAGGAAAGAAGCTATTTTTGGACTAAATTTATTAGTTACTCTTTCCGTCGAATACGTAAACAAACAGTAAGATAGAATATGATAAATAATTGATTAATAAGTGATGAAGTTAAGTAGATAGAAAATTTATTAAATAATTTGATTAAAAATAAATAAATTAAAGTAATAGAAAAGTAGTGGTAAATTAATTATTATATATTAAATAGAAATAATAAAATGGTAGATAAATAAAATTAGTTATAATAGTATTATTTTATATTTTAATCAAGTATATTTATCATTTTTTAGGTATTTCAATAATTTATTATTAGTTATATTAAGAAAATATAATTTTATATATAAAAATTTTGATCGACCGACAAATATGCATGATAAAATGTCTAAGAATTTTTATTTTCTAATTAAAATAAGAGATTTCATATATTAATTGGAGTTATTAGAATCAGTGTACATGTAATGCATGCTTTACAATAAAAAAAAAAATAAAATAAACGTATAAATATGTTGATTTTTTCATATTAGTAAAAGTACACATATATACCAATGTGTTTGTATCTTTAAATATATATGACATTTAAAGGTTACAATAATATGTATTTAAATATCTAATATAAAATTGATTAATTTATTTATAAATTAATTTTATAAAAAATAAATGAATTATTTTGAATATATAAAAATATATTTATATATTAATAAAAAGACAATATTTTCCGCAACCAACATAAAATAATTCGATTTCAAACGTCACTATTTTTCAAAAAAAATGGATCAAATTAATATTCCAACTAAAAATAAACAAATTTAAAACAAACGAACGAACATAAACTAAACCTATCTCAAGAGGTACCGACGAAGAAAAGATTATCTATGCATCTAAACAAAAAACACGAACAATAATAGTTACGATTTGGCTTATAAACCAACCTATCATTTCTCTCGATCAAATGATGGACTATAAAAAAATTCCGCAGCAGCTCGAAATATAAGCTCTCCATCGTGGGTCAGGTACATCTTCGAACGACATATCTCCCACGGAATTTGAAAATCGTCGATCTCCATCCATTTGCCGCCGGTTTTCTTCCACACAACGCGGATCTTGTTAGTAAAAACGTCGCAAATTATCATGCAGAATTGGCCCGGTGGAGAATCGACAATACGATAATGTAAAGCATTCTTGTTTCTGAATCTTCCCCTTACACCGTAAAAGAAGTTTATAGAATTTGTCGTGTCTCGGACTATAAAAAATTATTTTGATATTATAACTATCGATTCTCCCTGTTTTGATGACTTTATTGCTCCAACAGATCATATCGCCATCCGAAGGGAAGCTCTTAAAATCAGCTCCAATGTCCGTAATCTCAACCTTCTTCGGCTCGTTCCAACTCCGGTTTTTGTTGTCAAAAACGGCGTATTTTTTCTTCGTGGCGATTAATATTTTTTAATCATTCGATAATGGATCAAAATGGATGCGACGTACGAAGAAGAAGTCACGGCGCTCAAGAGGGAACCCCAAATTTGTAACCGTTCTAGTTGAGGGATTGCAGAGAGCCAAAAAGGGCTTTCGGATGTTATAAGTCGAGGACATGAGTATTAGGCCGTCGCAGCATTGCCATGTATAGATTTCGAATGAATAGCATTTGAGTTTGAGGTCGAACAATGGTTCACTTCATCGTTCTCCGATTCTAAGAGCAGTTCCGAGAAACAAATATGTCTAGACGTGACAATGAAATGAATTCTTGGATAGATTGCGATGCATGAGGGCAAAGTCCCGAGTCGAAATGGTGTGGCTCCATGACTTGGAAATGGATTTGAATCGGAGGAGAGACTTTACCGGAAGTCGAGCTAGGATGAACCTTAGAACATTGGCTTTACAACTTCACTCGAGGCTCGATCTTCATCAATCAATGTCTCTATCCACAATTTTGTAACTTTATGATAATATATAAAAAAGTGTATCTATCTTTTTATATTTTTATAACAATTCTATTCGATACAAATTATTAAAAATAAATACACTAATTAAAATCATATCTATGGGTTTCATTCTCGCGACCAAAGAGCAAGGGAGTGTTTTATTATTGGTTTGAACATAAGTGAGCATTATACTTTTATTTATTTTATATATATATAATTTTTTTAACAGTGACTCATATAATCTTCTTGTTAAATACAAAAATATAACAATAAAAAAATAAAATTCAGATTTAGGTTCGAACTAAATTTTTATATTCTGAAAATTCTAAAGTATAGTGGATACAATGCAAAATATTTTTCTATCAAACAATAATATTTTAATATTAAATAAATTAACTTGTTTGATTCAAAAATTTGTTGGTTGAATTTAATTTGAGAGCATATCTTATAGTCACATGTACCGTTATTCATTATTTATTATTTTTTTAAAAAATTGATTACCTTCCAAAGAAAAATTTAAAAAATTATTAAATATTATTAAAAAAATTTTAAAATTAACTGAAATTATCTAATATATATTAACTTATTTGAATAATTTCAATTTTTAAAATAGTAAATTATATATTGAAATTTATATAGATTAAAATTTAAAAATTTAATATAATATTATATAAAAATATATAGAAATACGTATAAGTAAATAAATAGTTTATATATATTATATAATAAAAATATATAAAAATAAATAAATTAGTATAACTCTTGTAAAATAGTAAATGTAATGTATTGAAGGTGATTACTATAACCAATGATAAAAAAAAGTAATTTAAACTATAGTGAAAAATAAGTATTAAATTGCAAAATAAAATGTAATATTCCATATTTGTTCTATTTTTTCAATACTATTTTTCAATTGCAATTTTTCAAAACACAGCTTTCAACAATACTTTACTCGGAAAAAAAAAAAAAAAAAAAAAAGAAAAAAAGAAGTATTAATTATTATTATTATTACCATCGTAAAGGTGGTTGCAACTTGCAATTATAGTTTAGATAATCATATAAAATGGACCCAAATTAAATTAATAAAATATCCTATTGGCGTTGGGAATTTAGTCATATGTCATTACCGGCGGATTGTCACTATTTAACCACCTAATTAAGCCCATTATTCAAGAATCAAGGTTACGTACGTTTGTAGGTTTTTAATTAAATTTTTATTCTTTATAAAAATTAATTTTATATTCAAAATTTTATAGCGATAGCATTTTATATTTTGTTAAATAATTATTTTATTTTAATTTTTTTTCTTTTACTATTTAAACTTAAAATTCCAAAATTAAACTCAACCAACAAATAGAGTTAAACCACTTAGTTTAATACTTTTTTTTAATTCACAGGAAAAGATTACATTTACTTTTGTCACGAAAATTTAAGAAATATTGTATTGATGAATTTTTAGGTTAAAAGACAAATTTGTCATTTAACCTTATTTGTAATAAAATGATATTTGTATAAATAAGTATGATCGAAATGGTATTTGTAACGAATAGTAAAATAGATAATTATTAAAATAAAATATAACTTTTGTAAATTGATGTCCAAAAATAAAAAGTGTAACTTAGCATGATGAAAAAAAAATATAATAAAATAATATTCTCCATCCGTCAAAATTATGAGGCACCCAAACTAAAAAAAAAGTATCTTTAATATAAAATTAGATATGTAAAAAATAAATTGGGATATAATGAAAAGTTCAATAAGGGAGAGAGTGTGGGAGCGTTAACTTCTTTGGTGGTTTGAATTTTGAATTGGGATTTGAACAGTAAAAATTTTGAATTTGAATAGTTGTACGATGTGATATAAATAGGCGTTGATGTGATGTTTTGAATGTAAAATTGATTTTTAGTATAATATAAAAAATGAAAAATAGGTATTTGATTTGATATTTTTGGAAGAAAAAAAATTAAATAAATAGTAAAATTTTGCACAAATCTTACAAACGATGACACCCTTAAATGTATCTTCTCAAAGTGTTCGTCAAGGCAAATCTACCTATAGAAGGCTAATGAATCAGGGAGGCTCTACGATTCCTAAGGATGATTCATATTCCATCGCCGAATGTAAGCTGGCCTTCAATAAATACACTATTTTCACAACCCGATAGAATATCTAAAGACACCCGTTTATACCTTCATTAAGGTAAAATGTAAAAAAAATGATCTGACAGTGTAAGAATAAATCATTTTAGGACCATATAGTGTTTTGGGGTATACTTTAATTATTTTTACTACAAAATATTTATATATTTATTAATTATCCTCTCTTTTTCTTTTTTTTTTTTTTATATTTTTTTTCTCTCTCTCTTGATTGCTACTTGTCATCCACCGTGAGGACATGCGACCCCTCTCTCTTTGCACCTAACATTAATCTCTTATCTCCATCACCAACCCATTGATTAATTACTTCTTCTTCTTCTTCATTCCCCCTTAAGATTAATCCTCCCCACCCCTCCCATGGCTGCAGGCACTATTCTATTCTGGTTAGAACCCCATTGCCCTTCTTCTCTCCTTCCCTCTCTTGTCAGAGTGAGAGCAAGAGTGAGAGTGACAGCCAAGCCAAGCAAACCAGAGATCTTCTCACACTACACGCAGCTATGAGTGATCTGACCTGCCTCCCATTCCCATCTCCATTCCCATTTCCAAAGCAACCAACAACAATGGCTATCATTACAAATAATCTCAACTGATGAAACCCCCCTCTGATTTCTCATTTCTGATTTCTTCACGTGAGAGCATTTTTTTATATATTCATTCATCCATGGTGGTGTACTGTTCTTGGTGGGATTCGAGAATCTTGATTTATATATATATATATAGCTCGTTAGCTTTCGCTTCTATTCCATTTCTGGGCTTTTTGTAAAAATGGCTATTGATTCTCGAGCCCTCCTCGATTACGCCTTGTTTCAATTGACACCCACAAGAACCAGGTAATATTTACAATCTTTTTTTCTTTTCATCCTCGATTCTTAGATTAAATTAATTTAGGGATTTTATATTAATTTGAAATTGAAGGTGTGATCTGGTGATCTTTTGTGGGAAGAAGAGTGAGAAAATTGCATCAGGGCTGTTGGAGCCATTTCTTTCCCACCTCAAATCTGCGAAAGATGAGATTTCGAAAGGGGGCTATTCGATTACTCTCAAACCCCCTTCCGACAACTCTCCATGGTTCTCCAAAGCCACTCTCCAAAGGTACATTCGTTCGATCAATACTACATTCTGTGCTGTCGTTTTGATTTGATCTGATACCATGTTTCGTGAATGTTAAGGTTTGTGAGGTTTGTCAGCACACCAGAAGTTCTTGAAAGATTCGTCTCCATCGAGAGGGAGATTGATCAGATCGAGATTTCAAACGATCACGGTTTGTTCGTTGATTTGCCTTCAAATTTATGTACATTATTGTTGTTGTCTTGTGATTCGTTTTATATTGTAGACAAATATATATATATATATATATCTGTGTTATATTACTTTTTTTTTTTTTATGTATATTATTATCAATTAACAGGCAATGCCTCCGGCGGCAGTCACTCTAAGGTAATTCTCAAATGCTACAAATGCTGTGTTATTTAGATTTGTGTTTGATCCACAACTTCGATGGAAAGATTTAACTTTGGTGTGAACATTTTCTTACCATCAGTCGAAATCCGAATCCAACGGCGAAGCAGAGGAGAATCACAAGTAAAATCCTTTGTCGAATCGAATTTGTTTTGTTTTGATTAATGAAACTACGATTGGTTGCTGCAATAACTCTGCATTGTCGTCGACAGGATGCATCTTCAACGTGTTCTTGAATCCCGAAAAGCCATGCTCAAGAAAGAGCAAGCTATGGCCTATGCTCGCGCTTTGGTTGCCGGATTCGAGCTCGATGAATTATACGACCTCGTATCTTTCAGCGACTATTTCCAAGCTCTTCGTCTAAAGTATGAATCAATTTCTCTTAGTTTCGATCGATGATGATTTTTGAGTTCTTGTAAATCTTTTTAGGTAAAACTGGTTTGGAAAGTATGTATCATTCTCTTCGTGATTTAAAGATCGCATCAAACTCTCTTGTATTTTAGAAAAAACTACACCGAATCCATTTAAGGGATTTTGTGCAATATTTTCGAAAATACAAGCGATCTTTTTTTAGTGGATTTTGTGCAATATTTTAAAAAACACGTCACGTAATTTATAAGATGGATATAAGCAATTTTGACGTCTTTTTATTCGATTTTTTCTATGCATCGTGTTTCTAGGGAGGCTTGCATGCGATTCATCGAGCTTTGCAATAAGAAGAACAGCGATAAGATCTGGATGGACGAAGTTGCAGCAATGCAGGCGTCGTATTTGGGAGCTCCGGGAACGATACTCACCGGGGAAAGCCACGAGCTTCATCCGAACTCAATACCTAAAAGTTCGACGCCAGACTCAATCACGAGGCATGGAAGCTTAGATACTAGTGAAGGTATACGCCTAAATATCTCTGTTTCCGTTGTTAGTTACCCAAAAGTTTACAATTTCCGAATGCCGATGTTCATCATTAGATTCGTAACACTATTGCTCCATCAATGATGATGATGATGAGACGAACAGAGAATGCATCGGCGATGGAATTCAACGCGCAACAGACCGAAGGAGTCATTCCTCAAATGGCGCCATGGCCGCAGTATCCTCTTTATATGCAAAATGCTCGAGGGCAGATGTTTCCTCAGATGCCGGTTTACCCGGGATACGTCTATCCAGGCAGCATGCCTTCGAATTACCCATGGCCGGCGAATTTTCAGGATTCGGATAGGGATGTCGAAAATCGTCGAAGATACAAGAAACAGGGAAATCGCACGCGAACTCAGAGTAAGAGCGATGATGAAAGCGTAGATTCTCGTGGAGCAACCTCTCCGAGTGATTCGAGCGACGAGCAAGAGCACGAACTGAGTCTCGTTACGCGGGAGCGTGATCATGGCAAGAAGCTCGGCAGGCATTCCTCGAAAAAAGTTGTTATCCGTAACATAAATTACATAACTTCCGGGGGGAGAAACGAAGATCGCAGCTGCACTTCCGACAGCGATTCTTCCGGTGAAGACGATGGTGCTCTTAAACAGCAGGTGGAGGCTGCCGTCGGGATGCTGAAGCGACGGCAGCAACTGACTGCCGAGAGAAACAAGGGACGGGACGGGAGCAAGAAAGGTGATCGTAAATCGAAGAATGATATCGACGACGAGAAAAATTCTGTGGCTGGCGAAAGGAAAGGCGGGGACTGGGATATCTTCCAAAACCTGCTGATGCAGGACTCGGACTCAATATCGAATTCTATGGCGGACACAGCTTCGACGAATATACAAAATCATGAAGAGTACTCTGCCCGAAAGATCGTCGAAGAGGAAAATCTACCTTCCGGGAAGTTTGATAAACCGAAATATGGAAGCGATGGTTTCATCCTAACCGAAAGATTCACCGGAAATGGAGCTGAGAAAACCGGAGTTCTATTTGAAGGTGATGAAAGTTTTCGCGGTGTTAGGAGGAGCGGCGAAGACGAGGAAGCGTTGGCGATTCCACGGAGAATGGAAGGAGAATGCTACATTCAGAATGATCATTTCGGCGTCGAGTCTGCTGTTATTAAATTGTCGAAAGAGGAAGATTGGATCGTAGGAAGCAAGGCAGATGTACCGGTGAGTTCGAGCAGCCGTACGAATGAAAATATCTTTCAAGGGGATCGATCCTCCGGCAACAGTTTTCGACATGGAGAAAATGTGAGAGATGTTCTCTTGGATGATTCATTTATGGTTCAATCCCGACTCTCGGATGGAATATCGCAACATAAGACAGACATTCTTGCAGTCTCGGACATTGTTAGAGTTAACGAGCAGGAAGAGAATTCGCAAGGGAAGACCGAGCGAAGTGATTACAAAGAGCCGGAAGATCTCTACATGATGCTCGGACACAATCCCGATAATCGGAGTTGGAGTCCGGAAATTGATTACGGAAAAGATATTTCGCTTGTCGAAACTGCTGGAATTCTACAAAGGACAGAGCAAAAGGACGATGCCGGCGCTGCTGTGGTACGCGGAAGTGGTAATAAAAACAGTATAAGGAATACGAAAAAGCCGGGGCCGGATGTAGACAGAAGACAGCCAAAGGCTAAAGCTCCCGGCGGATATCTTGGAAGAAGCAAATCCGATATTCCATTGAGGAGCAAGATGTCGAACAATGGAAGCACGGCGACTCGAGGCAGAGCTGAGAAGGTATAATTTCTTTTCTCTTCATTTCTCAAACGGTTCGAAGGATTATCGAATCTAATTTTGTTTCTGTCGACTCAGGACGAGGATAAGAGGAAGAAAACAGAAGAGCTATTGTTGCAGCGACAAAGGAGAATAGCTGAACGAAGCGCGGCTAAGGGTGTCACTTCCGAAACAACGAAAAGGTCGTCGAAGGAGAGCAAGAAAAGCAGCTCTGTCTCTAAAAAAACCGAGCAGATCAAGCCTCGATCCCCTGTTAAAACGGAGCGCAGGCCTGTGATGAAGAGTTCGACGATCGATCGCCTTTCAGCTCCGCGAAAGCCAACCGAAACCAAAGTCCCGAATAGGAAACCAACATCCAAGGCGAGTTCACCGGCTGCTTCGACTCCATTGATGAAGAAGAAAAAGGGGACTCCCGAGAAGCCGGAGAAGGCTAAACATTCGCGCAACAATACTATCGACAAAAATGGTATTCAAGAAAAGGTTTGCGACGACGAATCTAAATGCGCTGAAGGAGCTCTACACAAGAATGGGACTGAAGAATTCGGAGCTGTTAAAGTATTGCACGCCGTAACGTCAGTCGAGAAGAAGGAACCGAGCATCGTATCTCCGAAAAATGCTTCGGATGACAAGAAATTCAAAGAATTTCTTGTTCCTTCCGATCATTGTGTCGAGGCTGCGCCTCCTGCAGCTGGAAACAACTTGAAATCCTCGGACATGAACACTAACGAGAAAGGTGACGAAAGAAGGAGGATATCCTTCTCGCCTCAAGTTTCGGTGATGGATGTTGCGACTACGCCTCCGGCGGAGAGTGAAGAACAGAATCATTCCAGAAGGAAGTGGAATGAAGGCGAAATCTCTCCGAAAATCCCCCGAGGCTTCCGGAGGCTTCTTATGTTCGGCCGTCGAACTTGAATATTTGCAAGGTATGCATTTGTGTTGGATCTCTTCAGTTATTACAACATGAGGTATACGAATCGATGCGTACGACGGATCGTGTTGTCCGAGCTTTCATCGATTTATCGTTGTTTCGGGATTTTTTTTTTCTGAAATTGTTGATCATTGATGGTTGATTGTTTCAAGTGTGAAGATGATAATCTGTAATATGGCTTGTCCTTCCCTTGCATAATCTGCATATGTAATGCAGTGAGGAAGTGTTTTTTTGTCCTGTGCTGTGCTTCAGTTGTAATGCAGCTGCAGTGTTTGTGTGATGTATCATTTGCAAAAATGTTATTGCAATTGATTGATGGTTAATATAAAAAAAAATAATATTTTATTTTAAAAATTAATTTTTTTGTAATGAAATAAAATATATTTATTTTTAATTTAAATAATTCAGCATCGATTGAAGTAAGCCCAAAATCGAATTTAGCTGTAGAGCTGCGTACGAAGAAGAAAATGGCTGATCGCTACTTCCACAACCAAATGCCAGACTATGTTCCCGAACCTCCATCACCGAACTCAATACCACCGCATACACCTGTCTCTGATTCACTCGCCAACCTTCTCCATCTTCCCTTTCAGACTCTATCCCAGCGCCTCAAGAATGCAGCCTTGGACCTCAAGGATGCGGTAATTCATCAATTCCACTCCTTCAAATCAATTTAGCAAGAATACAATATATTTGGAAACCACAGCGTGGATGATGATGATTATTTATTGTCTTGATTGTGACTGAAATTTACTCGACTTGTTTTAGGTTGTGAAGGAGACCTGGACTGCAACAGGAAAACGTGTGAGCGATTATACTCTGTACACTGGGGCACTGGGGACTGCTTTTTTGTTATTCAAAGCTTATCGAGTTACAGGAGACGAGAATGATCTTCAACTCTGCTCTGATATCATCAAAGCCTGTAACTCGGCATCTCGTAGCTCTGGGTATGTATTTTCAGCTTTTGCTTGTATTTCAGAATTTGTTTTGGGATGGCAATGATTGAATCTTAGATACTATGTGGTAATACATTGTTCTGGGTATGTTTGGGCATTTTGCTTTAATTGATTATACAAGACAGTATAATTGTTGTTCTTTGTTGACTAAATCTTGCAATATTTGCAGTAAGCAGTAGGACATTTAGAATGAGTAGTTTTTTGCACTTCTTTGTTGTTGAAACCTTGCAATATTTACAGTTGTGGTTCGGTTAAGAGAAGGATCATTTGATGGTCATTGTTCTTGATTTGTGTTAGTGAAGAATAAAGCCTGATAGGCAGAAAACATTTGTTATTGATACAGCATAATTACAGCTTTGTTTCAAAATTGCAGGCGCGTTACGTTCATTTGTGGACGGGCTGGCGTATGTGCACTTGGTGCTGTGGTGGCATACCACAAAGGCGATGAACAATTGTGTCGTCAATACTTGACACAATTCAAAGAGGTGATTCTACAGAATGAGTGCTTCTGTCCCTCAAGTTAAATCCTTCTTCTCCTGTTATATTCATTTGTTTATCTGTCGTTTTCTTTGCATTTTCTGATTCAGATTAAGCTTTCTGAGGATCTCCCTGATGAGCTATTGTATGGAAGAGCTGGCTTCTTATGGGCATGTTCATTCTTAAACAAGAATATTAGTGAAGACGCAATATCCTCCACCAGAATGGTACGTCTTTTTAATCTCATTCCTATTGGATTTTGGCTCATTTGATTTACTTTGAAGAAACAAATTTCTACAGAGGGCTGTTGCTGATGAGATTATGAAATCTGGTCGAAAATTGGCAAACGAAAGGTGTCCATTGATGTTTGAATGGCATGGAAAGAAATATTGGGGAGCTGCCCATGGACTGGCAGGGATTACTAATGCATTAATGGATGTGGACTTGAAGCCGGATGAGGTTGAGATTGTCAAGGGCACACTTAGGTACATGATCAAAAATCGTTTTCCTAGCGGCAATTATCTTTCCAGTGAAGGAAGTGACAGAGATCGGCTTGTGCATTGGTGCCATGGGGCTCCTGGAGTTGCTCTCACTCTGGTGAAAGCTGCCAAGGTATGTAATGTATAGCTTTATCATTATGTTACTCTAGGGATAATTGTAGTTTTTTCTCATATTATTATCCGTACATCCAATTTATTTGACTGGTTTCTAGTATCATGTAGTTCAGGCTGTGGTTCCATTGTTTTCTGATTTTAATTTAGCATTGTTTCTGAGATAAACTGTAAAATGCAACGAATTGAAAGAAGGGCTTAACTCAAAATGAAGGAAATAAAGGAATCAAGAGAGGACAAGATGGAAATTTAAAGAAAGAACTCAGTTATGTGAAGTAGAACCCAATAGTTCACAACAGATGTGAACCCTACTTTCGAATACAACTAATCTGATTGCAACACCTCAGACGAAACCCTCCTCTTAGCATCGTAAGGCTGCCGAACCTAAAATGTAGCTTCTTTGCAAAATGATTGCCACGTCAATTAAGAATTGCAAAAACTTAAAATTTGTTCATATTCGCAGCGTTGTTTTTTTACAAAATCAACGTGTTAATCGGAGAAAATGGTGAGAAAGAATAAGTCTTCAGAATTCTAGCCTATATATTTTCAGGTTTTTGGAAGTGAAGAGTTTTTGCAAGCAGCAATCGATGCAGGGGAAGTGATTTGGAATCGAGGACTGCTTAAAAGAGTGGGCATATGCCATGGCATTAGCGGTAACGCCTACGTATTTCTATCACTCTACCAGTTGACAGGTAAACCAGAGTTCTTATACAGGGCCAAAGCATTTACATGCTTCCTTTATGATCGTGCACAAACTCTCATATCCGAGGGCATTATGCATGGAGGCGATCGACCATATTCTCTTTTTGAAGGGCTTGGGGGAATGGCTTATCTGTTCCTCGACATGACCGAACCGTCTCTAGCTAAGTTTCCAGCTTACGAACTTTAATCCGCACTTGTACATGATAACATGAATAAGATAGTATGTTGTTAATCAAATCTGTTCTTGGCCATATACATATATATATGGAAAAGTATCGAATGTGTTTACTTGTGCTTTTGCATGTTTTCGGTATTTTAGAATTGACTTGTTTGGAGTTGAAAACAATAGTTGGATGCAACATGTGAGAAAAATATGTTTAAAATACAAGTGAACATCGAAATAGCTTAGCCTGCGTCAACGTACAAGGGGGATTGAGCGATATTATTATGGTTCTCAAGAAAATGTCACAACATCTTTGTTTTCTTTTTAGAGTTTTTGAAGTTCTCGTTAGTTTCTACAGAGTAGCTCCTCGATCCAAAATCTCTTTCCGGTAAAGCAAGAGCTTCACTCACTCAAGCCAACAAGTTTCTCGCTGATTTCCCACACTTTCCGAGCTTTATCAGCATCACTAGCTTCTTGCGATAGCTGGTTCTCGAAAGAAGCCGAGTCCTTGTTCCAGCTCCAGTACACACCCGACTTCGTCAAGCTTGGATCGCCCACAACCTGCAACCAGAAAGGAATATCATCAGGTAATGTTATGTTATTAAATAATCCCAATCCTATGTTAAAAATGTGTTGATTTCTTTCAGGTATCACAACCCGATCCAATCCAATTACCTGTGCAAGCCTTTTCCCGGCGTCTTCCTCGGACACAAAGCCCTTAGTGATGTACTTCTGAAATGGAGGGAAAAGGATCCTGAACAAGGGAATGTGCTCTCGAAACAATCCTGTCGTCGCAATGCAACCTGGATAAAGGGAAGCAAATGTAATTCCAGTATCCTCATGATACCGTCGATGAAATTCCTGCATTGTCAGCATGTTGCAGACTTTGCTATCCTTGTACGCCTTGGCGCCGTCGAAGCTTCCTCCGTCGATCATGGCTGAGGTATTCAGCCCATTCAGCCCCCCCTGGAGACCCCTCAAGTCCCCAAGATTGGCCTTTGGAGGTACATTTCCAGCCAATGTATTTGTATTCCCTGAAATACATTTTTACATAAATGTAAGTATTCGAAAATCTGATTTAACACAATTGTGAGCTCAGATTCGACAATTCCACCAGACCTGTAATCGAGCCGACGATGATAAGTCTCTTGGAAGGATAATCAGACTCTTTCATCTCGTCAAGGAGCAATCTTGAAAGTAGGAAGTGGCCCAAATGGTTGGTCCCGACGCTGAGCTCGAACCCATCGGCGGTGAACGAGGGCTCTTTGGCAGTTGGCTGGTAAACTGCAGCATTGCAAACCAGGACATCGAGAGGCCGGCCGGAGCGCTTGAAGTTATCGACGAATTGGCGGACACTGTCGAGAGAAGCAAGGTCTAGATGCATAATGGTGTAGTTTTCCTTCGCCATTCCAGCTGATTTTGCTGCCTTCTCAGTCTTGAGGAAGTCCCTGCACGCCATGATCACGTGCCATTTGCCACTTTCAGCCAAAGCTTTTGCAGCAGCCAGGCCAAGGCCGGAGGAGGCTCCGGTGACAATCACATTGCCTTTCCTCAGAGTTTTCTTGCTCTGGGGAGTGGCCGGAGTAACCGCCGGAGTGGTGGCCACTGCCTGAACTCGGACAATCGACAGCTTCCTCGAGGTAAAGTCTCTCTGTAGGAAATAGAATTAGAAATCAATTTTTAATTCTTGATTCATAAATTATGGAATGAAATGTTGATGAAGTTATGCTAATGTACCTTGACATGGTCAGGTTTGATTTGGTCTGCAAGTGAAACTCCGAAAAGGGTGGAATCCCTCAAAGATACACTCGATTTTCCCTGTAAGTAAAGAAGAAAAGCTCATTTCACTTTGTGGAATTGAATTTTTAATCATCAATCACAGACAGATATACATACATATTATATATATATGTACATTTACATACCTCTTTGTGAAGCGAGAAGGCTGAGGGGAGAAGAGCAGCAGCCTGAAGAGCCATTTGTGAGTAAGTTTAAGACTCCCAAATTTGGTAGGCACTAATAAATAGGAGTAGATTTTTTATTTTGGCACAAATCTTTGCAGCAGAGGATACTTTGTTTGACAGTGGTGTTTGCAGATAGATAGTGTGTCGTACTGTCATTCATATATACACACACAGAACACAACACACAAGTAGTGTGAATGTTGGGAGATCTTTAGCAAGTGGGGTGGGGGTGGATTCTTGGGATATGAAAATCCAAGGATGGATAAGATAGCATTTGGAAGTACCTGCCACATGGACTTGGAAAGCCAATCAGAATTTGTGGTGGTGATTTCCTGAGATGGTATTTTTATTATTGTTATTATTTTGATTAGTAAAAAAAATGTAGTGATGGGTTGATTGTATCGAGTATGGAGTAATGTTTTTGCAGGAGCAGGAACAGAAAGATGGGAGTGGAAGGGGACAAGTAGTTGAAGCCATGGCCACAAATGAGTGGCCAAGTTAAGGGGGGCCCACACCTCATCTCATCTCTCTGTCTTGGTTTCTACTTCCTTTGAGATAAGCTTTTCTTTCTGTCATAATTATTTATAGTCATGGGAAGGGATTGGATATTTTTGGGTTTATTGGATTTTGCTTATAATACAATATCCATAGATATCTAAGCCTAGACAAAAGATTTTTGAGAATTTTGAAAATAGTTCATATTTGATGTGATATTGTGATAAAATAAAATAAAATATTTAATTTGTTATTTTTTAAGAGTTAAATAGTGCCAAAGTTTTGAAATTGTTTTGTAAACAGTGAACATTGTGGTTTGAATATTAAATATTTAACATAATGTGATATTCTCTGTGTTTATTACCTACTTCAGCATTTTATCTGTATTAGATACTCCTTCCGTGTGTAAAAAAATTTACACGGAGTTAAAAAAAAATATTATTATATTATGATGCAGTAAAAATAAATATAAAATAACTAAATTAATTATTGTAAATTGAAAGGGATAATTTGTTAAGAGACAAAAAGAGTATTTTATAAGGGATGTTGGTTATGGAAGCTTGAATTAGCCATAATCCCAAAGTTCTTACATTTATGGATTCTAATGAGCACACAAACTTTTTACATGAAAATTCTAAATTGGTAAAAAAAAAAAAGAAACTATTTTAGACGACGATGGTTGCAAGATATATGCCTTCGAGAAGACCTCGTACTAATGGAGTAATATATGATACTTATAAGGCCCAAATTCTTTTTAAATTATTTTGACGTGAAATTTGAGTTTGCATGTCCTAGCACCTTTTTTCATTCAGAACTACAGAATTCTTAAAGACCATCACTCTTCATCCTACCTTGGGATCAAACTTAAAGAGGTCGGTGTTTTCACCTAAGGATCTAGTTTGCACTCGAAACAAATATACACTAGCATGCATGATTTAAGTTAGAATTCTACATACAGCTTGAACTTTGTTATTGCTTCAGTTGGGAGTTAGACCACAGGAATAGAAGGATGTGAGTCCAAACAAGTGCGGATTTTCTTCGACATCCTGTGATCAACAGCTGACAACAAGCAAGTATATCGATGATTGTCATAGTTTGTTGTTTCAAATGAATAATTATGCACGATCTGGACACCCGCTACCTAATGCTGCTTATAGATAACAAAAATAATCTTTTAAGTCAACGACGACCCATCCGGATCAATCTTTGACGACTATAGTTGATGTGTAAAACCATTTTTTTTTCCCTAACAGGAAGAAGATCTCCCCGAAATCTCATAGCTATCTAAAATCATGAGCATCAGCATATAAATTACAGATCCATCCATGTGGTAGTATCAGATCCTATTGCAACTATATGCTCTTGGCGCTTACTTCCTCGGGATAGTAGAATTATAAGCAGAGAGTAACTGTAATATTATACCCAAGAATCGAGCAATTGTACTATTACATCAATCAAATTTTTTACAATGGTCCATCCGGTGTATGCATTTCTTCGAACATAACATAAATATGAAGCAACAATGGTTGTTTTCTGTTTTTAAACTTATGTTTTCATGATCAATAATCTCACAACCCCAAAGCAAGATCTCGCTCTTTAATCCAGCTTAATGAAATGCTATAATACAAATAATGAAACACAACACCAAAATATGAAAATGAATTTCAAGAAATGACGCTTACTTGTAATTCCGTCAATCAATCATACATAAAACTTCAGTGGTGAGAAGAGAAACTCCAAGCATTCTACTTCTCGACAATTTTCTCCTTCAAATACCTCAGGATTCCTTTTGTTCCTCGGTCAAGAATTGCCCTTCGGATGCTGCATAAGAATTCGAAACCAGGCAGGAGCGCCGATCAGAACAAACAAATTGACTGCAGGACTAAAACAATTTAAAAGCACATGTGTTGGGTCGTAAATAAAATTTCTAGGACATCAATCAAAGCAATACAGTAAAAAGAATGATCTGGATTCCAACATTGGGCATCCAAGAATGAATCTGTTCCTTCTCATAATCATGCATGATGTATTTATACTTCTATGATGAGACTAAGGCCACAGATGATGTGGCGTAATAATAGGTGTAATATCAATTCACTGGGGATGAGAAATTGCCCATGGCAGTCGCAGTTATAATAATAAAGTGCATAATACTTTTCCAACTACAGCAATTGGCTTCTTTATTGCTCAACTTTCTATACTATCATGGATTAAATAGTAGTTTAAGACCATGTTCACACGGGATGATTTAATCCTCGCGTGTTAATTAATATACGAGGATTACAAAATCCTCCATAATCTCATGTAGTAAATACATTATACTAAAGTGCTATGTCTATTATAACCGACAAGGGATGTATGGATTATCGAGAAAAGAGGAGCTGTGATGGTCATTCCTACACGGTCCAGAAATATGATTGAACCGAAAGTTGGATCTACATTGGATAAAGTACTATTTAATCCTTGATAGTAAACAAAATCTAATTAGACTTTATTCTTATGCTCAAAGGTGATGGAAGTAAAATTCTCACAATGACTAATATCTCGAGCTAACAATCCTAGAAAAAGAAAAAAAAAACTGAAATTAATTGAATGCTAATCTTAGCATAAAAGCTAGAGTACCTTCGCAATGGGTTCCCATCAAGTTTTAGCACCTGCAGACTAGGTTCTAGCAAACCCTGAAAAAGTAGGAAGTCATGAGATAAATTAATCCTCAGGCATAAGAGAGAAGGGGAAAATCATGTGGGAAACAGTGTCCTATTGTTTTCCGCTCTGCTCATTATATTCTATCTTTTCAGTTACACAAGGCAGCATCAATTCACTATAACACATGAAATGTCTCGCAAGTTACAGCATTCAACTTTATTAAACTAAAGGAAAGCAAGCTATTGCATTAATGGATGAGAATTTTGGTATTTCTGCTTGGGCATAGATTCAAAAGTTTGGATTCAAATCTAATAATTAAAATGAAGTAGGCAGAAATACCATGAAACAAAAAAGAATTTACAGACAAACCATTTTTGGTGGAAGAGACGAAATATTGTTGTCTGACAAGTTAAGCTCTGCAAGAGAGGATAGATCCGTGATGCTCTGGAAACAAATGAAGATGTCATCAGGACAACCTTAGGACTATATATATCAGTTTAATGCTGTAGACATATAATGATAAGGATAGATCAGTGATGCTCTGTATGCACAATGAAAATTTACAGTAAAAATGGAATCCAAATATGCTGGCAACGCTTGACAAACTATTCTGTATTATTCGAAGAAATGTAAATAGGAAAAAGTATATTGCTAGAGAGGACTGGAGGAGAGAAATATCACCTCTGGGATTGACTGAATGGAATTTTGACTCAAGTCAAGAATACGTAATTTTTTTAGGCCGATTATATCTGAAGGAAAAGCTAATATTTGCATCCGTCTGCCAAATCAAGAAGACAGTAAATCAGTCAACGTGACAAGGAAACACACTGAAATCTGCGTCCTAAGAACAAACCTCAGGTACAACTCCTGCAGCTCTGGTAAGCTTGAAAACTCTGGGCTTTCTGGTAAACAACCTGCAGCACCACTTAGATCCAAGATCTGGAGTTTGGAAGCAGCTCGAAAGGCATCTGATGGGAGCTATTCAGAAAATGGGAATTGTCACAAGTGTAAAAACAAGGAGACATTATACATACAGAGGAATCACAAAATTTTACACAAGGTTGCATATTTGGGTTTTATAAATACGTGAATTTCCCTCCAGAAGGCATATAAAAGTGGGATTGCATAACCCCTAAAACTATGAAAGAAGAATAAGTAATCTATAATCGAGTGATAAATACCTTTCGAAGTGGGTTCCCATCCAGTTTCAAGCAAATAAGTTTAGGGAGGGAAGATAAAACTGCACTTGGCCACTCCTTTATCTTGTTTTTGGACAAAATCAATGCCTGCATGCAGAGTGTGCTGAGTAATTTCATAGAAGTGTAAGATTTGTGCAGTGCATATCTTTGAACTGATATGGTATATAAATACCCTGTCAGAAAATTATCATAATTAAGAAACAGTTTGGTACTAATCCAAGTATATCAGATTATGTCAATTTTTCATTAAAATCGACTAGCGAAAAAATACCATACTTGTAGCATTGGTTGCATCTCTTATGATTTGCCATCATTCTAGAGTCCTATTTTCTATATTTTAACATCATGCCTTCATGGTACTGTATGGTTACCTCAAGGGACACACAAGAACTCAGTTCACAAGGAAGCTCTTCAATTGAATTCCCTGAGAGATCAACTTTCTTAATATCACTTGAATTCCATATCTCTGATGGAGTAGCATTCAAACCCAACCCAGCCAAAGAAAGTTCCTGGACGGTAACAAGTAGGAGACACATTAGGGTGTGTTTGTTTTGGGGGATTGGATTTTAAATACACTATTCTTCCTATTTTTTTCCCCCAAAAATATCAAATCAAACACCTATTTTTTATTTTTTATATTATACTAAAAATTAATTTTACATTCAAAACATCGCATCAACACCTGTTTATATCACATCATACAACTATTCAAATTCAAAATTTTTATTATTCAAATCCCAACTCAAAATCCAAACATCCAAACAAACAAGTTTAATGGCAGTCAGCTAATGAATGCAGAATGAATAAAATAAAATAAATAGTAGAAAAAATAAAATAATATATAATTGCAGTGACGTAAATTGATGATAATATTTTATATTAGGACCACACTTTTCAACCACCACACATCAGATTTATTCTCATGCACACCTTTCCCATTCCAGTAATTAAGTAACTTTAAGATGGACATAACTAACTATATTTACAGGGATAATACCTTTGAGCTAAGGGATGACCGAGCAGCCAAAGAGACAGAATCCTCTTTTGTAGTTATGGTTGCTGCAGATTCTGCAAGAAGAGAGATTAATATAAATGCTGTGACATTCGAGGGAATAACCTAAAGCAGAATGATATGAATAAAGTGCACCATAGTAATTTAAGTTGAAAACAATATAAGATTCAGTAGTTCATGGTACTTGCAAACTGATCAATGCCACCTAAACAAAAATCCAGATTTAATATCACCTTCATTTGTTGGAAGTCTACTTCGGAGATGCTTCAATAGAGCCTGTGTGGGCCCATATACCAGGGAACTGAATAAAGAATAAGTCATTTACTCAACCCTAAACAATCATGAAGAATGTTATTTAATAATAAAGAACTTGCAGACCTTCGAAGTGTTCGCAATGGATTTCCAGCAAGCAAAAGTTTCCGTAGTGTTGTCATCAAGCCTATGACAAACAATGCAGAATGGATTATCTTACTAGGAGTGGCAAACCGACTTCAGATTAATGTAACATATTTTCAAAATAACTAGAATGTACAAAGAATCTGGGGTACAGTTTGTCATCGTCCACTGGAGTAATTCAAAAGTACAATGACACACACAAACCAAGAGCACTATATATGTCAGGAAACCAAAAAAATATCACCCTGATATTGATGTTAATTAACAAATACGATGCTAACCTTAACCTTACCAATCTCATCAGGCAAACCCGATAAACAATTATTAGATAGGTCAAGAACTGAAAGACGCAAGTGACAAGCTTCCACAGGGAATTCTTTCAGCTGTATCAATGAAAGCCAATCAATCGAACAACAGAAGTTAATATCGAAGGTTGTCTCGTGTTAGGAATCTAGCTAATGGATTAAATGAAATCTATTTGTACACAGATTAGACATCAACTGTCACCAACCATCACAAAGATTTCGTTACTTGGGTGTCACGGATAAATTTTAAGCTATTTTGAAAACCCACCTTGTTTGACTGAAGATCAAAAGTCCCCAGCTTATCCAAGAGTCCAATTTCTGGAGGCAATGTGACCAGTGCATTATTCCTGCATAAAGGATACATACAAAAAGGAAAACAACAGGAAATTCGATGTTGTAAAGGCAATATAAGGATGATCCCAAAAACACAAATCAAACCAATATCACAAAAACTTGAACCAACCCTATATAAAACTCAAGAAGAGATGAGCAGGATTTGATTGATGATGGAATGGAGGAAATTCCTGCAGAATATTAACCATATGATAACGGAGAAACTAAAAGGTGATAAAACTATTAAAGTACATATTCAGATAAGCACCGAGTGCAAAACTGAAATACTCACGGTTTTGGTGAAGATAAAGCCTAATCAGACGTGAAAGGCATCCAATACTCTCTGGCAGTGTGCTCAGAAGATTTCTAGCTGTAGACGTAAATTATGAAATACTTATCAAACTGTTAGAAACCAAATAACAAAGTGGATTATGAAACAAGATTTTACAAGCATTGATTTCCATGAGCATGGTGCACGATGCAATGATATTATCAGGTAGCAACTCTAGCTTGTTTCCCTGTCAAAGTGAAGAATGAATGATTGAAAACCTGAAGGTGTTAATCTCAATTGATGCAGTATGGAGCAGCAAAACACACAGTAGATTCTTGCAGTATTTTAACTCCTGTTACCCATACCTCCACATCAAACTTCGTTAACTTTGAACAATTTGCTAGCTCCTCTGGCAGACTGGAAATGCTATTATTTGATGCCTGGATATAACACCAAAGTTCTAGTAGCAAAGAATATGACTTGCAGTAGCAGTATTAACATCCAAGTGACAAGTAAAATTCACATGGTTTAGCAAATTTACTTATAGAGGGCAGCTAAAGCTGCCTGGCACATCAAATATTGTATAAAATAGAAAAATATGGGAATCCAAACCTACTTTCACTGTGCATTCTAATGATGACACCAAACATACACAGAGTTGAATAATATGACATAAAAAAATATCATGCAACTAGTTCAGTATTCACTTATTATGATGTCATCATTAGTGTCATTAAAAGGGGAAGGAGATGTCTATGAAACTAAGTTGTCATGGAGACCATAGACATGAGCTTCATAAACAAAAAGGGTATCCACAGAGTTAGTTGCACACAGTCACTGGGTAAATAATTGCAGTATTATACACAAAAATATTGGGTCCTTTCCCTTCATATACCCTAAAACCTGTATACCTAATACATACATTTATATGTCCATATATTCGGCGGATTTTGGTTCATATAGATATCCACCCATGTGGTACTTCATTGTACGATATATATAAGATCCATCTATATAGCTCGTAAATGGTTATTGCTAGAAATTCAGTACGGTTTAATGTGGATCTTACAGGCATAGCACAGCAATACAAAAGAGTTATCAAGACAACAAAATTTCTTATTATTGGATGTCAACTGTAAGAAGTTGGTTGTGATATACTAATCATATTCCAGTTATCCAACAAGCAAGATTTCTCATACTAAACAATCATGTAGCTGCAAAACTCCACAACCTTGTCAAGCTCAAAGGAGGCAAATCTGAATTACACTTTTAGTTTACTAATGATAAATGCATCATTGTGTATTACCTTAAGTTCTGCTAAGTTAATACATTGTCCCAGGGAACTTGGGAGAGAACATAGTTGGTTGTTGGAACAATCAAACCTGTCTCCACAACATGAAAACCATGACCTTCAGCTGAGGCAGATAATCTACTTCATAAACACAATTGGCATATTAAATAGGAAATGTTAAAGGCAAGAATATGATCAACAGACACGAGAAAGTGCAATCTTTTTATTTATTTATTTTTATCATATTTACACACCTATACCATGTTTTGTAAGAGGATTTGTTCTGGATGATATGGAACATGCTAAGCAAAGAGCCAAAGATATTAGGTGGTTTAAATGCTAGTGAAAGTACTAATACTATGAGAAGATTTGGCCATGAAATTTAGCATAAAGAAGGAAAAACATTTAAAGATATGAAGCACAATTATGCAATTCAGGAAAGAAATGTCACCAAAACTTCTAGGAAAACAATTCGACCAGATCAATAATTATTTCCTCAATACTCCACCTCTCTCTTCTCCTTTGTCTCTGTATACCCATAGTAAAATTTCGGGGTTGCATCTACTTTTAACTAACATCGTTACTTTCTCCATTTGTATCAAAAAGGTATTAATTACTAATAATATAAGAGAATAGTGGACATACTTCACCAGAGAAGATACAGATCCTATTTCATCTGGGATTTCCAGTATTGAATTGAATGACAGATCCAAGGATTTCAGCATATGAAGCCTGTCATTTAAATCAGATCCACTTAAAACATACTAAATATACCAGAAATTTAATGATTCCAAATAACAGTTCAAAGGGCTCAAATAACATACTCTCCAATGGCTGCTGGGAGATGTGAGAGCTTATTGTGACTGACATTCAGTACTACTAATGAAGGCAAGTTTTTCAAATCTTCTTTCAGTAATTCAATATCATTATGAGCTAGGATAAGCTTCTGTAGCTCCACCACCTGTAATGCGTCAACGGACCAATCAACATAGTTATATGCACAATCAAAAACACGAAGATACAATAACGAAAAATAAAAATAAAAATAAAATTATTACCTCCCACCACTTTTCATCGCCACTGACTGCATCCAAACTTCTGTAAACCTCATCGGGCACTTCACTGCGATCAGTGGTCATATTACAGAAAAATTTAACAAAGGATTCATATTCCACACAGAATGCAGCGAAATAAAGCAAAGAGATACAGAGTCATCTGTGTAACTTGCGCTTCAATGACTTGCCTGAGAGCACGATTCGAAAGATTGAGAGAACCGGAAGATCGCGCCGCCTTGAGGAGCCGATCCATGGCAGGTTTGCAAATTAGAGAGCTATCGATGAATGGAAGTCATTAGAGGAAACTTTGCCGGCATTCGTCTTCCCTGCTAGGCTGCTCTCGAAGGATGTTTCCCTGCAATTAGCTGCAGTTGCGTCACCCCGTTCGAAGGCGCTTTTTAGTAGAAACTCGTGCTGTGTATGTTTCGAAATAGTATACTTTATAAAGCGCTTATACTTTAAAAACGTTTTATGAAAGCTACAAACTTGAAATTTCGCTTCTGTGTAATAAGAAGAAAACTTTTGCCTAAATTTTAGTTAAGAAAATTAAGAATGGTTTTTTTTTTAACTTTTGTCTAAATTTTATTCTCTCTATCTCATCTATTATCTCCATGTTGTCGATGTTTCTGTTCGTCTCCCATCTAATTTAATTTTTTTTAATTTAGTTATAATTTATATTATAAATTAATTATTTTTACTAATACATTTTTAATTATTTACTAATTATACTTATCAATAATACACTGAATATGAGACGGGGAATTGAAATATCTCACATGAAAAATACTTTACACCAAAATAATAAACAAATAAATCAAAAATTCAAACAGCTATATAAGTTAAAACTTACATCTAAATTTCAAAACAAAACTCTAAAAAAACATACTACAAGCCTCGGGGAAAAAATGAAAATAAAAAAATAACACAATGCTTGATTCGTATACTATTTTAAGAGTGGTCAGATCAATTCTAACATGAAAATTCAATCTTTCCAGTCATTTTTTAGAAATTTTATTTTCATATTCCATTTGATTCTCAATCTTCTCCGACAATCAAAAAGTTTTCATAAAGTTTTTTTTTTTTTTTTGTATCTCTATCATTTCTTCTCTGGAAATATATATTTGGTTCGATACTTTTGAGTTACATGATATTTTTATATCGTAGGTAAATGTGTGGAGAAATAAGATGTGTTTTGATCCAAATTTTAATTTTTGATCGAAAATCATTTAGATGCAATTATAACGTTAATGATTGTGAATTAGGACAATCGGACCTTGGATTGAGCTTCAATCGTAACAAAGGTAAGGAAAATAACTTTTCATTTGTATTCTATGCATCGAGCCAACAATGGTTTCTCCCGTGTTTCATCATATATGCATGCTCCATTCCATTTTAGCTATTTCCGGTGGCGCCCTGATGATGTTCTATAGGTATGAGATTTTTGTGTTTAACCACGGAAAAGATCACGCAAATAAAATTTTGGGCTCGACGTATGAGGATCAACTTTTAATTCATACATCGGACTCTTTCTCGGGTTTGCTATTGTTTGCCATTGGTTTTCTCTTGTTCATGGTTGCATTTGTTAAGGATAGGGAGTTTCAAAGCTTCTTTGCAAGAGGTTGTGTGCTTCTTCATGTTTTGTTAGCAATTTGGAGGATTTGCTTCGAGAGGAAAGTCGACGTTCTTGGCCTCGATTGGCTTAGGCTCGTCTTTGGAGACATCGTTTTGGGACTTTCGTGGATTTTCTTTCTTGTGTATTCATGGAGAGAGAAGTATGATTAGCACCAGATAAATTTATAAGGTATGGACTATTATTTGTCCCGAGTTTCGTTTAGATGAAATTTTTCAAAATTTTAAAAAAAAAATTGAAAGCAGTAAAGCATTTAGTATTCATGGAAAGTCGAAGTTCTTTGCCTCAAAAGTCCGCATATAAACAGATCTGAGTTTGTTTTTTTTTATCCAAAACTTTAAATTTTTACTATTTGGAATTATTTTGAAAATAATAAAAATTAATAAAATAAAACGTTTCGTAATAATGTAAATAATTGTTAAATATGATATTTATGATATTGAATATATTTTGTATGTCTATAAAATAATATTAACAATGAACAAACATATTTTATATTTCTATAAATAATATTAATAATGAACAATCATATATATGCTGCTCTACTAATAATCATAATAGAGATAACCGACAAGACCTAACAGATTGAATAAAACAAATAACATTAAGTCTCGAAAAGAATAGGCTAGTGATGCGGAACCGATATTTTTCTGTTTTACTATTTTAATTTTTTTTTAAAAAAAATATTAAATTAAACATATATTTTTTATTTATTATATTACACTAAAATTAAATTTTATGTTTAAAATATCACATCAATACATATTTATATCACGTCAAACCATTATTTTAATTTAGTCCCTCCGTCTCAGATACCATGTTCACGTTGTCGTTTTTGTCCGTCTCACATACCATGTCACTTTTTTTTTTTTTGGAAAATGATTACACACTTTAATCTCATTTTAAATTTTTTAATTTTATTTTTTTTCATTTTAATTAAATTAATTAGTTATCTTAATCTTAATTTATAATTATTTATATTATATGATATTTTCACTAATACATTCTTAATTATCTACTAATTACATCCCTCCTAAAATACCGTGTCTACAGTACAGTGTAGCAGATATCTGTGATATAAATAGGTGATTATGTGATGTTTTGAATGTAAAAAATAAAAAATATGTGTTTGATTCGATGTTTTTGGGGAGAAAATTTGGATAAATAGTGAGATTTTGTCCAAATCTCTCAACCGAACACACCCTAAGTAAGCACACCCATATTTTTTTTTAATTAAAATATTTAATTTTTAAAAGATTAAAAAATTCAAAACTCGAAAAAAAAAATAATAAAAAAAAAAATGAAGCCATTGATTTCCAGTACCATGTAAAATGCAAATGAAATTCGATCGGGCTTGGGGACCCTCCCCCTCCCTTCACAAAGGTAGTTATGCCATAATAACTACCCTTGTGCCAATCCTATTTTTTATATATATATATAATATAAATAAAATTTTAAATAATAAAAATTTTAGATTATCATTTAAAAATTATTTTTAATTTTGTTATGTAACTCTATCTGTGATATTCAATTGAAAAGATTATCTATTTTGAAAATTATAAATGATAGTAACAATATTTTCAAAATATTGACAATTTTCTTTTAATTATACCCAATATTTTATTTTTTTACTTTATAAATATAGTTTATAAAATTATTTTAAACAAAAATAGATAAAACAATAATAAAGAAATACTAACAAGCATATACAAATAAAAAAGTGTACTTAAATTAAAACTAACAATTTTAATAAAAAAGTATATATGATATCGCTCTCAATATCAAAGCCTTAACATCTTGAACAAAATTCGCAAACGGCTATATAAGTCTTTCGTCGGCTTCCAACTCATTTTGGGCTCGGGTAATTCACACCACCTGACAAAGTATATTTTCACTTGTGTCGAACTACTCTGTTAACCAAATTTTCCTCTGCCACCTCATCGTACGTTGTCCGCATGGCAGGGGCACCTTTGTCGACTAATTTCAACTCGAATTCTAAATGTCACTACGGCTTCAATATTATAAACTGATATGAAATACAAGGTGAAACTGGACACAGCTTTAGACAATTCAATTTTGTAAATCACCTCGGCAATCTTATTCCGCACCGGAATGAGCCTTGATACTTTATGTACTCTAAGAATGATGTAAATATACATTTTATTTATTTGAAACTTTGAAATAATTCAAAATTTATATTTATATATTTAAGATTTACAATATATATATGTAATATAATAGATAAATATATTTTACAAAGTATTTATATATATATTATGTGAATACATGTTTATATTATATATATATACTGGTAGTATTAATTCAAAAATGCATAAAAAAAAATTATTGGATGAATATTTCCAAAATTTTAAATAAAAACATTCATATAATATTTTTAAAAGTAAAAAAAGTTAGGGTGTTTTTTGTTTGTATTTGAAACTAATTTCATCAATGTGTTCATATAGTTGTTAATAAAAAAGAATATTTATTTTTTTACAAATTATAACATTAATATACTATTTAAACAAATTTAAAATTCAAATCAAACAAACCTAATTATGCAAACTTAATAGGTTTGTTTAGGTTAACTTGTTTACTTGAATTTAGTTTTAAATTTTTTCCTATTCAATTCTAATACTTCACCCATTTGAGTAATATGCAATTATTTTGTTATTTTTATCTATCTAATTCAAATATATCCGTTTATTTTCTTAGGAAAAATATTTTTTACTTTAATAAAAATTACTCATATATTTTATATAATACTACAAACAATATTACCAAAAAAATTAATGAATTCAAGGGTAAAATTATGAGTTTGTTTGTTTTGTAAAATAGTTTGAAAATATATTTTTTCAAATGAGATACATCGAATTGTGTAGATAATATAAAAATAATAAGTTTATTTTTAAAAATGTGTTGAACTTTTTTCACAAAACAAACACATCTTTTTTATTTTTCTATTTTACTATTACATATAAAATACTAATATATTACTCCATCCCTCTAGATTCAAAGTATTTTTTTACTATTTTTGTCTGTCCACGTAAATGTATAATTTTTTTAAAATAAAAGTAATCATATAATAATATCAAAATATTCTTAACTTTTATTTAAATTATAAACATACTATTACTATTGCACGTACAATTACTTTATACAAAAACATCAAAGGACAAAAATATCAAAAATTTTATACACACTTTTATTAATTAATAAAATATTATTATTTTTTAATTTATTCCAAAATTACAAAGACCCCTCTCAAAATGATGAAGGGAGAATAATTTATGTGCAAACAACAAATTGATATATATGATTAGAATAGAGGAAGTATATAATTCGTCCCATGTACCATGTTCACGTTGCCGTTTCTGTTCATTCCACGTACCATGTCATTTTCTTTTTTGAAAAATGATTATACACTCTAATCTCATTTTAAATTTTTAAATTTTATTTTTTTAAAATTTTAATTAAACTAATTGATTATCTTAATATTAATTTATAATTATTTATATTATAGGATAATTATTTTCACTAATACATTATTAATTATCTATTAATTACACCCCTCCTAAAATACCGTGTCTACAGTGAAGCACACTGTATATGGGACGGAGATAGTACTATTTTCATCGTTCAAATATGTGTATTTAAATATTGAGCATGAATTTTAATAAAAGTACAAAATAATACTCCCTTCGTCCCACATACCATGTCCGTGTTGCCGTTTCTGTCCGTCCCACATACCATGTCACTTTTCTTTTTTGGAAAATGATTACACACTTTAATCTCATTTTAAACTTTTTAATTTATTTTTTTAATTTTAATTAAACTAATTAGTTTTTTTAATCTTAATTTATAATTATTTTCACTAATACATTCTTAATTATCTACTAATTATACAAATTCTAAAATATCGTGTTTACTGTGTAGCAGACACAGTACGTGGGACGAAGATAGTAATAATTTTTTTTAGTAAAAAACTTAAAAAATAATTTACTTTTTAATAAAAAAATAAAAAAAAAATTTAATGACAATCCAAAAAAAATAAATATAGATTAAATGACACATGGCATATTATTTTATTTAATAAGATATTACATTATGTTTAAAGCATTCAAAACTAATACGTATGTGCTTGAATCGGAGAAAATTTTCGTCATGAACTCATAAATAACAATAAATAAATAAATAATAATAATGAATATAGATGAGACTATGGTGCTGATAAAGATCCTACCTAACAACATTTATGAATCTCCCTCTTAACTCAAATCAACAAACCATGGTTAAATTCCCTCACCTTAACCCAAAACCCTAACCCGAACCCACCTCAGCTTTTCTAAATTCAATTCGAATAAATAACTAAAAATAAATAAACACATGACGTATCCACGTCAGCAGCAGCAGCATCACGTGGACTCCAGCTGGGTTTTTACTTTGAAAAAGTTTCTCAGGAGACTCGACGCTGAACTAAACTCTACTGTAATAATTTATGTTAAAATAATAAAACAAAATCAAATAAATAACTATAGTAATTATTACTAATTTCCTTTTTATTTTTTTTTGTATTAATTACAATAACACTGAATTAAAGGCGATCAAGTGCGTGTGGGACGCACGCGCGTTGGACGGCGCGTGTGGGCGGAGCATCCGTTGAGAAGAATGTCTCAACGGATTCTGAACGGAACACCGCCTTGGGAGTCACACTTTTAACTCTCTCCTACCTCTCGCTGCTGTAGAGAGAGAGAGAAGAGAGAGAAAGGGAAGAGAGAGGAAGAGATCATTGCAAAAAGCTGCTATCGCCGTTCAGAAATATATAAATACGCCCAAAACTAAAAACGCACGAAAAAAGATTAAACTCTTTTTCTCAATTTGTTTTTTTTGGCAACTTTCTGGTTCTCTCTCTCTGGGCACAGTTCTCGCCATCTGCCTGCCCTAGATCCGCCCATGGCGAGCCATAATTTGCTAGCACTGTGAGCTTTCTACTCACGGGCTAGTCAATTCTTGTTTTCCAGTACAAATTAGCCGACACTTTTCCGAGTTCTTGTCCAGATTCTTCGGGGGAGGTGCCTTTATTGGAGTGATTTTTTTGTTGCTCTTTAGTTGATAAAGTTCTATTATGGTGGGCTTTGAAATGCTTCGTTGAGGGATGCTGTAGCTAATTTATCGTGTGTGGGTTGGAATTTAGCTTTGTTGTCCTCGATTGCCTTGAATTTGGGGGTCAATTAGGCTTCCTGTGTGGGTTGTTAATTGCGGGAAATTAATGGCGGAAGAGGTCCTGATAGGTGAACTGGAAAAGGACTATCTTCTTTTGGATGTGGATTGTTGAGTGTCTTTGTTATTTCCGTGTATAATGGGTTGTGTTTGCGGTAAGCCATACGCCATTGATGACAGTAAGGGGAGTCCTGGGGAGAGATTGTCAAACAAAGAAGTGTCTGGTCTCCGGGCCCCGAGGAGAGAGGATAATCATGGCGTCAAGGATCGGTTAGATAATAGTAGCAATGTCAATGAGGGAAGAGTAATTGTAGATAATAAGCAAGTCAATGGATTAGCCAGAGTACAGGGGGACAATTTTGAGAGGAAGAGGGAGAAGGCGGAGTATGCGGTGCACCATCCTAGGGGAGCCATGGTTCCGAGATCGAGTGAAGGAGAACAGGTTGCTGCTGGTTGGCCGCCATGGCTGGCTGCTGTAGCTGGTGAAGCCATTAAAGGATGGGTGCCTCGGAAGGCAGATTCTTTCGAAAAGCTTGACAAGGTTCTTTTCTTCTTCCGTTGTCCTTATCATTAGCATTGTATCATCTGATGCTGTTATTGTTATTATGTGCTATTCTGTGAGTTTGCTGTGGCTGATTTATTCCCTTTTGAGTATCTATGACACGTTGGCATCGAGATGCTACTATACTTCGTGTATTGATTGAATTCAGCCAACCACATGGAAAGGTAATGGTGGATAATATGCCATTGTAGTTTGTAAGGTCAATATACTTAAATGTAATTGGCTTTATGGCTTCATTGAATAGGTCTGTCTTAGTATCAATTCCTTGTTTCACATTTTTAGATAGCTTGGATGTTTCATGCCCTATGTCGAATCAACTGATCCAGGTGAAAGTTGTAGGGATCTCATGGATGGATATGGTGGTCAAGCTTGTTTCTGGTTTAGGGTTTGCCCATCATGCCTCAAGCTTGTTTCTGGTTTAGGGTTTGTAAGGCATGCTAAATCTACTGTACTTCCCCCAAATCCCCCTTGAAGCGTGATTGGCTCTTGTCGTCACTGAATCTTCCATAACAGTGTTCTTCTACTGTCTCTAGTTATAAAACTGAACCTCTTTTCTTGGGAAAGCAAACGCCGTCTAAATATTGGAAAGGTTTCGTAAAAGTCAAAAATTTTTGATTCATGAGAGTCTCAAAATTTGAATTGTGGTGGTAGATAGGTCCAAATATAGCTCTGCCAGCAACATTCTGTTGTTCAGATAATTTTGTAGTGCACGTGAGAGTACTGCATCGTTGCAAGGGGATTGGCCTTCAGGTTGGAAAGTATTGGAACTTAAATGGAAGGTTTACGTGACCATTATGTCGCAATCTGAATCCGAGAATATGGGCGTTGATTGAGGGATAACATGGTCCCACTCGTGTTCCATTCCGAAATTGGACTGTTGCAGGATTTTTCTACCAAATTTCCAGCCTTAAATTCTAATTGCTATATTTAAAAGGTGGTCTAACGAATTCTAGACCGAAAGCATATTTCAATTGTCGATTAAGTCTAGTCATACAAAACGACAGTTATGTCATCGAACACGTGGATATTGGTCGGAATAGAATATTCCTACCAATTACGCCACTGAGTTCGGTGAGCACGAGGTGTATGCATGTCTTTGCTGTAGATTCTCTAACTGCTGTTATTCTTGTCGTGTTCTCTGAAATTAATGAGGAAAGGATCTAGTCATGTTTCTTGCAGGGTGTTCAATACTAATACTTTTTCTTTTGATGTTTCCTTTCCTGTAGATTGGTCAGGGTACTTACAGTAATGTTTATCGTGCCCGTGATCTTGACCAAGGCAAGATTGTAGCTCTAAAGAAAGTAAGGTTTGACAATCTGGAGCCGGAGAGTGTACGATTTATGGCAAGGGAAATACATATTTTGCGCCGGCTCAACCATCCAAATGTAATCAAGTTGGAAGGTCTGGTTACGTCAAGGATGTCTTGCAGCTTATACCTTGTATTTGAGTACATGGAGCATGATTTGGCAGGACTCGCATCCCACCCTGGGCTCAAGTTTACTGAACCTCAGGTAGCTACAATTGTTATTTAATCACCGTACACCTCAGTTAATTCTTGTCCAAAATGAATTTTTGCATTGTTTGCGACTCTAGAAAACGCAGTTCTCTATTTCTACTTCAAAAGCAGTTGGAGAGTGTTTTCAAATCTCATTTCTGCTTAAAAAAGCTTAAATAGAAGCTGGCTTGAGCTCAGCAACGGTGTCTTTAATTTTTTAATAAATACAACAATGTCTATTTACACATTACACGATTTGCTCGGTACTATAATATATTTCCTTTAACATTCATAACAAATATAATAATCAAAAGAACAAACTACAGAGATTCTGCGAAAAATTGAGTTCCCAATCACACAAATTTTCTTTATCTCAGTGACCAATTTGAGCTAAGAGTTTCGTCAAGAGAAGTTGCATAATGTGAATTATTTTGGAATGCCTTTTATTACTCAACCTTTTTTAGATTCTTGAGGATGTAATATTTTGTTCCTTCTTTCAGGTTAAGTGTTACATGAAACAACTTTTACGGGGACTTGATCATTGTCATGGTTGTGGTGTCCTGCATCGTGACATAAAGGGCTCCAATCTTCTTATCGACAACAATGGCATACTGAAGATTGCAGATTTTGGTCTTGCTAGCTTCTATGATCCCCATCAGAGTCAACCATTAACCAGCCGTGTTGTGACCTTGTGGTACCGGCCACCTGAGCTCTTACTTGGTGCAACTTATTATAGCACTGCTGTGGACTTGTGGAGCACTGGTTGCATACTGGCTGAACTATATGCTGGCAAGCCAATTATGCCTGGACGAACAGAGGTATCCTCTCATTGGTAGCATAACAGTTTTTTACTATCTAATTTTCAATTTCCTCATACAGATTTCTTCATTATTTGCTTTTTTTAAAAGATTTATTCACCCCAGTTCGTTTATTGAGTCGTTTACAAATTCTTTGTTGTCTCAAAGATGGTTTCCTTATTGGAAAATTTCAGATGGTGCAGGTTAAACTATGGACATGTGTCATAACCATGTGAATTCTCAGTTGTTAAATTGGCATTTCTTTCGAATTTCAAACATAACACAAAATCTGATATTAATTCTTATATAAGCTAACAAGGAGCATCTGACTGTTAAATATAACCTTGAATTTGATTTCATTACAGGTTGAGCAGTTGCATAAAATTTTTAAACTTTGTGGATCACCATCAGAAGAGTATTGGAGAAAATCAAAGCTGCCCCATGCTACAATCTTCAAGCCCCAACAGCCGTACAAGCGATGTGTTGCCGAAACTTTCAGTGATTTTCCTCCACCAGCTTTGGGTCTCATAGAGACATTACTTTCTATAGATCCTGCAGATCGTGGATCCGCAGCCTCTGCATTGAAGAGTGAGGTATGTGTTCAGATTGATTTAATTCTTTTTCTTTAAACGAGTCTACACTTTCTCACCCAAGTTTTTAGGCCCCTTTCATGCCACTCGGAGGCGATTCATTTTGGATTAAATTATGTTGATATATTATTACTTTGCTGATCTTTCTGGGAGTTATTAGTAGGCAATGTTTTGCGTATCACTGCTCGCATTGGTCACATAATCAAGCAAGATCTGTCAATTTCTTTCTGTACCTGGTATTCTCGCAGTTCTTTACAACAAAGCCTTATCCTTGCGACCCCTTGAGTTTGCCTAAGTATCCTCCAAGCAAAGAGTTTGATGCTAAAGTACGAGATGAAGAAGCAAGGAGGTGATTGTTAGAATATTAGCATGTTATCGTATCAATTCGGTGGTGGGGGACTATATATGATTACAAATCAGTTGTTGAATGTATTGGCTTTGTAAATCTTGCAGGCAAATGGCAGCAGGAAGCAAAGGGCAACGATATGATCCTGAAAAGAGAGGATCAAGAGAATCTCGTGCTGTGCCAGCACCGGATGCCAATGCTGAATTGATCTCATCGATGCAGGTAAGCGACGTAGGAGCATGTTAGATGCGGCACTCTCATCTTTCCTTGAAATTTCTAACTAGGAGAAAGTCGTGTTGGCTGCTAGCAAATATTGCCAATGTGAAGTATTCTCTTCTACCGTGTTATTCAAAATGGGAAACTAATTTTGATGTTTTCTGATGTTTTACTTATGAGTAAGGAAAGTAGCTTGATGAATCTTCTGAGTCGAACCTTTCCATAGATGTTTGGAGATGGTTTCTTGACATGCAATTGATGTTTTCAATTATATCTTTTTATGGTTTAAATCTCCTGGATTGGTTTGAAATAGAGAAAGAAAAATATCCCTTGAAAATACATTAGTCGAACATCTCTCAATTATCATCAAGACACTTTTTATGCTACTTTGTCTCAAATCATTCTTGCAGCCATAATGGGTTCCGTTTCTAATGCAGAAAAGACAAAGTCATTCTAACTCGAAGAGCAGGAGTGAGATGTTCAGCACTCATCCGGAAGAAGTGGCTTCTGGTTTCCCGATCGATCCACCTAGACCATCCCAATCAGTTGAGGAATCAAATAACGATCCCCAAGCAAATGTGGTGAAAAGGGCATCCCATTCTGGTCCATTAGTTAATCGAGCAGCCTGGGTCAGGGCCGGAAATGGAAAGAACACAGAAGATGGCCCGAAGAATCTGGGTATGGCTGTTGCCGACCTACCAACTGTGTCTGGCTTAGTAGCTGCTCGGAGGAGCATGTTGTCCGAAGAGCGTAGGGAGAAATCGTATTCTCATCAGGACGGTCCTAAGCTTATGGCCAGATTTCCGGGATCCTTTAAAGAGTCGTCGAATTTGATGATGAGGCAAGACCAGAAGAGCAGCGGACCTCACGAAGATGAAAAAGCAAACAACAATCCTGTTCTTGTGAGTAAATTATTTAATTGTTCTATGAGAATGATAAAATTCAATCACGGCTGCTTGAAACCTGTGTCTTGTTCTGTCGAGAATCTCCAGCAGGGTAGAGGTTCAAAGGGCAACAAAATTCACTACTCAGGGCCTCTGATGGTTCCATCGGGAAAAGTGGACCAGATGTTGAAGGATCATGATCGCCAAATCCAAGAGGCTGTTCGACGAGCGCGTTTGGACAAGGAGAGAGTGCGGAAACACCATCAGGTCGAGGGAAACAAGTTATCGACAAATTCATTGTTTGTTTCTGGGCGATGATGGCTGCGGATTCAAGCTAGAAAAACAACTGTGGATTCGTGAGGGCCGGCACCCCCCCCAAGTATGTAATCATCTTTCCTCCTTACAGAATTGCTATGTACATGAGCTGCTGCTGCTGCATAAGAAGACTAGCTAGCCATTTGAGGCTGGATGGTAAACGGCGACACTAATTGAATGCGATCGATCGAGTTGCTGCTGCAGTGCTGTGTATAGGGCAGTCTGTCTGTCTTATTGCATCCGATGGATCGATCGAACTATCCTCTTTCCTCCTCTGTATGATGCTGCTGCTATTACTCTGTTTCAGCTGATATTGCGATTCTGAAAAATGTGAGGTATCGCAATTGTAGTCGACGAGATGTTTGTTATAATTTAAATTTGAAGACAGTTGGTTGTAGTGTTGTTGAGTTATCTCAATCTGTTGAAATGAAGGAGGAGGATCCATCTTTACCCTTATTGCATTTCATTTAGTCCCAAGCTATTTCAAAGTGGATGATTAGGCTGATTTTGATCGAGTTAGTATATATATTATATATTACCATATTCATAGTTTATTTATAATATAACATATTTAATGTTATAATAAATATATGATATTTTATAATATTATATGCCCTTCCGTTTCTAAAAATTATATTTGTATAATTTTATTTATTTATTTTTACTATTTTTGACTTTTATATTAAAAAATATTTATGTTATATTTTAATAAAAATAATTATTATATATTAATATTAAATTAGGTATTATTGTATAAAATTTCGTACGACTTTGAACAATAAAATAATATAAGACGGAAAGAGTAATAAAAATAACTAATATCTGGGTCGGGTCGGTAAAAGATTCGCGTTGAACCGGGTATTAAGTATTTAAGCCGAAGAAAAGTCTAGAACCCTACAGACCATCTCCATCTGTATTTTCCTTCCCCTCAAGAACATTCTTCGGACTCTTGTGCCTTCTTGCTCAGAAAGAAAACTAAGGTGCGGTATGTCTCTCCGTAATTTCCGTAACTGAAAATTCGGTTCTTGTAATTTTACCTTTGTGTTGCTTCGTTTGTTCGATCTCAACTCCTAATGAATCTGTTCAACATACAAGTCTGTTTGATAAAACACAACGTTCCGCACTAATTTTCTGCTTTGATGATTATATGATGTTATATGCAATGTTGATCTGATCATCGATATTCTCTGTAGAGTATTGGTTTGCTTATATGATTATGTGATGTTATGTTGGATCTTCCATACGATATTCAATTGAAAAGCGAACTGCAGATATCCGTGAATTTTATGTCTTGTTTGAGTTGCTTATCTCCATTAAAAAGAAGTACTGTTTATTTTTTTGTCAGTTCTGAATCTATTTCACAATTGTTAATATCTTGAGATTGCCTTTGATATGATTTTAAAGTCTGTCTTATCTCAGGATTGCTAAAAATGGGCGGGCTTCCAATTGACAATCCTTCCTCTGTTATCTCTTTGCAATCACAGAAAGACAAGGCATCGCCTGATACTGCTTCAAAACCAAAGAAGAAGATATGTTGTGCTTGCCCGGAGACCAAGAAGCTGAGGGATGAATGCATTGTGCAAAATGGTGAAGAATCTTGTGGAAAATGGATTGAGGCTCATCGGAGATGCCTTCGCGCAGAGGGATTCAATGTCTGAACTATAGTTTGAGTGGACTATTAGCTAATGGACCATCACGGTACTATGCAATAACCTCCCTACTCTGCCTTTGAAGCTGAATTAATTCTTCTCATGCTCATATAATTCAAAACCAAAATTGAAGAATAAAGGTATATTTTTGCTTGCTGCTACCTATTATGAACAAATTAATTGTATTGTTTAGATGCTATGATTCAGAATCTTGTTGCAGTGTTAGGGATTTTTCTGATTTCGAGTAGCAGCTTTTAGTGAAATCATTCATTGTGAATTATTTGCTGTTTACATTTATATTTCCCTAGTTGCTTCTCCAGGGATAACAGAATATTGAAATTCTAGATTTCATTGTCACCCCTTCAATTGCTTTGGTTTTCTTTTTCCCTGTCATTGTTGTCGAGAGGAGGTTTTGGGAGCCATGGATTGATGGTATATATATCCTTGTGCTAATGTTAGAAACCATATAATTGTTTTGGATAAATATATAAGGACATCATGATGCAGCGAAAGATTTGAGAAGAAATGTCAAAGCCGATAACTCACTCTGTACCGTTGCTTAGTAATACCAGATGAGAGTAATAAAATTAGGTTATCTGCTTAATTTGAGTATGAAGTTGTTAATGAGCTTAGTTGATAGAGCATTTCATGTTGAGCTCGCCTTGTTTGTATTTCAATTTGTGTTCGTTCAAGAGGTGATGATGGATTGAGTAAGAGTGAGTTTCAATGGAGTGTAATTTGCAAACTAATATGGGGGCTTAGTTGGCGATTTTTTTTTTTTAATTTTATTTGAATAGTAATTTGAATGTGATGTTTTGTGAGAGATTATAATAATATATTTTTACATATAATTGTGAAAATTGAATAGTAAAAATAGAATTATTACCAAATGAAGCCACCATGTGTTTTTTGAAATTTTATTTGTCCACATTTCTTTATTTCTATGTGCTAGAACAGAAATAAACAGGGAATGGAATTATTTTTTTTTTACATTTGATTTCTCTAATTCTCTTAAACAATTAAAAGAAATTGAGATATTTTCATTTCTCTATTTTCCATTTTCTTGTACAAAATCCACCCTAAAATCCAATTTTATTTTATCAATTGCTTGAGCAACAATGCATAGTTCCCATCCATTAGAGGACTCTTTAGGTCAGATAAATTAAATTAGATATCAAATGATTTTATTTTACTTTTGATATTCTATTAGAATAAAGATTTTATCCATACTTTATTTCCAACTAGCATAGGAACTTTGATACCATTGATAAATAGTATTTTCCTTATTTTTTTGTCATAATTATTTTGATTTCTTTTGGCTGGAGAAATTATGTAATATTTGCTTATAATTTGAAACGAAAATTGGGTGATTGCCCTATTAGAATTGAATCTTTTTATTGCTTTAACTTTAAATTTTTTTATTGATCTAGTAATTTGCGTTGCATATGCTTATTCTCATGTGTTCTTTCTAGTAAATGCTTGAATTTAAAATTTGAGGCTTGTGTTTTATTTTACAATTAGTCAAGGCATTGATCAATTCATTGTTTGTTTGTTTGCGTTTTGTGTTTAAATAGCATTTAAATACGCCATTTTGTGAGATGAACAGTATATTTTTATAAAAATTAATGGAAAACGCATAGTAAAAAGTTTGACAAAAAAGAAAAAAAGAGCATATAGTCCGTTTGTTGCATAAGTTTTGTTTATGTATGTTATGTTGTGATTATATTACTCCCTCTGTCCCATTGGAAGGGTGGCATTTGCTTTTTGCACGTAGGTTTTTGAATATTAGTATTATATTAGATTGTAGTAAAAAAAGACAAAAATACCCTTCTTAGTATGGAGTAATATAAAAGTAATGACATTTGTGTAATAAATTGTAAGTTGAAAGGGTGTTTATTATGTTAGGTGGGTAGTACAATTACTAAATTAGGAAATGATAACTTTGTTTTGGGACTGACGAAAATAGAAAATAGTAACCTTTCAATGGGACGGTGGGAGTATATTAGTACAAATATTGTGATGTTCAATTATATTAATATACTCTATATCTTCTACCAAAATCAATATAGCTGCAAATAAAAAGGCTCACAAATAACATAAAAGAGACACTCAAAGTTCTTTCACACCATTAATTAAATACTTTAGGACATCACAATATAATAATAATAATAATAATAATAATATTTATATTAAGGATCCCATATTTATTCACTATTATTACAATACATCATCACATTAGTTATGATGGGAGTGTCCCCTTCTCTTCTTCATTACTAAAACCTTCTCAGTGTCCGCACGTGCAGGTGGTGCAACTGCAGTTTGCCCCGCACGTGCACTTGCCGTTGTGTTCCGGTGCCGCCGGAGCATCCATGGCCATCCCTTCATTCTCCATCGACCTGAAAAAACATTTAATTTATAACATCCAAATTGAATAAATTCGATTATCCAATTCAATTTTTCTATAATTTAACAGTACTGTCGAACAAAAAATTTTACTATATTCTTTTTAACAAATTAATACATAACACGTCAAGAAAAGAATTGACGTAAATAAAATAGTTATTGAGTGTGATAGGATGCCATCTACTCGAACTAACGGCAAATCGACATGTAAACTATATATTTTTTTAAAAATATATAAACTAAGTTAGGATAAGTACCTTTCGTCGGTCTTGATGAGTTCAGGGGCGTAGCCCTTCTTCCTGTATTCAATCACGCGATAGATAAATAGTTATATACTTAAGGGTTAAAATCGAAAATCTCATAGTTATTACAAGAAGAGACATACGGGCATTGGGTGGCGTCGGCGCAGTCGCAGTTGGTGCACTTGCTCGACATGTTTGTAGATGTTTGTGTGTACGAGGAGAGATATGTGTGTTTGTGTATGTGTGAATGGTATGCTCGAACGAGAAACCCCGGTATTTATAGGCGCGGGGAACTCGAATAATTTGTATTAATCGGATTGGATCAAAATGAAAATGGAGTGTATAGTGATAGGAAGGAATTGAATCTGATGCATGAAATGGCTGCCTTTCGTTTAAAAGATTGGATGCTCTTCTTGACTACCCTCGAATATTGTCGCGTCTTTCTTTCTTTTTTTACTTTATTCCCTGTTTGGAGAATTTTGGAATTTTCTTTTATTTTATTTTTTATATGTATGTCTTCCTGGATTCAATTATCCTACTCTTAATTAACCCATCTCTTCCTATTTTTTCAAGCCACAAGTTTGTTCGTCTTGTATTTATTGCATTTTTGTTAAAAATTACTGTTGTAAAATCTATAGTACAAATATGAGATATATGGTTGCGTTCATTTTTATTTTATTTTTTCTCCAAAAATATCAAATTTAAATTTCAAACTGTAACAGTAACATGCAAAATTAAAGCAACATGACTTACGTCATTCGGGAAATTTATTATGATAAATAATAAAGTTTATCTTTTATTTCAATTTAGCAAATTAAAATATTTAAAATTGATAAATTTAAACTATAAATTGGAAACACATTTTATTTTTATTAAAACATATACAAAAATTATGCTATCCTTATAAATTAAACCTATTAAATAATTTAAATGTAGTTATTGGATTTGTTCGTCCAACAATTTTTTAACATATAATTCCCTGCAAATATTATAAAAAAATATAATATATACTCACATTAACTCAATGTATATAATACACTAATAAAAATTTAATAATTTAATACAAAATATGGAATAATTTTTTTATATTATCAATACTATTTCTTATAAACTCGCAGCACTAATATTAATAAGTAAATACAAATAAAACCTACACAACAATTGAGATTTTAGTTCCAATACCTAAAATAAAAAACATTAATCGATTATTTTTCTTTTTCTTTTTCTAAATAAATAAAGCCCCCAAATACATAATAATCAGTTAGATCTAAATATTGTTACTACAGTGGGTAGAGAATAATACCGAATTGAATTTTTTCAGTACAATAACAGTATGTATTTTTACATTTTTTATATATACTACACTTATTTCAGTCATACAAGACACAATATATAGGACATATTCTATAAATGTCTTTAAAATATGATTGAATACAATAGCTTAAGTAATAATAATATTAATGAGTCTTTCATGACACATATCGTTGAGATAAACAATACTCCCTCCGCCCCGCATTGAAAGTCTGAGTCACGAGAATTTAAGATAAGTATAAGGAGCAGATAATTAAAAATGTATTAGTGAAAATAATTATCTATAATATAAATAATTATAAATTAAGATTAAGATAACTAATTATTTTAATTAAATTAAAAAAAAATCAAATTAAAAAGTTTAAAATCAGACTAAAGTGTATAATTATTTTTAAAAAAGAAAAGTGACATGAGATGTTCTGACGGAAGGAAACGGCAATGTAGACATGGTATGTGGGGCTCCTTCCGTCAATGTAGACATGGTATGTGGGGCGGAGGGAGTAATAATAATAATAATGAGTGACAGCTTACCCTCACAAAAACCGTATGAGCTCGACTGTGTACTTCCCTTTCCTAGTTGAGTTTATTTCTCCAACCTGAGCATTATGTACAAATCATCAAGATTACAGAAGAATTAATAATAATGATAATAATAATAATAATAATTGGATTGCAGGCAAGGCAACTAAACAGCATCAAGATTACATACTTACTAACTGACCTTTAATCTCCCTATGCCACTTACAGAGACCATGTCTCCTGTCTTAACAATTGTATTGCTTTTCACCACTGTAGCCCAGTTGAGCCGTACATCTCCATTGCTGATCAAATTAGCCATTTTCGATCTCGAAATCTTGAAACCGGCACTAGCTATGGCATCAAGCCTTAGTGATGCTTCTACAGTCTTCAAAGATTTGGTCCTATTAAGAATCATAGGATGTTATTAGCCTGTGAACTATGCCGGAATACATTGTGAAAATTAAACTAAATTATACTGTTGTAGTAACCTTGGTGACTGGTATTTGAGCTCATCCAAGGGTATCCTTCTGCAGGTGACCGAAACATTCCTAACCTGAGAATAAAGTTATGGAACTACATGGTTCATTATTGAATTCTTAAGCTTTATGAACTGATTTTGCAGGGCTAAGTTAACCATTCCAAACAAGAATATCATAATAATCCTTTTAAGGATTTGGTTATCACACCTAACGAAACCCTTTAGATGAAAATTATCTGCAGATGAAAATTCGAAAAAAGGGACAACATTTTTGGCTTTCTGAATATGGAATTTGGCAGAAATACTAATTCTTGATTTAAACAAATGGTTTAAACTATGAAGCAGTACAGGCTTTAAAAAATTTTTTAAAAAAAAAGAAAGAAAAAAAAAAGGCCAAATCAAGCTCTAAAATTTGTTGTTTGCTTGCCAACATTGTTCACCAATTATATAGAACAAGATATTTACCTTATCCAGTGATGACTCAAGGAAATCTACAAGTTCTGGGACAACAAGAAACTGAGCCCCCTTTTCTCCCTGCGCATCGTCAAATTACAGTTTCAAGCGAAAATATCAAGAGAATATATGCCAAGATATGTAGTAGCTTTGAGGCATGTCCCAAGAATGAGCAAATAAACTAATTAAGTTTTAAAATAAATAATTTCGACGAAGTAATTACTGTTATCCATCTCTGGTCTAAGCAACCCACAGAAGGGATTTCACTTTCACCAATCATCTTGGATAATTCTAGTGGTAGTACACTATCATTGGGTAATGTTAAAATCAAAGTATCAAACTACAGTATGTATTCTGTGACATTATTGAATTTGTTCAAAATATGAAATAGCAATGAGTTATATAAGGGCATATTTGTATATAACTATATATACAAATCCAAATTTATATGAAGAGCATCAGTAGCTGTCATACAATTTCCTGAAACCAAGTATTCTCAAGATAATAAAACACGGGCTCTGTTAAGATAATAAAACTAGAATCATATCATCTCATATTGGAACACAATTGGAAAATTATACCTGCAACATGATGATGTCTCCTAGCTTCTCTCTCACAATCCCAGTTCCAAGAATTGAGCCAAGGAAGTCGCCATGAGAATGAGATTCAAATCCAAAGTTCCCAGAGATACTAGCAAATGTAACAACTTAACAACTCAAACAGAAGGCAAAGTCAGGTGGCACCGTGGCAGTGATTCTAATGCTTTTTACACTGTTGAAGATGCTGATGAACATGTGGCCATAAATACATTCACTAGAAAGAACTTGAGAAAATACAGTGTAGTTCAAATTTGAAAGAGTGTGAAGAGAAAACCATAATTATTATTTAGGCAAGAAAATAGACAATTGAAGTGCATGAAATCCCATCTGTAGCTGGACACTAGGAATATATGCACCTACTTTTTTATGTTGTTCATAATCTTATCCACTTTATGCTCAGCATTCCCTTTAGGGTGTGTTTACTTCTTAGGATGAGGTACAATCATGCGATTAATTAATGTTATGTTTACATTGCTTGATTAAATATAGGATTATACAGGCTTTAGTACAAATATTACTGAGGATTAATTAATCTCACCCGTCTAAGTAGGATTATTTATCCTTAATTAGTGTATTATAATAGCCAGCTTTAATCAATCCCAGGTTTTAATCAACTAAAGTAAACAAGTGATTAGATTAGATAAAATAATATTATTCAACCTAATTACCCTTAGTAAACACACCCTTGATGTATAGAAAGATCATATAGATTTTCAGTATTTCAATAAAGAAAAATAGAGGAGTGTCGGCAATTTCTTGAACACAAAACCATTAGTGGCTTCAAAAATTAAATTTCCAGAAGAACAAGAAAGTACCGAACAGCTAAGAGTTTATTTGCAAGAAAATGGAAGCAAAAAGAAAAAAATAAATAAATAAAATGAAAAAGATGAAGAAGAAAGAATTTTATCCACCCAATTCCTTCTAAAGGACTAGTCACCAAAAAGACACATACTATTTAGGTCCCTATTATGTGGATTTGAAATACATGCTTTAAGAAGAGTGTGCCAATTGATAGATCAATCTCTCAGTAATTTGTTTAATGCATGGATTAATTTGTAGCAATTTTTCGACTGCATCTCATTTTTACTGGTCTCTAACATCCATAGGATCAATAGCCAGAACGAATCTGGAGACTTATATAACTCACCTCATTGCTGCAATAGTATCTGGATTGGATGTCATAATATCCGGATGCCCAACTGAAAGCCGAAAACGCTCAGCCTTGAAATTTACAATGTTAAGAGACTTTATTTAAGGGGAATTTACCACATAACAGAATGTCAAATAATTTATGACTCCTCACCTCTGGATATCCTCCTTGGGCAACCATCTTTATATCTGAGAACTTCTCTAATGCTAACATGGATTCTTTTAGCACAGGAGGAGTGAGAAAATCTGTATGTAAGATTTCTCGTCTTAAAACAGCCCGATTGGCCTAAGACAGGACAAAACAGAAGGAAAACTATGAACACCTAATGCTCAATAGTTAAGGGTTCTTCAAAGAAAATTTAAATGCTTCCTTCTAGTGGGCAACCAAAAAGAGAAAAAAAGAAAAACAAGTATGATCTGCACAAGGCACACAGACAAGTATAGAATGCCGATATAGCTGAACAACATGTATATACCATTTCAAGAATTCTCTTGACATCTTCACTTGCATTCTTGTTTCCCAATCCTTTGAGGGAAATATTTACATCACCCGTAGCTGCCTGTGCCGAGGTGCAAATAGCTAAAGCTGTGTTGCAAGAGCAGCAACAACTGTTCAAGTCATCAATCATAACTTCAACAAATTTCATTCCAAAGGAAGAAGAACAAAATCATCAGCAACCGCTTGTAATATGGACCAGTTACAAAATCGTTAGCAAAATAACTCCTACTTTCAAAATATAGATACAGATATCACTCCAAAAATAATTCCCCGTTTGAATGATTAGTGAAAATGCCTACCGAAAAATTTCAGGGTGAAACCATAAAAAGAGGAATATCGTATCGTTGCCCTAAATTGGAAATCAATCTCCCCCTAAAATCGTAATTGTTTAAAATAATAGACGATTTGAAAAACAAATACATAAACTACTACTTGGACAAGGCAAATGACAAGAATGCAGATACAATACATAGATAGATAGGGATAAGGGACCTGAGGGGTTGAAAGGAGCGGCAAGAGAGAAGACTCCGAAGCTGATTCTGAAAGGAATAGAATAAGTAGAGTTGTGCGAAAGAAACATGGCCCTCACCCTCAGCTTCGTAGTTAAAGCTCGTGAGGCGAAGACAGCGGCAGCCATGGCAGATGCCGAGCCCCAAAATACTCCCGGCTACACTGACCGACCGATTGGTGATTATCAATATCAAAGTTGCACCCTCCGCTGCACTCCAGGCTCCAGCTCCAGCTCCAGCTTATTTTGGATGTGTCTGTTTTTTTTTCGTTTTTTAAATACTACTTCACCTAATATATATATATTAAGATGAGAATAACTGCCGATTAAGTATGGATCAGTAGCTAGTGTATGATAGATGGAATTTATTAACCAGAGTTTCGAAAAAGTAAAACAGGGTTTAATCTATTATCAGCAGTAGCTAGTGCTTATACATCGATCAAGCCTTATTTTTCAATGATTACAAATGGCTCGATCGAACATGGAAATTGAGGAAGATATAATAGTGTCCCTCCATTTTACTTTGAAGCCAAAGGGTTTTTCAATTTGGGAATCACATTAAGAGGAGTTCTTCTTACTGCTGCAAGGCTAATGGATTCAGCCATGTCCACATCTTCAGGTTTGATTCCCTGTGGCAAAACCCAATCAAAGTGGTAGAGTAACATTGCCAATGTGAGTTCGACATCGGCGAGGCCGAATATCATTCCAGGGCAAATCCTTCTCCCAGCTCCAAAAGGGATGTAGTCGAAATTATTCCCGGTGTAATCAACTGAAATATCGTTATCGAGAAATCTTTCTGGTATAAAACTGTCTGCATCTTTCCAAATTTTTGGGATCTCTTCCAATGGCCCATGCATTCACCACAACTCTTGTTTTTGCAGGTATTGTGTATCCATTGATCTCACAGGTCTCTCTGTTTTCTCTGGGGAGCAATAAAGGCCCTGGGGAATGAATCCTTAAAGTCTCTTTGATCACTAAGTTTAGGTACTTTAGCTCATGGAAGTCGGACTCATCGACAAACCCCTTGTCGCCGAAAACTCGCCTCACCTCATCTTGTGCCTTCTTAAGGACACTCGGATGTCTCATCAATTCCGCCATAGCCCAATCTGTAGTAGCGGATGCTGTTTCGATTCCAGCAAGGAACATATCCTATAGAAGATTCATACTGATCAGTGAAGCTCTCCACAACATCGAAATTACTCAACATGGTAAAATTGTAATGACAAACCAGTAGCACAGCTTTTATGTTGTCGTCGCTTAAGCCGAGCTCATGCCCGGTATCCTTATGGAATTTGAGGAGAATATCAACCAAGTTTTCCTGCTGATCGCCTTGAGATTTGGCTACTTTTCGAGTGTCGATAATCTTCTGCAGAATCCTATCCGACAGCTTGTGCACCTTCTCCATGCGGCCTCTAAATCCACCGATTGATCGCAACAAAGTGATGGAGGGAAACAGATCGCGGGCATAAAATCCTCCAAGTAACTCTAAAACTTCCTTCGTTACATATATCATCGCTGTGTGTTCGTCAATATTCGTATCGCCAAGAGCTGCCCGCAAAACCATGTCACAAGTCGCCAAGGAAACTCTCTCAGTCAAGTTTATCGACGAGCCTTCTTTCAAAGCTATCAAATTGCACATATTCGAAAACACTTCTTCCCTTAAGGGACGGAAAGATTGGACGCGCTTTGCGCTCAGCAGCTCTACTGTGCATACTTTTCGCAACTGTCTCCAGTATTCGCCACACGGCGCGAATCCTATGTCAGAATAATCATATAAAATAATCTTTGCCGCGGCAATGAATGGCCTGTTAGCGAAGTTGATGTCGTGCGTCTTCATGACCTCTTTTGCTGCCTCCGGCGACGATATAATAACCATGCTGATTTCACCTAGCTGCAAGTGCATCACCGGCCCGTGTTTCGACGCCAAGTCGGCTAAAATATGATGGGTTGGTCCGGAACCAATGAGGAGATGCAAGTTCCCGATGACCGGCAGCTTTCTCGGCCCCGGCGGAAGATTGATCAATGAATTCCGGGCACGTTTGGAACGAGTGATTACATTCCATAAGAATGCAAGAAATATGAGAGATGAAAAAAGGATGATTGAAGAAGATGATAATTCAGTGTCCATAGATTTGAATTTTGAAGAGGTTCAATGCTATTAATATTTGCTGTGTGCAAGTTTAATTTGTGTTATAAATAGTTGATTAAGATTCATTTTTTTCTTAGATTTTTACCTTGAAGAGTGAATTCGATGCAATTAATATTTGCTGCATGCAGGTTCTGTGTTTTAAATTGTTGATGAAGACAAGTTCGTGACTAAGGCACGATAAAAAAAAAAAAAAAACAGGATGTTGTATTAATGCCATGTTTTGAATATAAATTTATTTTTAGTATAATATAAAAATAAAAAATAAGTATTATAATTTGATATTTTAAAAAAAAAAAATTAAAAACATTATTATATTTAAAATAAAAGAGCAAAAATATTAAAATATTTTATACTTATAAATACATTCCAGTGGCACATAAAGAGTATATATTGCTATTTATTAAAGGACGAAGATCATTGTTGTGCCATTTATAGTATTCCACATATATTCTGAAGTTCTTTAAATCTAAATAATATTTAATAGAAAAAAAAAATGAAATAGTGTGATTTTTCTGTATTTTTTTTATAAATAAAATAATTATTAAATACTTTTTTCGGGTAAAAAGTAAAATTTAAAAAGACTAAAATATCCTTATATTTTTAAGAATTTTAAAAAATATATTAACGTAATAATTATTGATGGTTTGAAAAAGTGAGAATAATTTTGTTATAAAATTAGATCATTATTACTAAATTGACAATTGTTTTGAGACAAAAAAAAATAAAAAAATAAGACAACTATTTTGAAACGGAAGGAATATAATAGTTTATTTAATCTTTTTTATATTTTTATTGAAATGTGAGATAATACATAGTAAAATATACGTGCTGCAATTAGTTTCGGGTCAGGCTAATATTTTCATATTGGGTTGGCCCAGCCTGTTTTTATTCCATGTTGCGATAGGCCCGACTCAGTTTTAATTGGGCTTAAGCCCAAGCATAGTCTGATCAAAAATAAATTATATTAATTTAAATAAATACAATTATGATAAACATATTGCTAATTAATTTTTTTTAACATTAATATATAATTAATTTTTTTATTTTATAATATATTGTAAAAGAATATTTAAATTAAAACTTTAATTAATAGATCATGTCGGGCCATAACAATATTCTTGTTTAAACAAAAAAAAGTGTTAGATACAAAAGGTTTTACATTTTTTAATATAATAATTTTACAAAATAAATCTTAATATAATTTTCTATTTTTTACATATAATATGAAAATGATATTGAAAATTAAATACAAACTCCTATCTCCTCCCATCTAATAATATAATAATAATATGTGGAATTAAATTATCCCTACTAGTTTTTAAATATTATTATATAGATTCCAAGACCATTGAATCCATCTGTAAACTTCCCCACATAATTAATTTAAGAGAGGTGGCATAAAGGACAAAAAAAAAATTAAAAAAAATACAATATTATTAATAAATTAATTAATCATAATAATTTAAGTAATAAAAATAAATAAAATTATAATAGGGGTAGGGAGTGTGACAATTAAATGCATGACCTAACCCTACTATACAATTAGGCGACAATTACGATTAAAATCATCAATATTCAATATTATATTTATCCTTTTAATTAAATATTATTTTCACAATAAACTTATATATGTATTTTACAATGCTTAAAAATAATACTTTGATGGTAAAAACAATGTCATTTCCGATTAAAATGAGGGACTTTCATCTCTATTTTTTTATTGTCATTTATGGATATATTTGGTTTTGTATTTTTACTTACTTAAATAGTAATTATATGTAATGTTATATAAGAAAAATAATAATCCCTCCGTCCCGAAAATAAGTATCCATTTGTTTTTTGCACGTAGTTTTAGAAATATTAGTATTATACTGGGATATAGTAGGAATAAAGTAGAAATGACTAAAATAACTTTATTAGTATGTGTGATATAAAGGTAATGATATTTGTGTAACATATTGTAAGTTGTAAGGGTATTTGTAATGTTAAGTAGAAAGTACAGTTAGTAAGAAAGAAAATTGATACTTTGTTATGAGACGGACTAAAATGGAAAAATAAATACTTTGTTACGGGACGGAGGGAGTATATATTTTATAGATAATTGTGATTATAATTTTATTTTATTTTTCATAAAAAAAAAAACTCAAATAGAACAAAGCATATAAGAAAGTGTGTATTCATTTGACATATATTTTATAGAAATGATTCTCCATAAATATTAATAAAAAAAATATATTGACATTAATATATATAAAAACGAGTGTATTCATTTGATATACTCCCTCAGTCTTGTAACAAAATATTAATTTTTTCATTTTAGTTCGTCCCATAACAAAGTATCAATATCCTTTTTTAGTAACGGTACTATTTACCTAACATTACAAATACCCTTACAGCTTACAATATATTACACAAATGTCATTATCTTTATATCAAACATACTAAGAAGATTATTTTAGTTATTTCTACTTTATTCTTACTATATCCCAATATAATACTAATATTCATAAAACTACGTGAAAAAAAAATAAATATTTACTTTTGGGACGAAAGGAGTATATATTTTTTTTTTTGTAATTATTTTTTGAATTATTAATCTGTTTTATTTTTTAATATCTAAGTTGCTATGCAATTTGCTCATTTTAAATATGATATATATATATATTTATATAAATTTATTCTTATATAAAATTATAATATTCAAGTATTAATGAAATACATAATAATAATAATAATAATAATAATAATAATACACACTACGCCTACGGTTTGACATCCATAAAATAGTAATTGAATAATTAATTTTATTTAAAAGTATTAAAAATAAAATAAAATATCAATTGAACACCGCTAAAATAATTGTACATATATATATTTAAATTATGAAAATGGATTTGATAATAACTAAGCCCCCTCTTTTTTCTATGCACAATTATTAATAAATATTTATTACCGCTAAAATAATTGTACATATATATATTTAAATTATGAAAATGGATTTGATAATAACTAAGCCCCCTCTTTTTTCTATGCACAATTATTAATAAATATTTATTATTTTTGTCATTTAAATTTAGTGGTCCATCTAATAGGAGGGCGATAATATAATAATATTATTTTATTAAATAAAAAAACTTATTACTTAAATAATGTAATTTTGAAAATTTGAAACTATTGGGAGGTAATTTATATTTTAAAGACAAATTAATATTATTTGGTACGTATATTTGTTAGCAAAAATATATTATTTTCTCTAATAAAATATCAAAATTAAAATATTTCACCCGGCTTAATTTAATATATTATATTTTTTTATCATTTTCGTATGTAATTTCAAAAGTATGACTTTATTATTATAGTAAAAACAATCAATATATAATTACTAAAATATCTTTTAGTTTTTAAAAAATATTTATTTCTCTTATATTTGTAAAGATAAAAATATCAAATTATCGTACTAATGCTTTCATTGACCAATAAATTATTATGTTTAATTAAACAAACCTTAAAAATATGTTTAATTCAATAAATAAAATATATCTAATTGCTTTGAATTGTACTTTCAACACGATATGAACAGAAAAAAATGTAAAAAAAAAATGTCTACATTATTTATTCGATTTATAAAGTCCTTTTAAATTAAAGTCAATTGATAATTACGAAGTATATTAAATAATAAAAATAAATATTACATGCCTATGAGCTTCAAAAAATTTCAACCGTTGATGTGAATCTGAATGATTGATGCCTATACATAAATTTTGTATTTGTATTTTTCAAACGTGTCGAGATGCGGTCTATTATCATATTTTTGTTACTTAAAGAGATACTCATTAGAGAGAATTTCGTTTACTTTTTATGGAGAATTTATTTAATATTTTATTTTAATGATGGTAGGTATGGATCGGGACACAATTTTATTCTGTGTAATACATAGATATTTGATATTCGAATCGAATAAAAGTTGTTCAATACTATAAATTGTATTTGAAGCAAATTTTGGTTAACTGAATTTTTGTTTAGCTTATAATTGGCAGTTAATTTTTTTTTTTTTTGACTTGTCATAATTAAGGTTATTATAATTGAACTTTTCGAGGAACTGTTATTTCACTCAATGCACTTTTATGAGATATTCAAATATACAAGAAAAATTTATGGGTGTGTCTGTTTTAAGTTTGGATTTTGAGTTAAGATTTGAATAGTAAAAATATTGAATTAAAATATTTGTATGATGTGATATAAATAGGAATTGACGTAATATTTTGAATGTAAAATTAATTTTTAATATAACATAAAAAATAAATAAATATTTGATTATATATTTCTTTAAAAAAAAATTGAATAAGTAGTAAAAATCCGAAAAACCTCCCAAAAGAACACACCCATGCTAATGCTACCATCAATACAAAATTGTGTACAAATTACTTGCATGGTTATTATATAATTTTACAAGTTGTCATAACAAGTGATAAAATTGAACTTTTTTGAATGAAATACTATTTTATTACATATATTTTGATTAGATATATATATATATATATAAAGAATATATGTACCAATGCCAAAATTATAAATAAATTATTTTACAAGTAACTAATTATTCGACTTATCATAATGATGTTAGAATCGATCTTCTCGGATGAATTTTTATTTTATTACACATATTTTGATAAAATATTTAAATACATGAGCAAATATATATGTATATATATCATATCTCAATACAATCGATACAAAATTATTTACAAATGACTTACCATTTGTAGTCTTTCGACTATAAAAAAAAGATACCACAATTTGGCTATAAGAAACACATATTTAAATATAAAGCAAATACACGACTCTTTTAACTTAAAAATCCATCTTTGCTTGTATTTTTTATATGATATTTTTAAAATATTACAATTTCACCTTATAGTTTTTTTTTACTTATGTATATTTATTATCTATTTTTGATTGTTCAAAATTTTAATTTACTTTAAAAAATATAACAATAATAATTAAACCACCTTAAAATTGTGTTACATGAATCTCAAAGAATATTACAATAAAAAATATACAATATATTATATTCTATAATATTTATACAATTTTTTTTTTATTTTTGTATTTAAAAATCATCTGAAATTATGAAATTATTATCAGCATAGTTCATCGTACTACACACAAAAATTAATTCATCTTAATTATATATATTTATTATTTTTATATTAATTACATTTTTATATTTCATATAAAAAATTTTCAAATTATTTTACAAAATTAAAACACTTTACAATTAATCAACCTACAGTGAAATAAATATTTGACGTACGAATTTCTCACAAAATATTAATTACCGTATATATATAAATCCTATTTACAGAACAAAAAAGTTTGATACAGCGATGGAGGGGCGCGTGTGAGTCAAACGAGGAAACCACTCATTAATTGCTTCAATGATCTTCAAGACGAAGGCGATCACCATTCTCTCTCTCTCTCTCTCTCTCTCTCTCTCTCTCTCTCTCTGTGTGTTCATATTCTGGCACCATTTTGCCACTCGCTCGCAATTCATTGTCGACAACGCATCCTCAAAATCTGAACCAAATCCGCCATTGTTCCGTGCATTCTAAGTTAGAATTATGGTCGCTCGCTGGACCGACGAGCTTCTTCTGCAAACGAGGTGCGCAGCTTTTTTCTATCTTAGCTTGTTTTTTGTATGTGTGTAGTTGCGGTTATCCAGGGGTATATTTGTGTGCGTGGAGGTATTGTGGTGTTTAGAAACAAGGTAGAATTAAGTAGCTCTGCTTCGATTAGCAAATTGGACTGGATTTGATTTACTTCGACTGTTGAGGTCCATGCAATTCTTTCCGTGTTCTTCGCCGTAGTTGTCGACGATTCTGGATTGTGACTTGTTAATTAATTGATCGGAGCCTCCGATGGTTCTATTGAATTCGATTTTTAGTTTCTCTGGAGATAAATTCTGAATTTATATTTCTCTTTGACTTTGTCTCCGGTTTTCGGTTGTTTAATTGTGCATAATCGTGGAGGTTAATTAATGTTTGGAACTTCGATTTGGATTCCGATTCTAACTTTGGATTACTCTTGGAACCCTAGATTGATTCATTAGGACAGAGAGTTTTTTCCTATTTTGTTGCCTAAAGTTTCAGTGTTCATATATATAATTGCTGTTTGGATTTTACTGTCTTTTTTTGGCTTTGTTCATTCTATTAAGCAGGATTCATGGTGTAATTAAATTCATAAGGGGAAATTCCATTACTGGCATAAAAATTCGGAAACGCATATGATAGATACTCCATTTTTGTCTTTGTTCTCAAACTTTGGTCTGATTGACTTTTGCTTATTTTTAGGAATTGCAGTTTTAAGATTTGGTAGGCTCAGACTAGTTAATGTAGTTGTTAATTTGGAAAGCTGTTAATGTTTTTAATTCAACAGGTAAATTTTAAGTACATTTCGTTGAAAGAACTGGGATTCTTTGCTGCCAGCCATTTGATTTTTTATTATCCTGTGATCCTGAAAATTTTTGGATCAAGCAGGAATTAGCCTCGACGAGAATTTCGTAGTAGAATAAATGATCATAGGTTTTTGTAATGGGGTTTGTCGGCGTAGAGAAGAAATGGGTGTTCCCTCTCATCCTAAGTTCCTTGATGTGCATCTTTCTTTTCGCGACGACCTTCAACATGGCGTCACTGCACACAATCAATTCATTTTTTGCATTATTTCCTACTCGCGATATGACGAGTGGTAGTGCCCCTTATTTGTCTGAGTCGAAGATTACTCAAGTTCCACCTCCTCCAGCTCTGCCCCCCCTCCCTAAATTTGCTTATCTGGTTTCCGGATCAAGGGGAGATTTAGAGAAGCTATGGAGAACTCTTCATGCTCTCTATCATCCGTTGAACTATTATGCCGTCCATCTGGATCGTGAAGCGCCATTGGAAGAGAGATTGCAGCTTACATCTCGGGTGGAAAACCACACCCTGTTTTCGAAAGTTGGGAATGTTCATGTGATCAAGAAATCGAATATGGTTACTTATAGAGGCCCGACAATGGTTGCTAATACTCTTCACGCTTGCGCTATTCTTTTGAAGAAGTATAAAGATTGGGATTGGTTTATCAATCTTAGCGCGTCGGACTATCCTTTGGTGACTCAAGACGGTTAGTTTTCACCTCGTTCTCTCATCGAAATTGTGTTGAATTTATAATGTTGATGTGTTTTTAGTTACTACTTTTGATCAGCCTTTCTTCTTTTTCTTTAACCATGATTTACTTTTTCTTGCAGATCTCCTTTACACGTTCTCCAATTTGTCGAGAGAACTCAATTTCATAGAACACACTAGTCGCTTAGGCTGGAAAGCGTAAGTTTGTCCCGCACTTACATGAGTTGTGCTATGGGTAAGATTAGGCCATGAGCGTTTGACAATTTACAATAATGGTTTTGCCGCAGGTCACATAGGGCAATGCCGTTGATTATAGATCCCGGGCTCTACCAATCAACCAAATCCGACATATTCTGGGTTTCACCCCGGAGAAATTTACCAACGTCATTCAAATTATTTACCGGTTAGTTATTGCTTCTCCCCAACTTATCTGTCGAGCCATATTTAATTTATACATCATGATGAGAATTTTAGGTATGTCCTTTTACAAACTTCTTCGGTATATTTCAATTTAGCCGACTTTAATGCTAACTGTTTGGTGGTTGGTTGGTACTTCGGGACACATTGCTTTCATATATTTATGAACCGAATTTTCTTGTTGAAGACTTTGATTGTATATGCACAGCCTGGCTTCATATCTGGTTGGTCTATCCGTTCATATTGCATCAATATCTTTACTGAACCGTTTGTAGTTAAGTTATTTAAGTAAGCTAATGAAGAACTTCTAATATACGCACGTATTAATTCAACGTGAATTTTATAACTTACCATTAACTTGTCATCGGCGTTTGGTCATGCAGGGTCGGCGTGGATGATGTTATCCCGCGCATTCGTCGAGTACTGCATATGGGGTTGGGACAATCTCCCGAGAACCCTGCTTATGTATTACGCGAACTTCGTTTCTTCACCTGAAGGGTATTTTCAGACTGTTATCTGCAATGCGCCGGAGTTCATACCGACTGTGATCAACCACGACATGCACTATATTTCTTGGGACAACCCCCCGAAACAGCACCCTCATACTCTAACTGTCAACGACACCGGAAAAATGATGGCGAGCTGCGCTCCATTTGCTCGGAAATTCAAACAGGACAATCCTGTCCTGGACAAGATCGACCGGGAATTCCTCCGGAGAAAGAATACGAGCTTCACTCCCGGCGGTTGGTGCAAGGGTAAGCCTCGTTGCGCCAAGGTGGGCAATCCGACTAAACTTCGACCTTCTCCGGGGGCTCGACGGCTTCGAAAGCTTATTGATAATCTACTCTCGTCCCCAAGATTCAGCGAGCAACAATGTAGGTAGGTGAGAGATCGATCTTGATTTTGGTTTCTACCATTTTAACCTCAATCTTAAGTCTTGGTTGAGGCCAGAGGAGGAAAGGGGAGGAAGGTAAAAACAAGAAAAGAAAAAGAACCAATAATAGTAACATATTAGTCGTAGAATGTAGCTTTACAGAATTTCTATACTAGTACACAAATATATATATATATATATAATAAAGTTGTTAGATTCATGTGCACTAATTCTTGCTTGTCCCTTGGTATATTTTAGAAATGTCAAAATAGATTGAGTTTTCTGATTTTAGTTAATTGGCTGGATTGATTAATTTGTAACCAGTTGCTTATTTTTGTTCATATTCCTCTCAAACAATGCATTATGTTTTAGGGATTTTGTAAAATATGTTGAGTTATTTATATATATATAGAAAAATATTATTTTAAATGTCTCTATAAAAAATTGAAAATGGGTTTGTCTGTTCCACGGGTTTGTCTAAGTAATTTAAAATTTTAACTGTCTCCAGTATAACTCGGTTCTGCCAAATTATGGATTATAATGAGCACCTCTACCCATTATCTTAACAGTTCTAATATTGATAAAATAAAAAAAAATAAATAAATATAGAAGTAAAATTATATACATAGGAAGAAATTTACAGAAAATATCTTTCCCTCTCCCACCTTCCAACTAAATACATATATATGTATGTATGTATATGTATACACTATTAACTACAGCAGAGTGTCCAAGTTAAAGATCACCTGTTCACTACAAACTAACCAAAATCATATATTATGTGTGTATACATATCTGATATATATAGCTCTTCCGACAGTCTGGGCAATCAAAATCCATGGAGATCAAACCATCTCCAGAAGCTTAACATTTCCCATTGAATTGGCAGCTACTAAGGTTGATGTCTGTCCGCGCCAACAAATCGACGAGATGAACTGCGCCGCCGTGTCGTCTACTTGGCCCGAGAATGGATCCGTGCTGCTGAACTTGAACGACAGCGCCGGCATCGGGAAAGCCTTGTGGTACACATAGACCTGCACTCACTCACGCATCATCTCAATGCTAATCGGAAAACAAACACGTTCTAATCGATAGTTGTCGACACAAAATCCTCCAAAAGGTTTGACAGATTTGCAATGGATGAAGATGAGAGAACATACCTCGTTTGTTTCCGAACCAGTTGCAATGTATCCTTCAGACACTGATAGTCCCACAAAATTCTGCCATTAGGAACAAATAAAATTATTAGATTAGATGATGTAAATGATCGTTTCACCTAAAAGCTTAATCTATTAGAGATATGCACCCGGTCACAGCCAAGGGGATAAACGCCACCAAATTAAACTTGCCCATAGATGACAACAAATGGGGACAGAGTGACTTGAACTAGAAATCTAAAACTCTGATACCATATTAAATGATGTAAATGAGCCTTTAGTGAGACAGTCATTTACATCATCTAACATAATTGTTTCACCTAAAGCTATTAGGGATACACGTATCATTTATTTATTTATTTATCTACGGACAGGAGTTTACAAATAAAAATAAATAATGTTGATAACTTTTACCTTTTTTTCAATTTTGTTTGAGAAACTAGATAAAATTTCTAATAAAACCTTCCAAAGGGTGGTGTATGTCCATCTTCTAATATCTAAAAATTTTTACGTAATAAATAAAACACAGAGACTTACAATACGACGCATACCTTCACATTAAGATGGCCAGTGAACGACTGCAGAGGAGAGTCGACAACTCTCGACGTGCACATCGACAAATCCCATAACTTTAGAGTGTTATCAGTCGACGCCGAGACGAGAGTCCTCGAGTCGACAAACTTCACGTAGCTCACCGTTTTATTATGCCCGACGAGCGTGCACAATGGCGCTTTCGAGTTGCGAAGATCGTAGTAATATATCTTACTATCGGCGGATCCAAACGCAATGGCGCGACCTGAGTCTGCCGGGAACTGCACACAGCACACGTTGGCCTTCGTCTTGATAGCACCAACGCTCGCTCCCTGCGGCGTCGCCAATTCATGTAAGAAAAACAACCCTTACGCCACTCGGCGAGCGCGCGTCGATAGTACATTTGTATAGTTTTCAAAGCTTGACATTCGCCAAGTGCAAAAATAGAATTTGCCTGATTGGTATTCCAGAGCTTCACCGATCCGTCGTCGCTGCCGCTGGCGAGCATCGTCGGATCAGCCACCGAGAAGTCGACAGACCACACTCGCCGCTCGTGCTCTCTCATTTCAACGACTGTCTGGTTTCTGGTGACATCCCATACCTATCGAAAAGATTCGATCTTTCGATCATTCGAAAAAAGAGCGCGAATTATTGAAGCGAGGATACCTGCACAATGCCGTCGATGTTGCTCGACGCGATCTGGCTTTTGATGTAGCTGTTCCAACATATGCTGCTTAGCTTCGATCGACTTGCCATTTCGACGACGGGGTAATGTATGTCGCAATCTTCGCTTAAAATCGAGTTATACTCGAAAACTTTGATCTTCTTGTTCACACCCGCCATTGCAAAAAACTCCCCATCACGGTCGAAACTAAGGGAGCACACGAGGTTCGACGAATTCAAGACATCGCATTGCTTCAAATCGGCCTTCACCGATAATTTACTAAATGAAAGATATTTGCGCAATCCGTCGAGGAATGTACTAATCCATCCGCTCTGCCTCTGCTCATCGCACGCCTCTTTTGACAACGGATTTCTGATCAAGCTTCTTTCGACTTGTTTCGCGGCTCGTTGCCTCGTCAAGAAATACACAGATTCCATTCTCCGAAAATTCTTCATCAGTCGGGAACTTTTCGACAGAATCCTTCCTGGATTTTCTTCGATTCCTTGCTTGATTCGCTTTCTCGAGCCGGAGCTAGAAGATTCATCATCTGCAATGCTCATTTTATCGAGACCTGGCGAGCTTGCACTCCCCTGTAGCCGTAGATTCGTCTGCATCTTTGTGACTTCTTCTATGTCGGATGATATGTACAATAATTTTTCCTCAAGTAAATCCGCGCAGTCCTGTTTTTGCTTTTGTAGAAGTAGTAGAAACTCCAGCAGCAGCTCGTGCTCCTCGATCTTCTCTCGAAGCTCTGTCGCGGCTTCTCGTTCTTCGATTTCGTTCCTCGGCTCATTCAGAAACTCGCTCTGCTGCAGTTCACTGGTAGATGCAGAGCAGAAGTGAGCATAACAACGAGCGAAAACTTTTGACGCTATTTATCAACAGTAATATCAAATATCAACTTTTTACCATTCTTATAATTCTCCAAAATTCCAAAACTTTTATCTGAACGAACTATAGGAAAACGATATGTTCGAAACAGAAATGCGCGGAAGAAGCAGAGCTAAAACTACTCGACACATTTTAGGCTGTGATTGCAATGAAAAATGCAGACTTTTTTTTTTTTTTTTCTTAAATATCGTATAAAATACGAGCTACTATTCTTATCCATTTTAAAATTTCAAAAACTTCTATAAGAAGGGAGGCTAAATTTTTCCCAAAAACTATAGGAAAATAATATGTTCGAAACAGAATCGCGCCGAAAAAGAAGCAAAATTGAAACTACTCAAGGCATTTTAGGCCGCAAATTCGATGAATAATCACGACCTCATTTTAGGCCGGCTACTCGGATCGGGATGCAGCAATGTTAAGCAAAAGGAGGCTACTTTAGGCCACTTGAGCAGCAACTGCGGCGGAAGGACTCGATGCTTTAAGCTCGCCATTGTCGCGGTTTTCTCTTCAGCGAAGCCGAATGTGCAGAACAGCTGCTTAAAACAGATTTTCAGACAAAACCAGATTGAACTAAAACAATAATTCAGTATGCAAGAACACAGTTTCATAATTCAACAATGTCCGAATATCATTATCGTTATCGACCTCGAAGAGCAAGACGCCAAGCTGATAAATGTCGGAAGCCCAAGTCGGAGTTCCAGAAGCTTCTTCGGGGCTTCGATACCAATTGGATTCCATCACCAGAATTTGCTTCATCGGAAACAAATGCTGCTGCAGATGATCTTCGCCGTCGTTGTCATCGTCGTCGATCGGAAAGTGAATTCCGGCGGCGTCGGAGGGATCGGGGGAATCGGAGCCGGTGGAATCGGAACAGGAAGCAGACTCGATGAAGGAGACTCGATTGAAGGAGGACATGATAAAACACGACGGCCGGACATTCTGAACGACGATTCCGAGGGAATGAGCGAGGCTAACGATGTCGACGATTTGGGAGAATATGTGGAGGCATTCGGAGAAGACGACGGCCCTGTCGGGATTGTCCAGCCACTGTCGCAAGCTGACGTCATCGCCGCCGCAAATTGGGGTTTTCGTCAATGACGAGGATGATGAATTCAGACCAGAATCGTAACAGCTGTAATAACAATAATCATTATCAGTATCATTATCATTATCATCGTCGTCTCTTCTCGAATTAGCCTCGTCGTCCGCCATGGCTGGCTGCTCTACCCACAATTGAGTATAATCCGGCGCTGCATCATGGCAGTGATGATGCAGCAGACATTATTCTGAGTTGTGATCGAAACCTTAAGAATAATCGAATGGATCATAGTCTGGGAGATTGGATAGAGATTAGGTAGGGATTAAATGATCGATGGAAGAGACATAGAAAAGAGATATAGATAGCGAAAGAGGGGAGAAGCAAGAACACACATTCATTGGTCATCTGTGCCTACGAATCGCAAAACAACAAGAACCACACAACTAATGATATTGATACCCTTTTCTTATTTTTCTCAAATCCCAAAACATCATTAATAAATGCAGAACTAAATAAATAATAAAGAACACACCAGCTTTTCTTCCCACAGCCATCTGGTAAAAAATATCAGATCGAAATTGAAATCCAATTTGATCGTATGTAGTAGGAGGGGGTGGGTGGGACTACGTGGACCCTCCACCTCCACATCCTCATATATCTTCAGCTTGAAAAACATCTACCAGATTAAAAAGACAAGAGATGCTGACATTAAATGGTTTTGTTCCACTGCTGCCCTTAATTTAAATACCAACATTGAGTGAGGCTCTATTGCGACCAACAAATAATGATTTAATACTTCATTCGTTCCAAGAAAAATTCGAAGCTAGACCCAACCCTCAAGCGAGAGATGATGAAAAAAAGTTTGACTAATATACTTAAGAACAATATATTAAGGGGCTCCAGTTCCCACTACTGATTTAAAATAAATTTGAATTGCATTGTAACTTCAAATAAAATATCTAGTAAGAGTTACACCCTACTTTATTATTTATATAATAAAAATTCGCAATTGCTACATAAATTTGTTCACAAGTCGCACCTCTCTGCGGTGCTAATGTTGTAATGACAATCAAACTAATTTACTACAAAATGGTGCAACATGCATGGCCAATCTGAATCTATCCACCCCAAAAATGTGTTTTTAGCCCCAAAGAATCACCATATTTACAAATCGCCCCCTCAAATTGAACAATCCTTCAACTCATTCTCATTAGCACCAAACCCCAACCCGCCCGTTTGATCCGGGTACCTCACCCCAAACGGGTCACCTGCCCCGAACCCGAATCCAAACAGTCCCGGGTTGTTCCCTCCCGGGTTCCCAATCCTGCTCTGAACCTCGTCGGTTCGGGGAGGTGCAGGGGTATAACCGTCATTTCGTGAGCTTAAATAGGGGTGGGCGGGCTCGGAGACGATCGGGCTAAGGCCCGCAAGAGTGGCCCAATCAAAATCCCCTGAGCCCAATTGCTGAAGATTCAGCTTCTTGGGAGGACTGCCGTTATTCATCCTGGGCAGATCCATTTCGGGCAGCGAGTCCAATACGTCGTCGTATTGGGACGACGGCGACGACGGCGGCGAACCGTGGCTGTACTCCCCGGTTTGAGACCCTGACGGCCCGACCGGCTTCTGCCCGGTCGAGTTTTTCTTGTAGATTCGGCACAGCACCCAATCATCCAACTGCGATCATCAAGTCAATCAATCAAGAATCAGCAACAATCAAAACATTATTAAATAAATCAAATTAAATAATCAAGAATGAAATGAACATATACCCTGGTGCCCCCATACTTTCTTGGGGGATCGAAGAGCCTGTACTCGTGCATAATCCAATTGGTTTTGGTCCCTTTGGGGGCTTTGCCAATGTAGAAGACGAGGGCTTTCTTGATGCCCACTTTTCTACCATCGCTTGTAATAATCTTATCTGTCCCCGTGGCTTTCCAATACCCTGACCCCGCCACTCTATTCGGCCTCGACCCGTTTGGATACTTTCTGTCTCGTGGGCTGAAAAAGTACCATTCCTTTTCCCCAAATAACGCCTTCCCTACATATACATACATACATAGGATGTAAGAAGAAGAAGAGAGAAACATGAAGAAGAAGAAGAAGTGGTTGCAAATGTCTGTCTGTATGTATATGTATGTACCTGGAAGTTCCCAAGGATCGTACTTGTAGAGATCAATATCGCCGATTATCTGAAGAGGGAAATGGTGTCCGGCGACTTTCCGGCAGAGGTACTGCACCATTAGCTCCTCGTCCGTCGGGTAGAACCGGAAGCCCGGCGGCAGCCTCAGCTGTGAGCACGGGTCTCGGACACCCATGTTTTCCTTTTCCTTGTTTTTTTTAGAGAGAGAGAAGGGGGGGTGGTAATTTTGAGGGGTGATTCCAATCCTGAATCTCTGAAAACCAGAAAGATGGATTGATTGATTACTATTATTATAGGATAGTTTTGGGATTGGGGGTGGGGGTTCGAAAGAATTCTCCAGAACTGGGGAGAGATACCGTGGGGGTTATATATATATATATATGTATGTATGTATACGTATAGAGTGGTGTAAGGGGATAAGTACAGTGGTCGCTGTCGGTTTGTCAAAGCAATGGTGAATGGTGAGTGAGGCCCACACACAGCACATCGGCGCCGTTCATATGGCGCCACGCAGGCGCGTGTTCGGCCGCATCCGATTGCCTGCCCACCTTATCCCATGTGGTAATGCGCCAATTTACTCTCTATGTACGTACCCATTTATTTTTGTTATGTATATTATTAAAAAACAATTCATTCAAAATTTGTTAAATGTACATGTAACGAGAAAATGAGAGAGAAAATAAATAAAGAATACAGATATTTTATGTAGTTTGGTAACAATGTGTCAATCTACATCCATCCGCAATCGGAGATATTTTATTATACTGATTCAAAGAAAGTTACAGTCATATCATACGACTAGAAACCATAGATATTTATTTATAACTACCCTAAAATACCCTACATCCTAAGCTTATTTGTTATTAATTAGAATAAGTCCAAAAGGAACCCTACCAATTGAAATAATTCTTTCGATTTAGTTTCAAATCGGATAGAGCACTAAATCCGAATCACGTTTCAACGGTACAAAATAAGTGAACCTTACCTCTCCTCAAATGCAATAACCTGCAAATTACATTTGTAAGGTTAAAAAAAAATTAGTATGACAAGTAAAACTAAGGTCCATTTAAATTAGCTTTTCAAATGAGTTTTTGGTCTTTACATTTTTAGAAAAGGTATTTTAATTTTTTTTGTATTGATTTTTTTTTCAAAACTAAAAATATTTTTTGAAATAAACAAGAACATTTTAAAGTTAAAGTTATGGTTTAATGTTATCTCAATAATAATAATAATATTTTAAGAATCTAGTGGCATAAGAAAATTATTAATATTTTAATAATACAAATATAAATATATATATATATATATATATACACATATTCATTGAAGTCATCAAAATACAATGAATAATTCTATAATAAACATAAAAGTATTTATCGTTTTTGTAACGACTAATATGCGCTAAATTGAGATATATTATACTTCATTCGTCCCAAATACCGTGTCTGCTACACTGTAAACACAGTATTTTAGGAGAAGTGTAATTAATAGATAATTAAGAATGTATTAGTGAAAATAATTATCCTATAATATAAATAATTATAAATTAAGATTAAGATAACTAATTAGTTTAATTAAAATTAAAAAAAAATTAAAAAAATTTAAAATGAGATTAAAGTGTATAATTATTTTCCAAAAAAGGAAAGTGACGTGGTACGTGGGATGGACAGAAACAGCAATACGGACATGGTATCTAAGACGGAGGAAGTACAATTTTATGAATATATTTTCCAATAGAAAAGTGTTATTATTATTTTTATTATTTATTATTAGTTGTTGTTGATTTAGTATAATGCTTATGTAATACTTCTTCGGATCCAACATAATTGAACTATTTTATTAGTGATACAATATTTAAAGTATTGATGTTTAATTAATTAATTATAATGAATTATGATATTATTTTATTATTTTTATATAATTAATAATATTGATAATTCTAAAAATAAATTTAATATATATAATTAAAAAATTAAAATATGTATTTAAATATTTTTAAAATTATATCGTAATAAAATATATATACAATATGAATATTATTTTATAGAGAATAAAATTTTTAATAATACAAATAAATAAAAGTTACCGTTGACAAAAAATTGTGTGATTTTTAATAAATACAATTTGTACAAATTATATTTAATTTAAATTTAAAGCAGGTCCTATTCTCTAAATGGTCTTTGATTCTCCTTTAGGGTCGATTTGTTTTTCAACTTGGTTTTTTATGGCTTCTTTGGTCCGAAGAGATTTGGTCTTCGATTTAATTTTGCCGAACTTTGGAGAGTTTTGGTCTTCATGCAGTGATTTGATCATCAGCTTTGAATTTGATGTCTTTTTTAGACGATTCGAGGCTTTGATATTTGATTTGGCTTTGACGCCTTTTGGAGGGCTTTGGTCTCCGTCGATTTGACCATCAGCTTTGGATTTGATGTCTTCTTTGGACGATCCGAGGCCTTGATCTTTGCTTTGACTTTGCCGCCTTTTGAAAAGCTTCGGTCTCCGTGTGGACGGTTTGATTATTGACTTTGGATTTGATGTCTTCTCTGGACGATCCGCAGCTTTGATTTTTCTTTGTCTTTGCCGCTTTTGAAGGACTTTGATCTCCGTGTTGGGGATTTGATCGTCGGCTCTGGATTTGATGTCTTCTTTAGACGATCCGCAGCTTTGATATTTGAGGGGGTGGATTTGGTGCTCCATAACGCTTTTGGCAGCGTGTCTCTTTGACTTTTGGATCAAAGAGGACCGAGTTGTTGCTTTGGTGAAGAATGCGATGAACACCTCGAAGCTTTGGGATGAACTTTGAATGCTCTTCCTTGGCTTTGATGGACTCTTCATAGCTTTTGGAGCTTTGATCCTTGAAGATGTGGATTTAGTGCTCCATAACGCTTTTGGCGGCATGTCCCTTTGACTTTTCGAAGATGGCCTAGTTGATACTTTGTTGAAGAACGCGATGAACATCTTGAAGCTTTGAGAGGAACTTTGGAGACCTTCCCTTGGTTTTGACGAATTCCTCAACGGCTTTGAGAGCTTTAATCCTTCCTCTGGCTTAGACATACGACGAAGAACGTTAACTTCATCAATTCGTCAACCAATATTGGATCATTTGTCCAAATCAGTGACTTTCGACGAAGAACGCTTCGAAGAACATGAAGAACAATACAGAGAGAGTCTAGAGACTTACCCTTTGCTTGAATCATCCATGCAACTTCAATGTCAAATGAACTGGCCATGGCTCCTATTTATAGGGGATGGGTGGCTTCGGCTTCCTTTTTTAATGGCACCACGTGGCACATTTTGATTGGCCAATAGGAAGATTTTATAATCTTTCATTTTTCATTAGATGCTCTTTTCCATTTTTGACGGATTTGATTGTGTACCTTCCTTTTTCGCCAAGATCTTTATATCATTGCACTTTTTCAGAAGATATTAATTTATATACTTCATTTATTGACAATATTAATTTATTTTGCTACCAAATTTATTATGACTCTATTTATGCATGTAATATTTGTACAATATCTTTCATTTTAAGCAGATTTTTGTATTAATGGTTGATCTTTATTGTATAAAAAATAACATATGTGTATAATTAAATACCATATATTTATTTTATTGAAATTTTATTTTCTTCCAAAATGCATGATAATTAATTGATTTTAGACATATTTTTAGTGTCTATAGTTACGATTTTCTATCTATAATTAATAAAAATTAATTTTATAAAATATATGAAAAAATAAATTTAAATAATTTTTTTTGTTTTTTAGGAAAGAAATATAAATAAATGAATTTTTAGTGGTCTATAAATGATTTATAATGTTATATATTATGTAATTAATTAAATTGATTAATATTTTTAATATATTTTGATTATTAAATTTTATTTAAAGTAAAAAAAATATCAATTGTAATATGAAAAATAAATAAAATATATATATCAATTAAAATGAGTAGAATAGAATATTAAAATAACATAGAATTATTATTGTGATTATTATTTTAAATTTTTTTCAAAATTCGCATATAAACAAAGCCAAATAATTACAAGGTAGAATTACTATATATAGCGTGTATGACGACGTCGTTTCGTAAAATCTTTTGCAACCATCGAATCAAGCCCTAACACACACATACAATACAATGGATAATATTCCCCGATGGGGAGAGTGGTCAGAAAAGCACGTGACCCAATTCAACACGCGCAGAGGAGTGTGGAAGTCACGCACGCACGTGGCGCCGAGTTAGGCGGAATGGCGGCGAGAGCAAAACGAACTCACTAATTGTCGACACGTGTCCGGTTTTACTGATATTTATTTATTTAATTTTTTTTTTAAATATATTCCGTTGGGCTTTTTATTTGGTTGTTTCTTCCACTCTACAACCTCTGCAAAAGCTTTGAACCTATCTGATGAGGTGTCATCAGAATGGCGACTTTATCGTTGTATGGTCAAAAGCGTGTTTTGTGCGCTGTCGAGCTGCGAAACCGAAAGGCGTTACGATGTTGTCGTCTAGTGGACGTGGCTGCATGAGACCTCGTAAAATAAATACTATGTAATAATTATTACGACATTCGACATATGTCAAGTGCCTAATTTGACTTTTTTAGATTTTTTTTTAATAATCATTTTAATTATATTTTAAAATTTTAGATTTTTTTTTTTTTAAACAATAGAAAATCGAATAGAAAATAAATATTTGATATAAATTATAATATAAATATATGTTAAATGTAATATTTTGAATATGTATAAGAAAAAATGTGTCAAATTACAACATGAGATGTACAGTTGGAAGTTTCATGATGAATATTAAAATAGTAATTTGTACATCGATTTTCAATAAAAATGTTTCTTTATTTTATAAAAATTTGTTAAAAAATGGGTTTGATCAAATCTCCTTCTAATACCAAAAAATGAATCGAATCCCCAAAGCATGGTTAATTCACAGTAATAGCAACTCTATGTCAACGAAATAAATACTGAACTCGAAAGTAATAAATAAGACATGTATTTGATAATACAATTCGATTATAAATCAATTTACATCTGGCATCCCAATTCGGGAGTAGTTCCAACTATAATCAATCTTGATTACAGAACAAAAACAACCGCAGACTCCTTCAAAGTTTGATCATCTTTTTTTATTGAACTTTTATTGAACCTCATATATTTTTGTCCTCCGCAACTTATCCAACGAGTTTTTATGTTAAAGATATATTCAAAACATGAAAATAGAGATGGACAAGGTCGGGAGCATGAGTGTGTATTTTCTCTTTCTAAATTTTGTCTATAAAATGTGCTCACGATGGATATTCTCCAAAAGACCTCATTCTAGTGGAGTTCTTATAAAGTATGTAATTTTCTTCACAACTTTCGATGTGGGACTTGGGTTTGCACCCTCCCCTCAAACCAAGGACCAACCAATGGTCTTCCTTCACGAGGGCAAGCCAACAATCACAACCAATGCCCACTGCCACCCAGTCCACTTTACCATCTAACCGGGCTTTGATACCACTGTTGGGACTGACTCAACTTAACACTAGTATGATATTGTCCGCTTTGGGCTGAACCCGCATGAATTTGTTTTTGGATTTCCTCCAAAAAGCCTCATTCTAGTGGAGTTCACTTCAGACTAATAAGGTGCGTAATTTTCTTGGCAACTTCCGATGTGAGACTTAGGTTTGCACCCCAACACTATTAATGAAAATTGAACACAACGGCTACATGTGGGAGGAATTTGTCCATATGCCAAAACAAGTAACAAAGGGTATTTTTCATTTACAAAATCAAATCAAAATATTATTTAAATTAAAATTTAGATTAATAATCCAAACTTAAACCCAAATCCAATAAGCGAGACTATACCAAGTGATCCCCCTTTAAAAATATAGATAATAAAAATTTATAAAATATTTATATTAATATAAATTAATCTTATAAATAATAAAAATTTTGAAATATATTAACTTTTATGTATGGAGATAGAAATAAAATTGTTGGAATGTTTGTGAATGATATAATAATTGAAAAAAAAATGTATAAGTTGGAATGATATTTTGATGAAAGTATTAGTTGGAATGAGATTTTTTTAGACAAGTAAGATAATTAATTGTCTAGAATTGAATTTTATATAACGAAATGTTGATTGGACGAAAAATAAATGAATGAATATTGATGAATATATACGTAAGCCTGTGAGGTGTAAGCGTTACTAAAAGTCTACAAAATAATACAAAAAGAAAAATATCACTATTAAACTGATTTTTTATTTTTTTATTTTTTTATTACATGAAAATTTACTTACTGTTGTTACCTTTTGAGAATGCATAGAATAAAATAAACTTTAAAAAATAAAACTTTAATCTATTAATATGTATCTACAAAAAGATATTAAAAGAATTTGCAATTGATAAAATATACTTCCCTGTCATAAAAAAAATGTGTTTATTTGATCGGATACGAGTTTTAAGAAAAATAGGTAAAAAAATTTTTTAAAGTGAAAAAAATAAAAAAAAATAATATTTTTTACTTAAAAAAGAAAAACAAGAATAAACTTAGATGACAACAAAAAAAAAAGAAAAATAAGATTAAATTTGAATAATAAGGAGAATATTAATTAAGTATTCTAATAATCGATTAAAACTTTTGTAACTATCAAATATCTTTTTAGTTTGAAAAAAAAAAAGAAGAAGAAGAAGAAGAAGAAGCATTTGGTCATAAATTACTAAATTTAAATATTATTAACACACTGATGTACCCGACAAACAACAAGACTAAATATAATATTTGCTGTAAATTTATTAATAAAATTTTAGTACAAAATCAATATAATAACATTACCAAGGTATTAAGAATATATTTTTTATTTTTCCAAAAACCTAATAATCTTAGTCTATTATATTTAAAAATATTTAGACATGAATTAATTGAATATAAAGATATTGGGTACCCTATACTTATGATGGTAATGTGACATCCTAGAGATCTTTTAAATAAATATTAACTGCTATATTTTCAAATAATACTGAAATAATAGTAATTTATAATGCTAATTGAGAATCTCACTGGTTAAAATAAATTATTCACCATATTGTAAATAATTATGATTTGAGATATATGAATGATAATTCTGCTACAAACTTGTATAGTTTCATTGAAAGAATGATATATTACAGAAAATAAGACAAAATATATTTAACTGAGAATTTTCTTTTTCTTTACTCATAATTTTCAAAATAATAGTGAAATAGATGTTTGATCAAAGTTTATCGACTGCAACCGACTACGAGGTTTTAAGTAAAACCTATATTATGATGAACAATTTTAAATTCATGAATGACATTCTTTTTTCTTCATTAGAACTTTTGTTCCTTTAAACTTTTTTCTAATAAAATTTTGATAATATATATTTATTGCAGTTAATGACATCTACGGAAGAACATTATAACGCATTAATTATGTAGGTGTCATTATAATTGCATGGATGTAAGTATTGTGTTTTTATGTTATGAAATCATCATTGTTGATGACTAATTATTTAGTAAATTGACTATAATGAGAGATAACAAAATTCACTTTCAAAATTTTATTCGCAATTTCGCATGAATTCACACTCTAGGTCTTCTCTGTAACACTCGCACCACTGTGTTAACACACAAAAGTGTGCAAATAATCCGTGCGCATTTTCGAGTAGTGACTGTGAGTTCCCACATCATAAAAATAAATAAAAAAAATTCAAAATGACAACGGCAATATTAACAATTAATGTGTCACCGTAATCCCTTAAGCTTCACAAAGTCAGAAGCAAAGAAAAATACTGATTCTTTAAGCTTCACAAAAATATAAGCTAAAAACACTGCAATCACAAGAAAAAATACCAAACAAAAGAGGGAGAAGATAGTAAATAGGGATAGAATGGTTGTAAAGAAAGGATCCGAGCATCCAACCTAAAACCAATTGGTGATAGGTGGAGTGGCCATTTACCTTATATACTAGGGGAGATCCCACACATTTTCCAATGTGGGATATACTCGACACTCCCTCATCGAAATGATAATCTCGAAAATCCATACAGGATCCAAACCCAATACAGGCATCATGGCTCTGGAACCATTGTAAAGAAAGGATCCGGACATCCAACCTAAAACCAATGGATCCGGTATAGGGTTTAAGTTGGATGCCCGGATCCTTTCTTTACAATGGTTCGATAAAGAGACAACGTCGAGAGTAAATTAATGTGATGGTGCAACACACATCTTTTTATATATAGGCTTCGATAGAGATCAACGACTCAGATTAAAACTCTCGATCCAATGGCTGTTTTTCGATCTCGATGGTAATGGGCCGAACCAAAACGAGTGGACAACAAAAGTTAGGTTGGAAAAGAAAAAATAAAAATAAAAATAAAGAAATCTTGAATTGTAGGCCTCATTGATCACTTGGCCTAAAATTCACAACAAACACATTCCATATTTATAAATTATATATACATTAAATTTAACCAAATATTTCATGTTGCATTTAAAATTAAGCGATTAAAAAAAACTCACTTAAAAATGCACTCTAAATCAAAGTAATTCAAATAAAAAGTAAATTTAAAGTATTATTAAAAAAAATACATCACTTTAAATAAATAAATAAATAAATAATGAATATACATATTTTTTAAAAAAATTAAAAAATACACACACACACAAAGAAGTATGCCCGGAGAATTTGATGAAGGTGAGGGAGGCCCACATGATCCATTCTATATGAAAACTAACCGTTACTCACCTCACCCACCACCCATTTCTCAAACCTCATCCCTAATTCCCATTTTTATTTTTATTTTTTATTTTATTTATTATTATCTTCACTGGCAACTGTTTCTCACTCATACTTACAGCTTAATTCCCATGGCTGCTCTGCTCGAAACCCTAATTGTCCCACGCCCCTCTGCTTCCTTGTCTCCCGTCGCCGGATCCAGAGCTCTCGGATTCTCCGAGTTCCGGGGACTCAAAATCCAGCCTCCTCGTTCGCTCTCCAAACTAAGGTCGTCATCGAAGCTCACCCGCCCCAGGGGAACCAGAATCTTCTGCGAAGCGCAGGAAACCGCAACCGAAGGTTTGGATTATTTCTGCAATCGATTCATATTTGTCGAATGAAATTCAATTTTCATATACATGTTTGTTGTATTGGTTTTGATTAAATTAGAGCTAGTTTGAATCCGACGAATATGTTGTATTAGAAATCAATCAAGTATCGTCTCCATTTGAAATTACACCATTTTTGGATCAATTGTTTTTTTAGTTAACTGTAGAATTGTGGTAGAACTTACTTGGATATGCCTTTGTATGAAATGTGATTCTCTATCGTAGACGACCTCCATTAGAGCACATATTGATTAGCTGATTGACATTAATCTGCAGTGCCTGCTGTAACTGATTCAACATGGCAATCTTATGTGGTCGAATCTACTTTACCTGTTCTCGTCGAATTTTGGGCGCCGTGGTGTGGACCTTGCCGAATGATCGATCCTGTAATCGATAAGCTGTCTAAGACATATGCTGGGAAGCTCAAATGCTACAAGGTTAACACGGATACTTGTCCTACGATCGCGACGCAGTATGGGATTCGGAGTATTCCTACGGTTCTGATCTTTAACAATGGGGAGAAGAAAGAGGCGGTAATTGGGGCTGTTCCGGAGTCGACGTTGATTACTAGCATCGAAAAATTCTTATAGAATGGTAAGTCTCTGAACATATATATGTTCTCAGGGAGACGAACACTGTTAACATTTTCGAATAAGTTAAACCTCGAAAGCCCTTTCTGTATAGCTTAATGACTTGATGCTGCTGTGTTATATATTATTCCTTCATAGTATTTTCAAGGGTTCATTTTCATATTTGTGTATTTGGCTTTCATGATTCTTGTTTATGTTTGGATTCAATGTTCGCATTCCTTTATATATATATATATATATGACGTGGAATATATAGTCATTACTTTTTCGAATGCGTTCCGAGTAAAATTTCCGGTAGAATAAAACATTCTATTTTAAATACAAACAATGACCGGACAATATATTTCACCAAAATCCATAATTGACCCCGTGTTTGAAAATACTTAGGACTACAAACTTTGCTTTATACGATTTGTGGGTCCAAAAATTCTTTTGGGCCAGGTTTTAAACTATGACCTTACTGTTATAACCGGATCGTATATTTAAATTCATATATATATATATATCTATAAACTCAGATCAACATCTTCTACGATCGTCTACTCTTCTCTTAATAAAAATGGATTTCATTTTCAGTGTTTGGAGAATAAACCTTGTGTAAGTGAGGAGAAATCAAACTCCTTTCCCGACTGCGAGGAGGATCCCGGAGATGTTGGGGATGCTGTCCGTGTACTGGCTGTGGAGGGCGCACCGACATTAGGCTCCATGGGACCGGCACTGCAACACAACGAGGAAGGGTGGGTTAGCTAACATGTGTGTATCCTTTAAACCACATAATATTTGTGAAGTAGTAGTTGACAATATGAGCAACGAATTTCGGTTAATTTAGCATAGCATTGTGAATGTCGAATTGGAGGCAATAAAAAATGTTGTAGAATTTGTGGTTCTAGTAACAACTCGAATGAAAGAGGGAACTAAAAGAGGATGAAAAGAGAAGAAAACAACAATGACAAGCAGGCCCACCTTTTGACAATAAATGAAAGAGTGAAAGAGCTTCGTCAACCGAATTATGATGCATATTAACTTAATTATCACTTTAGTAACCAATAATATGCCGAAACTTCAAAATTATGCGAGCATGTTGGAGACTAATGTTCCACGATGTTATCCAATAAAACGGCTAAACTTCAAAATTGACACAAAAGATCTTAAACACAGATTCAGACCCGCAATGAACACTTTCATTCTAGTTGAGCTCATATTCGAGTTTAGTTAAACTAAGCTTGAAACGTCCATACCTAGACATAGGAAAAGAGCTTTCAACCGGAAGAATCTTCCCCATCTGTTTAAAAAATTAGAGAAAGAAAACTGTCGGTAAAACTTCTCTAAAACCTACAGTTACATGCATGTCTTTTACCTGCAGATATTTTTCCGAGTCAACATTTTGTTTTTCTGGCACCATCATTCCAGGCAGCTGATAGCCGACATTCGACCAACCTAGGTTAGATAAGTTTGTATTACCAATCCCTAATTCTATATTACCGGGAACTTGCGGTATTCCACCAGAAGCATTAGATGCGGCAGCCATTAGAAGTGACTGTTTTTGAGCTAGCATCGCAAGTTGTTGTTGCTGTTGCTGAGCTGCATACGGCGAGACAACATTGGACTGCAACAATTTGCAAACAATAAGAAGATTGATGGGCACTTTCTTGTTTGGTACTTAAATAGAAATGAACTATAAAATCTACATTCGTAACTCAAGTTTGTATAGAATTTGTACACTCTTCGTTGTGGATGCAATAAGTTGTGCAGCTATTGCCACTTGATAGCACCATATTAAGTATATTTGTCCATTAAAAATAATTATCATTTAGCGCCAGTTTATAGAGTCGTTTGATGGAAAAGGGGGTCATGAAATGCATGAATAAGCAGGTTACCTTTTCAAAAAGCGACATAATATCATCTTTGACATCTTTTTTCGGTTTCTCTGTAGTTGAAATAGGTACACTTGATGCTGAATCCTTAAATAGATCTTTGACTCCTGAAGCAGAGTGAGCCTCATTCTCATAAAGTTTTGTTGGGATCGTAGTTAGATTCTTTTCTGTGGATGAGGAAGCATTGGCTGTTGCAAGATGTCGAATATTAGTTTCAGAAGAAGCATTCACATACTTCATAATATATAGGTACACATAGATACAAACACTCAAATCAAAGCACTTACACAACGCCGTACTTGATGTTGTATCCTTAAATAGGTCTTCGATTCCAGATGAAGAGTGGGACTTGTTATCATCAAATTTTTCTGGTATAGCAGGTTGATTTGTCTCCCTGGATGATGTTGTATCAGCAGCTGCAAGTTGTCAAATATTATTACCCGAAATATGCATGCATACCGACCACATAATATAAACCCAAATCACTTAAAAAACCTAACCCACAGAAGAATGATATTTGTCCAATTTAGAGACATACCCTTAAATACTGCCCATGAGTCGTCATCCCCAGATGCTCCTCCATTGGTATTTTCACCAGGACCATCCACTGAAAGCATGTCGAAAAGATCAGTAGCAAAAGTAACTTCAGGGGAAGGGCCAGTACCAGGAGTCTGCTTTGATGTTTCAACAGGCGCAGCTAGCTCTGATTTAAGTGGAGCTGGAGAAACCTGCATTTTTTACCAAAATGTATCCATAATTCAAACTTTACCAGATCAAAATATAACATGGATAAACAAAAACAAAACAGGTTTTATCGAAGAACTACTATGCAAATCACACAATGTGACACAGCACATGGAACTGAAAATAGCTATTGTTTTGAAAAATAATAAATTAGACAAGAAAAGCTTGTTATCAATCTGCACCTACAACCTTTATATGCATTAAAAGGCACATCTATTGCTTTAAATCTCCAAGCCCAATACTGCATTCTTAACGTTTTCTGTTAAAAAACTCGCAACAACATTGCAAAAAACTAAATGTTCGAATATTAGTCGTCAGTATCAATAATATCCTTTCATTGAAAGCACTTAAGCAACACAACATACATGTTCTGGTCCTTTAGGAGGCATGGGTAGAGTAATCTTGAAAGGTCCGCTATCTCTTTTACTAGTCGATGGAATTGTTTTCTTTCCATCGGAAGAGTTCCCAGAACTGCTAACAATCCTATGTGCAGTTCTATCATTTGGACTTTGCAACTGGAACGAAGCTTTTTCTTCTAATTTCCTGGGAGGTGACTCTGGTTTCCTATCCTTGGCAGCCCATCTCTTCTCTTCGTACCTTGGTTGTATATAGGGAAGAAAAGTCACAAGCTACAATTCAAAATCGGGCACATGAAATGGTACTGATAGAAGTCTTGTGGAGAAGAAACCCGTACTTTGCATGAATAAAATTCTCAATCCCCACTCTATCGTAATTTCGAGGAAGCTCTGCCTCCCAATAATCATTTGCCTTCTTGTTTCCCATGGCTTTTTTTTGACAAAATAGATAAACTTTAAAGAGGATTTTAGAAAATATATGAAATAAGTGCAAGCATATGTGAGATATTCTTACACTGAATGAATGCAACCTGCGCGGGAAGCCATGTGTCGAGTGCAGTAGAACGCACCTGCACAAACACAAATAGTAGATCATGTGCTAAACAACAGCTATCAGCCAATTATTGCAAATATAAAATTAAATCTATACACTCGGGGAATGAATGAATGCCAATCATTACTTAAATTGAGAGAAGATTCAGAAACAAACAACCAGCCAAGCAATATATGATATCCCAACCATATCTGTTATGTCTGCCATTGTAAGAAAAGAAAGCATGGTATGGAGAACAAACTGAAGTCATTTATCAATATTACGGACACATATGACCAAAACACAGCGTTTAGGAAGCTGGAGATCAAAAGTAAACCATTACATGCATTTGTAAGACTGTTTCTCTGCTACAGATCAAATCCTTGTCCCAAGTTAGGAACATACTGCAGAAGAGAGTTTTTACCCAGAACCAATTTAAACAGGTTACCTTCGATATGTGCACTCCAAGACTTCTGTGGATCGCAGAGCATTGCATGCATATAAATATCCCTAAATTCACACTCGCCCATCGAGGACCTCTGATTGTAGAGAAAATACACACAAACAAGGTTAAAACAAAACAACAAGAGAATGCTACATTCGAATTAATTTAATGAAAAGATGAGAAATATGTTTCTCACAAAATGAAGAAGATGCACAATAACAGTCATCTGGTTTTGCATTAATTTGATTGTTAATGCAACCAAAGGAAAAATAATCATAACACTTGCCTGCTCTTGCAATCAGCACATTCTCTATTTTCTGGCAATTTAAGAAGTCCTTCCAAGATCTGAAAAATTAATTATTATTATGATTGTAATCATCATCATCATCATCATACCCACAGTCCACATAGATCAAATTCTGTTTCTTCAAATTCAGCATTGAAACCTTAAAATGCACTCAACCACAATATAACACAAAATTGCTCCGCAACCGCAAGACACCTTATTGAAACCATAAACTAAGAATATCCAAGTAAACACATTTCAACACTAATCTATAACCTGAATTTAATACTCAAGTTGAGCAAACAAAAATTTTAGATTCCGATTAAAATTGGGTCGAGAAGACGTGAATCTCTCCTCGGGTTAGATTAGAATGATCGATCATATTAATTTCCCCAGGCTGAAGAAAACTTCATTCGCCTAATCGAATCTGAATAATTAGCAAACAAACACAATCCAAAACCTAGGTACACTACATGTAAGTAACATGCCCCACCTCGATCGCATAGTACCATCAATCACTAGCTACAAACAACGATCAATCCAATTATCATCAGATTATGTATTACAAAACAATAATTTTATTTTTTTAAAAAAACAAAATGAAAAGATCACGAGAAAGCAAACGATCAGTGATGGAGAGCAAGGTGCCAGACGAGAAGATGGAAATAAACAATAATCTTACCTTACGGTGCTTGGCGTTAAGCTCTTTGGAAATGTTGGCCTTCTCATTCATGTCGATCGTTAAAGGAAATTGCGGAGTTCGATCTTTCTTTCACTTGCAGCAGTTCGTCGGATCAGACGACAAACACTGATGAAGAAATTTGAGAGGAAGAGGAATGGCCGTCGCGGTTCGGCGGTTCCTGTCTTTTTTTGGTGCGTTTGCCAAGTTTCCTTTATATATATTTTGAAAAAATAAAAAAATAAAAATTTATTCCTTAAATACTACAAGTAACAAAATAAACAATAGACTGAGGTCCAGGCCCAGGCCCAGGCCCAATATTTTTGCACATACCTCCCAATGAACACTTTGGAAATTATAGCCCACTAACAGCAACTTTAATTTGGCATAACACCTACTAACTTCAATTCAATCCCATAAAAAACATCCAAGTGAAGTCCGTAAAAGATAATATGGTCATTGTCAATTTATAAATTTAAAATTATTTATTTGTTCGAAAAATAGCAGCCGTAAATTTTTATATCATAAAAAAATCAAAAATCTCAATTATTTTTTTCGATTTGATATTTGAATATTAATTATTATATTAAAATATACTATAAATTAAAAAAAATTATAAAAATATTTTAATTAGTATCTTATAATAATAATAATAGAAGAATATTTTGTAAACAAAATAAAAAATTATTTTTATCTTTATAGTGTTAAATATAATAATGTAAAAAGTAAATGTAAACCATAGAAATGGACGTTTCTATTAAAAAATATTAATATAAGATATTTCTAACTATATAAAATAATATATATTTTTTAATTAATTCCGTAGAGATTTAAATACATAAGCTTTAGATGACATATATTCTATATTTTAATTTAAAATAAATGACCTGTTTGGAGGCTTTTGATTAATTATAGATAGCAGCACATGTTGGACGCTATGATTTAGTCAAAGTCTTATTTGGGTTCTTTTTTCTAGGCTATGGTTCAAGTTGTTTATTTAAGGGTGTGTTTGTCTGGGAAATTGGATTGAATTTATACTATTTATTCAATTTTTTTTTTTTAAAATATCAAATCAAACATATATTTTTTATTTTTTATATTATACTAAAAATTAATTTTACATTAAAATATCAAATTAAAATCTATTTATATCACATCATATAACTATTAAATTCAAAATTTTTACTATTCAAATACCAATTCAAAATTCAAACTCCAAACAAATCGTACATTTATACTAACAAATAAAATACTACTCAGTTACTATTTCCCTCAATCTCAGTTAAAAATATTCATTTTCTTCACAGTAAATATAATCACACGCTAGGTTTCGTAAGGAATGAATATATATATATATATATAATTTTAAATAAATTAGAAAAGTGACGTGGCAACCTACATGGGCCTTACAAAAATTACTCAATCAGGCCAATAAAATATTCTTATTTATTACTCGTTCTGTCCCAAATACTGTGTCTGCTACACTGTAGATACGATATTTTAGAAGAAGTGTAATTAGTAGATAATTAAGAATATATTAGTGAAAATAATTATTCTATAATATAAATAATTATAAATTAAGATTAAGATAACTAATTAATTTAATTAAAATTAAAAAAAAAATAAAATTAAAAAATTTAGAATGAGATTAAAGTGTGTAATCATTTTTCAAAAAAGGAAAGTGACATGGTATGTGGGACGGACAGAAACGGCAACGTGGACATAATATCTGGGACGAAGGGAGTATTTTTATCCGTTTCAAAATAATAGTCTTATTTTCATAAATAACTATATCACCATAAAATTATCCCTATTTTTTTCATTTTAATACACAATTGTCATTACTTTTTACTCTAATACACTCACAAGAGCAAAAATAAATTGTTATCCATAAATTTTACTAAACTAATATAATAATAGATATTTATTAAATTTCGTGTCCAATCCAATTAAAATTATATTTACGAAACAGAGATAGTACTGTTCAGTCATAGTCAGTAGACTAACACTAACGTGACCCGTCTATCCTGACTACACAAGCAGCAGCCCTGTTTTCTTGCTTTAAAATACTCAATATTGGCTGCAATTTTTGGCAGTGTTCATTTTTTAGGGCGAGCATTTGTATTTTTAGGTTGAATTTTGTCAAATTTGAATCCATTCAAATTTAGAAAAAAATCAAATCGAATCGAATCAAAATTTAAATTATTATTATTATTATTATTATTATTATTATTTTAATTTTCTTTATATTTTTATAATTGTTTTATAGTAATATTAGATATAGCATATATTTCATTCGTCTACTATGGTATTTCTTTTATTGTAGACACAAGAATTTAAAAGGAGTATGATTAGTAAATAATTAGGAATGTATTAGTAAAAATAATTATTGTATAATAAAAAAAAAGTGAAGTGGAACAAAAAAAAAAAAAAGGACAAGGTAAATAGGGCAGGGAGAATAATAAATAAAAATAAGTATATTAAAATATAATTAATGATTTTAAGTTTTTAATTTATTAAAAAATTAAATATATATTATGATAAAAGATACTTCATCCGTCTCAATACAATAGTTATGTTTACCATTATTTTTCGTCTCAAAATAATAGTCTTATTTTCATAAATAATTATATCACTATAAAATTAAAATTATCATTATTTTTTCATATTACACAATTGTCACTACTTTTTACACTAATACATTCATAACATTCATAAGGACAAAAAAGTCTTTTATCCGTATTTTTTTAGTCACTGCTAATATAATATTAATATTTATTAAATCTCATGCCAAATAATTTTGGAATGAAGAGAGTATTAAAATATTATATTTTGAAATTTTGATTAATTTGAATTTTTATTAATATATTGGTTCGAAAATTTAAAATTTATAAAATATTTTAATCTAAATAATTTGAAAATCCAAAAAATTCGAACTAATTTTAGATTTCAAATTTAATTGGAATTGAATTTAAAATATTTTGCTCGCTCTGTACATTATTGTACTATCATGACTTCAACTGTGCTCATTCTACTGCTTACTAAAAAGCAGTCTATTTTGACCAGACTTGGAAGGTGGTTGTTTGTTTTGATTTTCGATTTGAGTTATTAATACTAAAAAATTTAAATTTAATAATGATATACTCCCTACATCCCATAACAAATAATTTATTTTTTTATTTTAGTCCGTCCTGTAACAAAGTATCTATTTTTTTTAGCAACTGTACTATCTACATAACATTACAAATACCATTACAACTTACAATATATTACACAAATGTCATTACCTTTATATCACACATACTAACAAGATTATTTTAGTCATTTCTACTTTATTTTTACTATATCATAATATAATACTAATATACCTAAAACTACGTATAAAAAGTAATTGGATACTTATTAATGAGACGGATGGAGTATATAAATACATATTGATGTATTAATTTAATATAAAATTAATTTTTAATATAATAAAAAATAAAAAATAAATATTTAATTTGATATTTAAAAGAAAAATGAAATAGTGAATAGTAAAAAAGTTGAAAAAAAATTCCCTACCAAACGTACTTTTCTGCCCCAAATAAAGTTTTTCAATTTTTTTTTATAGTAAATTTAAAAAATATATTATTTTATTAATTAGTGAAAGTGTAAAATAATTTTGTTGGGTGCGTTTATTTGTGAGGTTTTGGCTTTTAATTTTGATTTTGAATATTAAAATTTTGAATTGAAATAGTTGTTTGACGTGATATTTTAAATGTAAAATTAGATTTTAGTGTAATAAAATAAATAAAAATTGGATATTTGATATGATATTTTTTAAGGGAAAAGAAAATTAGAATAGTAAAATCATGGGTAAAATTAGATATTTAATTTGATATTTTTTTAAATAATTTTTTATAAATAAATTAATAATAATAATTTTTTTATCTTTTATAAATAAATAATAAAAAAATTAAAAATATTTTTTAATAAAAAATATATAATATATATTTTATACAAGAGAATATAATATTTTTTTGTTTTAATCTAATATACTACTACTATTTTCATTATTTTTTCTTTCACATACAAATACAAATAGTCAAATACTTATGCTTTAAATTCAAATTTACCACAGTGACCTATTTTATTTTAATATATAAGTGTGGATTCTTGTATTTGTAAGGATATTTTTATTCATATAATTTATCAAATTAAAATTTATAAATATAAAATACAAAAAAAAAAATTAATCTATATGTAAAAAGTAATTTGATATATAATGTATTATGAATGTTTAATTGGTAATTTTTTTATTTTTTATTTTTTTAAATTTAAACAGTTGATGATTGATAAAATAGCTTATAAAAAAACTATAAATATGAGAAGAGTAGTCGTTATTTACATGTAAAATATTTTTTATTTAATACTTTCTCCACAATTATTTTATTTTTTTTTTTATTTATTATCTAAAAATGTCCAATTTATTTATTTCATTATAGAAGAGGAAGAAAAAAAAAAGACATCCTTAAAACTCACGTCGCATACTACCGAAATAACGCTGACCGGTCCAATAAGCGATGATCAGTTGGATACGATGGACTCGTGACCGTGAAGTTATGAATTTAAATTTTTAATATCTTTAAATTCACACATATTATATATGATTTGTCTAGTGTAATTTGTCTTATTAAGCCTAATTTGCAGAGTAATACTCCCTCCGTCCCTTAATAATTTATCTATTTTTTCATATTGGTCCGTCCCATAACAAAATATCAATTTCATTTTTTTAGTAATTGTATTATATACTTAACATTACAAATACTATTCAAATTTACAATATATTATATAAATGTCATTACCTTCATATCATATAATACTAATAGAATTAATTTAATCTTTTTATCTTTATTTCTATTTTATCCCAATATAATACTAATATTTCTAAAACTCTGTAAAAAAACAAATGAATATATAAATATGAAACGAATAAAATATTAAATTCGACTGATAATTTATTTAAAGCGTACTCGAATAGTAAGAGCATCCGCAATGGGGCGGAGGAGATGCGCCACATCATCATTTAAAAAAAAAACCAGCATCTCTGCATTCTAGTGCCATGTGTCCCAATTTAATTGGGCCATATGACACTTAGGTATGTATATATATGTATATATAAAATATATATTATATATGTTTTGTTTTTGTAATTTATATTGAATTTATTGTTATATTTAAATTTTGTAATATTTTTATAATTCATAATATTTTGTATTCTACAAACTGATACCAATATTGAATATATTTTATCAATTTAAAATTTAAAATATATAAACACAAATATTATATAATTCTATTGAACAAATCAATAGTAAATTTAATTTAATTTATTAAATGAAATATAATTATAAAATTTAAATCAATTAAAACTAAATTTAATTAAACAAATAATTAATACTCCCTATTTTTGGCGCGGTGTTTAAGAAATAATAGTATTTTAATTATAGTGGGTAGTTAAAAGTAGTGTAATGACATTTTTGCCCTTGCTTTTTGGTGTAAAAGTAATAATGTAATGTAAAGTAGGGGTATTTGTGGTTAATGAAATATTTACTTTGTAATTGGACGTCCCAAAATAGAAACATGTATATTTTCTAGCTGGACAGAGGGAGTACTACAAATTAAAATTACAATTAAAAAATAATATATATATAATATGAAAATAATTTTTTTTTAAAAATTAGAATAAGTATCTTGGTTGTGAATATAAAATAATAGAGAGTATCTCCGCTGACGTGGATAAAAAAAAGTAGCGGTTTGAATATCCCGTTGCGGATGGTCTAAACTACAGCGGATTCCACAATTTTTAAAACAAAAAAATAAGATAAGAAAATAATGACGGCTGACCGAATAAAAAAAACAATTAAGTCAAGAACCCGTCTTTATCGAGATGGCGTGGCGGAGTGGCTCACTCCAATGAACCTGTATGTATATATATATATATATATACCCCAAAACTCAATTCTCATAAAATCAAGTTGAAGTTGAGATCGATGGATAGTCATTTCTCATCGTCAATTCTGCTGTTCTCATCTCTCATATTTCTGGCACTCTTATGGAACATAATCACTCGCTCCAAACGCCGTCAGACCTCCGCCAATCTCCCGCCGGGGCCGAGAAAGCTGCCCTTCATAGGTAATATTCAAATAATTGTAAATATTTCAGATCAGATCTGCAGAATTTATGTTGAGTCGACTCACTTGTATAAAAATAGATTGGTTTGGTTTGGTTTGGATACAAATTTGATATAGTGTGTAATTTTTATTTTTTATTTTTATATAAAAAATGTAATTAAAAAGAATAAAAAGTAATGTATTGTTTTTATTAAGAAAATGGAAAATAATTTATATTTTGACGATAGACAAATAAAGAAAATGAACTTTCGACAAATAAACTACTATTAAGTACACTGATATAAAAAAAAAATAAATGTACCTAGAGGCAGACGAATGAACTATATATTTTTTATGGATTAAAAGAAAGAACCATATAAATTTGATGGATTGAAGTAAAATAATATTTTATTGATACATAGTGTAATAAACTAAGCGGAATATCTATTTTGACTTTGACATAATAGCAAAAATAATGTAAAATGTAAAAAATAGAAGTACTTTGATATTTTATTGATAGTTAATTTTTTTAAAAAATAAAAAATATATGATTTAAACAGACTAAATAATAAAATGAAAAATTTACTCTTTCATCCTTGATTTCATCGTTAATAATAATAATGCAATTTTAAAATTTCCGCAAAAATGTAACAGGTAACTTGCACCAACTGGCCAGTTCCCGGCCACCGCACCACATTTTAGCCGAACTGGCTGCAAAACACGGTCCGCTAATGCACATCCAGCTCGGCGAAATAAGCTCCGTCGTCGTATCCTCGCCGGAAGTCGCCAAAGAAGTCATGAAAACGCACGACATCACTTTCGCCAATCGGCCGGCGCTCTTCGCCTCGATGACCATGACTTATAACCATTCCGACGTCGCCTTTTCGCCCTACGGCGAATACTGGAGACAGTTGCGCAAATATTGCACGGTAGAGCTGCTGAGCACGAAGCGCGTCCAATCCATGAGGCCATTGAGGGAAGAAATGTTTCACAATTTGTGCAAATGGATCGCCTCCAACGAAGGATCGCCGATCAATTTGAGCGATCAAGTGTCGATGACGACTTGCGACATCGTCATCCGCGCGGCGCTCGGGATAAGGGACGAAGAGCACACGGTGTTCGTGTCGGCGGTGAAGGAGATTTTCGATTTGGTCGGAGGGCTTTATCTAGGCGATTTGTATCCTTCGGTTAGACTTTTTCAGTCGATCGGTGGATTTAGAGGCCGCGTGGAGAAGGTGCACAAGCTGTCGGATAAGATTTTGCAGAAGATTATTGACAATCATAAAATGGAGAAGGCTAAAGATGAAGAGCATGAGAATTTGGTGGATGTTCTTCTCAAGTTCCATAAGGCTACTGGACATGAGCTACAGCTCAGTGACGACAACATCAAGGCTGTGCTACAGGTTCGTCTTTAATTAATAAATATTATTACATGATGCAATTTTCCATTTTTTTTTTATTTATTAATTATTTTGTTTGTTTTTCTGTATTTTCATGATTTTATTTTCTTGAAATTCGTATTGGTCATCGAAAATAGTCAAAATTTGACATTTTTTTGGGCTTGCGACGTGGTTTAAGGTCTTGAAATGATGTTTTTCGACTTTATAGGATATTTTTTTGGACTTCTGGTTTTTGAATCTAAAAATATTAAAAGTGTATTTCTTTGAATTTGGATTAGAAAATTTTAATTTGAATTTTATATTTAAATAATATAATAAATTTAAAGAAAAAAAAATATTATTTTGAAAAATGTAAAATTTAAATAATACTTTTTTGTAGTTTATTTAGGTTCGACAAAAAAATTAAAAAAAAAAATTAATATTTTATTAAAAAGGTGAAAAAAAAATAAAAAAATTTAGTTAATAATTAAAAGAATGAAGAGGTAATGTAATAAAATTAATAACGTTTGTGGTAAACAAGTGTTAATAAAAAATAATAATTAAATATAAATTTTTTGACCTTATGAAATAAATTTTAATGGACAAACAGAAAAAAAAAATAATAAATTTGAGGGAAGAAAATGAGCATAATTTATGAAACTAGAATTAAAAAGAAACACACCTTAAGTTGTTTTTCTTCGATTTCATTTTCTATCTTAGTAATAAAACATTTGATTGGAAACTTCTCTGTTACTAGGCTATTTCAATTCGTGTGTTATCATTTACACTCCATTGGTTATTTTCGAATGTTGTCGATTGCAATTTTAAGACACTACGAATCTTGTTGTGCATGTAGGATCTATTCCTTGCTGGAATCGAAACATCATCGGCTACTTCAGATTGGGCTATGTCAGAAATGCTGAAAAATCCAAGAGTTCTAAAGAAGGCACAAGAAGAGGTGAGACGGGTTTTCGACAAAAAGGGATATGTCGATGAGTCCGACTTCGATGAGCTAAAGTACCTAAAGTTAGTGATCAAAGAGACTTTCCGAATTCACCCGCCGGGGCCTCTACTGCTCCCGAGAGAAAACTACGAGGCCTGTGAGATTAATGGCTACACAATACCGGCAAACACGCGAGTTATTGTGAACATATGGGCCATTGGAAGAGATCCCAAAATTTGGAAAGATCCCGACAGCTTTATACCAGAGAGATTTCTTGATAACAATATTTCAGCCGATTACACCGGAAAGAATTTTGAATTCATCCCTTTTGGCGCCGGGAGAAGGATTTGCCCGGGAGTGTCATTTGGGCTGGCCAACATCGAGCTCCCGATGGCATTGCTTTTGTATCATTTCGATTGGGAATTGCCTCATGGAGTGAAACCCGAGGACGTGGACATGGCAGAAACCGCGGGGAATTCAGCAAGAAGGACGAACCCTCTTGTTGTCATTCCCACGTTGAAAAACCCTTTGCCTCTAAAGTAAAAACAATCGAATCGATCGAGGGATATTGAACCTATGTACGAGGAAATTATATTCGTGGCTAATAAGACTTGATGTATAAGCATTTCTTTTTGGTGGATTAATGAACTTGATTAATGCTTTGTTAGTATGGGACGTTTGGATTTTGAGGTTATTTAAATATTCAAAATTTTGAATTATAATAATAGTATATTGATATAATATTTTAAATATAAAAATATATAAATTTTTTCAAAAGAAAAACACATATAGTTATCTCTCTTTTTTCATAATCAATCATTTTACTTTGCTATTTTGATCCATTCACAATCAATTTATTCACTTTATTTTCTTAAATATGAGAGAATCGTATGAGGAATATAAAAACTAATATTTTATGCTAAATTGTTAATTTTTTATCTGTCAATATAATATATATTTTTTACATCGGTCTCTAACGATGATATTTACCTTTTAAGTTATTGTACTTAATATTAAAATTATCTTTATATTTGTATAAATGTCATTATAAGTCACTAATGAAAATATTTTTGCAATTGTTTCTTAATTTGTACTATATTTTAATATAATATTAATATTTAAAAATCAACATGCAAAAAGTAAATGAGACTAGAGCCAAACGAATGTATTATAATATATTATGTTAATATGTATTGTTGTAAGATTTATAGAGGATCAGTGCCACTAAAAAAAAATAATTATTCTTATAATCATTTGGGATTTGTTATTCGACAATTTCCTATATATATATATATTTTTAAAAATAATATATTACACATATTTATTAAACAATCTCATTAAACAAACACACTGTTGGTCTCATCACCAAGTGAATACATTGTTGTTCATTCTTAAGTTTCGCGCCAAAACTAAATATATACTCTATGGGTGGATAGATGAAGGGAATATTAAAATATGCATAAAACATCATTATTATCCAAATTTAACGTTGATTGTAAATATGTGTATCTAGTTATTTAAGTACTATGCAAACAAAAAAAGTGAAATATTATCCCGTAAGGGATGACCTGGTTGTGTGGAGGTGGATTCGTGACTGCCGTGAGCAGGGGCGGCTCATACCAGGAGCAGGGTGAGCAACTGCTCATGCCCTAATTAATAAAAAGCCTATATTTTAAATATTATCTATTAAATTTAAAAATTAAATTTTAACTTTTAATTTATTTTTTTTTGTTCTTCATAATTAACCTATTTAATTTAAAATTAAATTTGGATTTCTAATTATATATATATTTATTTCTTTTTAATCGTCTACACTTCTTTACCTCACACTCTATCGCATTGCTCACAGCAACTCGATCAAACATGCCTCACATTTTTTCTTATTTCTTTCACCCTCCTTCAGTCCTTCTTACTCTTCGAACTTTGAGACAAACCGTCTTTCGTCTTCTTTTCTCAAATTAACATTGTCCAGACGGTCGCATTCAACCTCTTGTCCAATCAATGCTAATTAGTTTTATTATTAAAAATATATTTTAATCATGTAAAAGTAGGGCCTATAATTTATTTTCGCTCAGGACCTAAAAAAAGTCTGAGACGGCCCTGGTCGTGAGGTCATGAGTTTAAACCTCCGACGTTTCCAGGTCTCACCTGGTACACATAGTTAGTGGGTGCAAACCCAAGTCCCACATTTAAAGTTGTGAAGAAAATTACGCACCTTATAAGTCCCAAATGAACTCCACTAGTACGAGGCATTTTGGAGAAAATCCAAAAACAAATCCGTGCGGGTTTAGCCCAAAGAGGACAATATTATATTAGTGTTGAGTTGACCCAGTTTCAACAGTGGTATCAGAGCCCGATAGGTTGTGGTGGTGGGCTCCTTGTGTCGAAAGTTTCTTGATGTTGTTGGGTCGATCCCGATTGAGGTGGTCAGGCAGCGGGAGGTCTCTGAAGAAAATTACATACCTTATAAGTCCGGACAATATTAACCAAACACAATATATAATCTATTCATTACAAAAAAATCAACAATACAAAATATTATTTTGATACTTTTCTATATTAACAGAATGCATTTTCATACCTAATATAAAAAATATTTATATCTAAAAACAAAAAAGGTGTTTGTTTGAAGGATTTTAATAAAACTTTACCATTCATCAAATTTTTTTCTAATAAATATCAAATCAAATACCTATAATTTCTACATTATTTTTAAAAATTAATTCTAAATTCAAAATATCAAATAAATACAATATCTATTTATCACATCAAGTAAAAACTTCTAAACAAACACACCCATCCACTTTCTTTAAACTCATTCGATCTTTAACAGGCGGCTGCACATGGCTTTTTCATTTAGTATTATTTTATTTTATAATGTGGGAAAGCTGAGTCTGTTTTATAAAAAATTTTTTGGTAGTTTTTAAATTTTAAAAAAATTTATAAAAAATAATAAAAATTGATAAATTGAATCGTTATATATATATATATATATTTTAAAAAAAATATCTAATATGATATTAAAAAAATTATTACTAAATAAACAGTACCCAAAAAAAAATAAAAAAGATCAGGCAGCCGCCGAAGACTTCAACTTACAAAACGTGCTCTCAGGACATCCACTTGTTAATATAATCTCCTCAATTATTTTCCAAAATCTAATATTTTATTTATTCACTCTGTCCCATTTATTTTGTTATTATTATTATTATTTTTATCTGTTTGTTTCATTTATTTTGCTATTTTTTCTTTTAAAAAAATTGGACTTTAATTACATATTAAAATTTTAATTTTTAATTTTTTAATTATAATTAGATTTATTTGTTATTTTAATTTTAATTTAAAATTATTTTTATTATATAATAATTATTTAAATTAATATATTTTTAATTACTTATTAATTATATCTCTTATAAATTTGTCTGTGTCTACAATAAATTTGACACGAGAATAGAGAACGTAGGGAGTAGTATTTAGTAGTTTTGTAGTCGTCTCAAATATCAGTATTTGACCATTTTGTCGATAGAGATGACCTATTGTAGGGGCACAATTTAATGTTAGATTGAAATTATTATTATTATAATTTAATTGAATTTTCTTTTCTGAATAAGCTTTTAGACCTAAGCTGGTTTTTTTACGTACATTGTTTTATTATTTTCTTATTTATTTTTTATTTTTTTCCTCCAAAATTATCATATCTATTCCCCATACCAAATTTCAGATCAAATAAAAAATTTTGAAAATAAAAATGTAAAAAGGAAATGAAAACACAAAAGCACACACCCTATAAATTTCATGATGAAGAATTCATGTAGAAATTTTGCTGTAATTATATAATACTCTCTCCGTCTCAAAACTAAATTCTTATTGAGGTTGAACACGAAATTTAAAGAATATTGATATTATATTGATAGTTAGTAAAAAGTACAAATAAAAGATTTTTTTGCCTTTGTGAGTGTATTAGTGTAAAAAATAGTGACATTTATTTAATAATAATAAAAAAATAAGGATAATTTTATGGTGATATAAATATTTATGAAAATAAGACTATTATTTTGGGAGGAATAAAAATGGTAAATAAAACTATTGTATTGGAGCTGAGGGGAGTAATAACTTTAAAGTTTAATAGTAATAGGAAGAATTGTGTTATTGATTTTGTCATGAAATGAAGACTTAATTCTCAACAAAATATTTTCCATATACTTCCCAATTAATATTATAGAAAAAATAGTATATATATATATTTACACAAAATATATATAATTGATCCATTTAAAAAGTTTAACAATTCAAAAGAAGATATTATTATTATTATATATTTTTATATTTAACATAAAAAATATTTTAAACTAAAAAAAATATATACATTGAGTACCAAAATATTTTTATCTTCTACTTAAATTACAAATATATGGTATAAAATATCAAAATGTTTTATCCGCTTTCACCCAATAATAAAATATCATTATTTCTTAATCTATTATAAAATTTGAAAAAATCATTTGAAATGGACCTCACAAAGTAGATAAGATCTTGTAACCAATATGGTTGGTGTGCTCTCAAACTAGAGTTTCACCCAAAAATATTATACTCCCTCAGTCCGCTATATTTATGTGCTCACTTCCAATGAGGTTGATGCCAACTTGCCTTCAACTACATATTTATACTCCAAACTTGCAGCAAATTGGATTCAACTCACAGTTCGACATTTAAGCCTATGGATAATAGTGATTCCTCATTTTCGGTTATCCTCTTTTCATCTCTCATATTTCTCGCAATCCTATGGAAGGTAATAAAGGGCGCCAAACACGCCCGCCGTTTTGTCAATCTTCCGCCGGGGCCAAGAAAGTTGCCCGTCATCGGCAACCTACACCACACTCTTAGTTCGCGACCAATCCATCACACTTTTGCCGACTTGGCAAAAAAATACGGGCCGATAATGCACTTGCAGCTAGGCGAAGTCAGCATGGCGATTGTGTCGTCACCCGACGCAGCAAAAGAGGTCTTGAAGACGCATGACATCAGCTTCGCTAGCAGGCCATCCAGCGCGGCAGCGAAGATTTTATCATATAATTATTCTAACATAGGATTCGCGCCGTATGGGGAATACTGGAGACAGTTGCGAAAAATTTGCACAATAGAGCTGCTGAGCGCAAAGCGTGTCCAATCTTATCGCCCCTTAAGGGAAGAAGTGTTTTTCGATATGTGCAGTCGGATAGCTTCGAAAGAAGGCTCGTCGATCAATTTGACTGAGAGAGTTTCCTTGGCGATTTGCGACATAGTTTTTCGGGCAGCGCTTGGCAATACGATTGATGAACACTCGGCATTTGTATCCATAGTGAAAGAACTTTTCGCCGTAGCTGGAGGAGTTTCTGTCGGCGATTTGTTTCCCTCGAGCACTCTGGTTCAAGCGATTGGGGGATTTATAAGCCGCGTGGAGAAGGTGCACAAACGGTCGGAGAGGATACTTCAGAAGATTGTCGACAATCGCAAAGTAGCCTCTAAAGATGAACCGCTGGAAAGCTTGACCGATATTCTCCTCAAATACAGAGGAAATGCCGGCGATGAGTTCCATTTAAGTGATAATGGCATCAAAGCTGTGCTACAGGTTTGTAGAATTCTTGCTTTATTCAGATGATTTGTAAGTTATTATAAATATGTACAAATTCTTATGATTGAAATAGAGAATTTTAATTTCATATTTTAACAATAGTATGATTTTACTTGCGTGCGCACATATGTAGGATATGTTCTTTGCTGGAATTGAAACATCCTCGACGACTACAGATTGGGCTATGGCAGAAATGATGAGACATCCGAGTGTCCTTAAGAAGGCACAAGATGAGGTGAGGCGAGTTTTCCACGACAAGGGATTTGTAGATGAGTCCGACTTCAATGAGCTAAAGTACCTAAAGTTAGTGATCAAAGAGACCTTCAGGGTTCATCCTCCAGTGCCTCTACTGCTTCCCAGAGAAAATTCCGAGGCCTGTGAGATCAATGGATACACAATACCTGCAAAAACAAGGGTGTTGGTGAATGCATGGGCCATTGGAAGAGATCCCAAAATCTGGGAAGATGCCGACAGCTTTATACCAGAGAGATTTCTCGATAACAATATTTCAGCTGATTACACAGGGAAGAATTTCGAATTCATACCTTTTGGTGGTGGAAGAAGGATTTGCCCTGGATTAACATTCGGCCTCGCAAATGTCGAATTTCCATTAGCAATGCTTCTCTACCACTTTGATTGGGTTTTGCCACAGGGAATGAAGCCTGAAGATGTGGACATGGCAGAAGAGTTTTGGCTTGCAGCAGGAAGAAGAAACCCACTTTATGTGATTCCTAAATTGAAAAACCCTTTGGCTTCAAAGTAAAATGGAGTCATATTGAATCCATGTTCGAGCCTATTAATATCTCTTTGGGTGAGAGTTTTGAGTTGAATAATGTTATTTATCCGAATGAATAATATATTCTTACTATGTAGGAAAGTTCGATTTAGTATTGAGTTTATTAAGTTAGATGTAATTTTCATACAAATAGATATATATATATATTAACTATATTATCACTAAAATATTTTGAAATATATTCGACATGTCTTATGATCTAATGTTAGTTAACAAATTAAAATAACAGGGGAAAGTGGAGAGAAACAATTGACATTCAAATGTACAAACATGCGAGGATTTATTTAACTCCGGTCTTTGTCATCGAGGATGGTCTTTTGGTATCGTTGATTTTCAATTTTATATTTATTTTTTGGATTCTATTTTGAATCTTCTTTATTGATGTTTTAAATGGATTGTTTTGTGATTGGGAGATTTCTTGTCATTGGATGCATAGTCTTGATAGCCTTTGGTTGTAGATATTTTTATTGTACAAACACTTTTAATATATATATATATTTTATGATGCGGGAAGTCGCAGCTGCTATTCGAAAGTGCACACAAGATAAACCCTAGGCCGAACCTAATATCCTAATTTTGTGGTTTTTATCATTTATATTGGTGGGGCATTGACGCTACCTTAGATAGGCTATATCATCCTCCGATTTGTTTGAAATTTCTTCTTAATCCGCTATTCTCCCAATAATATAAAATGTTCTCTTCATTACAAGTAATATGTAAATAAATATGATGTAATATCTTAAATATCATTTTTTGAATAAAATGAATAAATAAATATCAACTATTCATTTCACATACTATAAAAATTAAGTTATAACTAATCTTTATTTTACAAACTGTGAAATGCAGGATTGATCAAATTTTCATTTATTTATTTTATTTAAAGATGGATATTTCAAACATTTGATACCTTTTATTTAAATATTTTTTGTATAATTATGTGTGTATTTACAATCAACAATTTGTTTTGGATGAAAAAAATATTTTGTACATATTTTTATATAATACAAAAACAAATTATGTAATAAATAAAATAGACGATATTTTATATATTTATGATAAAACACAACAAATAGATATTATAAAATAAAAACAAAATAAAATGGTAATTATATATTTGTATTTTAATATAAATATATAAAATATTATGTGTAAATTTTATTGTATTACTCATCTTAGTTGGTGGAAAATATTTACACATAATTTTTTTTCTTTGATAATATGAAAACATATAGTTACTAATTTTTTAGTGTGCACTGGATAAATTTATTGACCAAACTCAATAGTGATAAACTCGACCGAGAAGATATCAATAAGATCAAGAACAATGATTTTGCAATCACTAGCCAATTAGCACAACAAAAGGGTGTGTTCATCAAATAAAAATTTTAACGCGTTGTTCAATTAATATTACAAATAAATGGAATATATACATACTCATATAATATATATTTTATTCACTCGTAAAAACAATTAACAATATAATTCAAAATATTATTATTATTTTTTATATTATCAAAATATTTCTCCATATCTAATATAAAAAATACTTATTTTTTGAAAATTTGAAAGGTAATAAGAAGTTGAGCATTTGATTTTGTATTTGTAAAAAAAAAAAAAAAAAAAGAAAAAAAAAGTTTATTATTTACAAATAGTACTAAAAACTCCAAAAATATAGTCTTATTTAAACCCAGCCGCCAGTCAATAAAAAAGAGCAGCCGCAGAAGACTTCATCTTACAAAACGTGATCTCATGACATCAAGATACCAAATTTTTATTTTTCTTATATAAAATTTTCCTATTTTTATCTAGAAGTTTTGAAGTCTTGCCTAAAATATTTGACTATTCTGTCGATATAGATGATGATGATCCATTGTAGGGGAATTATTATTAATTGGATTGAATTTTCTTTTCAATCATGTACATTGTTTTATTTATTGTACGTTCATTATCATATCGAAAGTCCATTCTCCATATAAAAATCAAATCAAACTATTGTTTCACCTTAGAATTTTTTATAATAAAAAAAATAAAAGAGAATATGAAGACACAACAAACCCTATAACTTTCATGATAAAGTACTTTTCATGTAGAAATTTTGCTTTAATAACTTAAAGTATAATCTTGATGGGAAGAATTGTGGATAATGATTGATTATATTGTTGATTTTGTTATGGAAAAAGATGCCGAAGACCGAAAACATGGGTGTGTTCTTCCATCAAAACATTTTCGACATATTTCTTCATTAATATTATAAAAAATATTAATGATATTTGTATAATATATTGTAAATTGGAAGGATATTTGTAACGTCAGCTACATAGTACGATTAATAAAAAAAAATATATTGATACTTTGTTACGGGAATGATCAAAGTGGATAAATGGTTAATAACGAATAAGGTATCTACAAACTATAAATACAAAATAAAACATTGGGTGTATATAATGATTGATTGTTGATTTGGTTATATTCAATTTGTTCTTCGACTACATATATTCATACTCCAAGCTTGGAGCAAACTGGATTCAACTCACACTTGCAACATTCAAATCCATGGATAGTAGTTTCTCATTTTCGATTTTCCTCTCTTCATCTCTCATATTTCTAACAATCATATGGAATGTAATAAAAGGCGCCAAACGCTCCCGGAGTTTCGCCAATCTTCCGCCGGGGCCAAGAAAGCTGCCGATCATCGGGAACTTACACCACATTCTTAGCTCCCGACCAGTCCATCACACTTTAGCCGACTTGGCGATGAAATATGGTCCGACGATGCACTTGCAGCTAGGTGAAGTCAGCACGGTGGTTGTATCATCACCCGAAGCCGCAAAAGAGGTCTTGAAGACGCATGACATCAGCTTCGCCAACAGACCATCCAGCGCCGCGGCAAAGATTTTTTCATATGATTATTCTGACATAGGATTCGCGCCGTATGGAGAATACTGGAGACAGTTGCGAAAAATTTGCACAATAGAGCTGCTGAGCGCAAAGCGCGTCCAATCTTATCGCCCCCTAAGGGAAGAAGTGTTTTTCGATATGTGCAATCGGATAGCTTCTAAAGAAGGCTCGTCGATCAATTTGACTGAGAAAATTTCCTTGGCGATTTGCGACATGGTTTTTCGAGCAGCCCTTGGAAATAAGATCGATGAACACTCAGCATTCGTATCAACAGTTAAAGAACTTATGGCTTTATCTGCAGGATTTTCTATCCGGGATCTGTTTCCCTCCATCACTCTGTTTCAAGCAATCGGCGGATTTTTAGGCCGCCTGGAGAAGGTGCACAAAAGGTCCGATAGGATACTCCAAAAGATTGTCGACAATCGTCAAGTAGCATCTCAAGACGAACAGCTCGAAAGCTTGACAGATATTCTTCTCAAATTTCGCAAAAATGCCGGCGAGGAGTTCCATTTAAGTGATAACTGCATCAAAGCTGTGCTACAGGTTTGTCGATAAACTTTACTATATATATGACGGTTATAGTTGTTAAAATATATATTATATTTGTAGAATTCTTACCTTATTTATACGATTCGTACGTCATTATAAATATGTACGAATTCTTATGATTGAAATAGAAATTTTCAATTTTATATTTTAACAATAGTATGATCTTACTTGCGTGCGCACATATGTAGGATATGTTCTTCGCTGGAATCGAGACATCCTCGACGACTACAGATTGGGCTATGGCGGAAATGATGAGACATCCGAGTGTCCTTAAAAAGGCACAAGATGAGGTGAGACGAGTTTTCGACAACAAGGGAGTTGTCGATGAGTCCGACTTCAATGAGCTAAAGTACCTAAAGTTAGTGATCAAAGAGACCTTCAGGTTTCACTCACCAGTGCCTCTACTTCTCCCTCGAGAAAATTACGAGTCTCGGGAGATTAATGGATACACAATACCTGCAAAAACGAGGGTTATGGTGAATGCATGGGCCATTGGAAGAGATCCTAAAATCTGGAAAGATGCCGACAGCTTTATACCGGAGAGATTTCTCGATGATAATATTTCAGCCGATTATGCTGGAAAGAATTTCGAATTCATCCCTTTTGGTGGTGGGAGAAGGATTTGCCCTGGAGCAACATTTGGCCTCGCTAATGTCGAACTTCCATTAGCAATGCTTCTCTACCACTTTGATTGGGTTTTGCCAGAGGGAATGGAACCTCAAGATGTGGACATGGCAGAAGACTTTACACTTGCAGCAGGAAGAAAGAATCCACTTAATGTGATTCCTAAATTGAAAAACCCTTTGCCTCTAAAGTAAAATGTTGTCATAATGAATCCATGTTCGAGGCTATTAATGTCTCTTTAGTGCACTGGCATTAGATGTGGAAATAAGTTTGTTGGTTCTCCAGAGGAAGAAGATGATGAACATGAATAGATTTTTTGGAAGTCAACTCATTCCAATTAGCCCTTTACAATTTTCTTTTGCCTAGTGTAATTTGCCTTGCGCTATTGTGGATTCCACTGTCATAAAATTTTTTGTAAAATTTCAAACAATTAATTGATTTTAATTATGGTCATACCCTTAAAATATCACTCTGTTCACACTAATAGGCAACACACTGTATGAGTTAATATGATATAAATATAACAAATGAATTAACAAATATATGCTATGGTCAACCGTTGATTTTAGCATATAAGCACTGGTATACAATATATTTATAATCATGAACAAATATCATATGCCTTTATTATACACAACATCTGTTGTATATGATAACACTGTGTGTTGTTTGTATATATTACGGGAGATGATTTGAAAAATCAGTACAATACTAATTTACAACCCACTTATTTGAAGATTAGAATAGCTTGTTGGCTAACCCGTTTTGACAGTTTTGGATTAAATAAAATTGCACTAACGAACAAAGAAACTTTAATGATGCTACCACAATTAATCATCTATCCGATGCAAACTTGCCTTCAATAATATATATTCCAAACTTGCAGCAAATTGGAATCACCTGAAACTTCAATATGATCAAATCCATGGATAGTGATTTCTCATTTTCGATTTTCCTCTTTACAACTCTCATATTTCTCACAATCATATGGAATGTAACAAAAGGTTCCAAACGCCCCCGGAGTTTAGTAAATCATCCTCCGGGGCCAAGAAAGTTGCCGATCATTGGGAACTTACACCACATTCTTAGTTCCCGACCACTCCATCATACTTTAGCCGACTTGGCGCTGAAATATGGGCCGATGATGCACTTGCAGCTAGGTGAAGTCAGCACGGTGGTTGTATCATCACCCGAAGCAGCAAAAGAGGTCTTGAAGACGCATGACATCAACTTTTCTAACAGGCCATCCACCGTTGCAACGAAGATTTTAACATACGATCATTCCAACATAGGATCCTCGCCGTATGGGGAATATTGGAGACAGTTGAGAAAAATTTGCACAATAGAGCTGCTGAGCGCAAAACGTGTCCAATCTTTTCGACCCTTGAGGGAAGAAGTGTTTTTCGATATGTGCAGCTGGATAGCTTCGAAAGAAGAGTTGTCGATCAATTTGACTGAGAGAGTTTCCTTGGCGATTTGTGACATGGTTGTGCGGGCAACCCTTGGCAATACGATTGATGAACACTCTGCATTTGTATCCACAGTGAAAGAACTTTTTGCTTCCGCTGCAGCATTTTCTGTCGGCGATCTGTTTCCCTCCATTACTCTGTTTCAAGCAATCGGCGGTTTTATAGGCCGTGTGGAGAAGGTGCATAAACAGTCGGAGAGGATACTCCAGAAAATTATCAGCAATCGCAGAGTAGCATCTAAAGACGAACAGCTAGAAAGCTTGACCGATGTTCTCCTCAAATTCCGTGGAAACGCCGGTGATGAGTTCCATTTAAGCGATAACGGCATCAAAGCTGTGCTACAGGTTCATCAATAGACTTATTTACTATATACATTGGTTATGAAGAGTTTCACATATATACTAAGATTTTACTTTCTTGGCCACATATAAAGGATATGTTCTTTGCTGGAATTGAAACATCATCGACCACTACAGATTGGGCTATGGCAGAAATGATGAGACATCCAAGAGTCCTTAAGAAGGCACAAGATGAGGTGAGACGAGTTTTCCACGACAAGGGATTCGTCGATGAGTCCGACTTCAATGAGCTAAAGTACCTAAAGTTAGTGATCAAGGGACCTTAAGGTTTCACTCACCAGTGCCTCTACTGCTCCCCAGACAAAATCACGAGTCCTGTGAGATTAATGGCTACACAATACCTGCAAAAACTAGCGTTGTGGTGAATGCATGGGCCATTGGAAGAGATCCCAAAATCTGGAGAGATGCCGACCGCTTTATACCAGAGAGATTTTTCGATAACAATATTTCATCCGATTACACCGGGAAGAATTTCGAATTCATCCCTTTTGGTGCTGGGAGAAGGATTTGCCCTGGAATGACATTCGGCCTTGCCAATGTTGAACTTCCATTAGCAATGCTTCTCTACCACTTTGATTGGGTTTTGCCACAGGGAATGAAACCTCAAGATGTGAACATGGCAGAAGACTTTTGCCTTACAGCAGGAAGGAAAAACCCACTTCATGTTATTCCTAAATTAAGAAACCCTTTGCCTCTCAAGTAAAAAAGCTTATTGTATAAAATTATTTATTTTGCCTAAAAATATTTTTAATTATATAATCAAATTAATACTAAGTTAGATATTAATGAACGTCAAAATAGTTATTTTAACATTAATAATACCTTAGTAATGTTTAATCTCACCATTGAGGGATGAATTAATCATCCTTCTTTATGGTACTATTATAGTAAACAATGATTAGATTGTACTCCCTCCCTCTGTCCAATTTCTATTGTCCTAAATTATATTTGCACGGTTTTTTTAAGGTGATTATCTTTTTGTTATGAATTGACAAATTTCTCCTTAATTGTATGGTAGAGATGAAAAAAAGTAATAAATGAATGAAGGGTAAAAATGTAAAATTTGTGTTTAAAAAAGAAAATAGGACAATAGTTGTTGGACGTCCCGAATAGGAAAGTAGGACATTAAGTTTGTGGACGGAGGGAGTATAAAATAATATTATCATTCTAATTCCCAAAGTAAACACAATCTTAGCTTATTGTACTTGCACCAAATGTGGAAAAAAGTTCGATGGTTTTGCATGTGAAAGAAGATGAACAGTGAACAGTATTTTCAGAAGTCAACACATTCCAATTAACCCTCTACAATTTGATACAGGTTATTAATGATAGAAATCAATGTCTTCGTAAGTAGATCTCTAGAGATGTACAAAATAATATAAAAGATATACATTAATTTCTATCACTGATAGGTGCCAAGAAGTCATTCAAAATTAGTTAAAAGGCATTCGGCAACCATTAAATGTTCCATAACCACCTCAACAAATAGAGTGGTTGAATAAAAAATTTGTTAACTCAATTCGATCACAAATATCTACGTTGGGATGGCTAAACCAGATATTTTCACCAGTAATTTTAAAGTGTTAGTTACAAAAAATATATATCAAAGTATATATAAATATATAGGTCAAACCTTAGCACGAGGCCGAATGCATTGCTTCTACTTGCGTTTTATGGTTATGTGATTGATCAGAAGAAGATAAGCTAGATAATGAAAAAGAAATATTCTTATAGGCTATGATTAGAGCTCAAAATTAAGGGTTATATGTTTGTTCAATCCTTCAATGGGGAAGTCACCATAAGCAGATAAGTGAAGTCTGAAGTGTTGCCAAAGAAGAGGCTAATTTTTTGTTCCATTTTGTTTTATTTTATTTTTTTATTATTAATATTATTTTATTTTTATAAAGATGAACATTTGATGCATCCATCACTTCATTCACAATCTTTACCATAAAATAGTCTTATAGGCCAACACAAGTCTTTGCAGTGTATCTGTCCTCACTCGTGCTCGCCCCTGGAGACTTTCAGGTCATCTATTTTCAAATTATTTTAGGACAAACACGCTCAAACTTTAGAGTTCTTTCGGTAGAGCTTACGAGAAGGAATGTGTACGTTGTTGACATGAGTAGTCTATTTAATCCATATTACTTATATTCAACATTGGATAACGTAGCACCGACTCATCTACGAGAGTTGGGCTACCATCGGCCCGACTCCGAAGTATTACATTCTAGGCCTTGAAGCACAAGAGCCTCATTAAATCCATATAACAACCTAAGAGGTAAACCAACTTTTTATTTCTTTGCAGATTCTAGTGATAAAATCTTTTAACAGATTGTGCACCGTTAGGTTTGTTTATTTGGCTTTTCTTTTCAATTTAAATGCAAAAACAAATCAAATCTTTTCAATTCAAACCCAACAAAACACACCTTAGATCTTTTAAGAAGCCGTTAATGATGTTGAGTGATGCCATAGATGAGGAGAAATCAAGGCCATTAATAATTATTTGTTTATTTCACAAGTCACAGTAGTAGGGATAGGGTAGGGTAGGGTAGGGTAGGGTGTAAAATCATCAAAACAAATATTGTTTGGCTAGAATTGCATGGAATCTTATGTAAATCTACACATATCAGGCCATCTCCAACCCGTCCTCCATTTTTGAATTAAGTAGTTAGGGTGTTAGTTATAGTTAATCAGTATAACGTAATACTACAAACATTAGGAAAACGATTCAAATCCCCGATGGCTTTTTTAGATCACACATGATTCACCTAATGTGACTTTTCTTATCTGACTTAATTAATCTTTATTGTGTTAAAATTTTGTATACAAATATACCATAGGAACCCCGGGCAAGACAAGTCAGCGTCGGGCTTAAAAACATGATTTTACAATCACAAATTCATTCTAATATTATCAGACCATCTTTTGCGGAAAATTTTTGTTGTATATTTTAGTCATGCCAACATGACATATAAGATAATCCTGTTTATAAAACGACTGCACATATGTGTGTTTCACGAGCATACAAATAGATACAAATTTATGGTTGCTAACTTGTCCAATCATCAGACAAGAGATTCTGTCGTTATCTTTCAAGAAAACAATTAATTCAAGCAAGAAAAACGACCAGCCACAGAAGTCTTCAGATTACAAAACTTGCTCTCATGACATCCACAAAAAGGTCAACCATGTTTTCCATGTATGATTGCTATTTGTTCGGGGGATTGGATTTCCAATCCACTGTTCATTCTATTTTTTTCTCCCAAAAATATCAAATCAAATACCTATTTTTTATTTTTTATATTATACTAAAAATTAATTTTACATTCAAAATATCACATTAACACCTATTTATATCACATCATACAACTATTCAAATTTAAAAACTTTTACTATTCAAATCCCAATTCAAAATCCAAACCTCCAAACAAACACACCCTTGCTGGAATTTATGAAAATATTTTAGAGCACTGCTATTTTGGTTGAGCTGAAATAAATTTTATTATTTTTTAATCTTTTATAAAAAAAATAATAATATAAAAAATATAAGAGAATTGTTACTGTATTAATAAGAAAGAAATCAAACAACACCATATTGATCTAATCAGTAAAATATATGTAATTTTTGTTTATATTTGTAATTGTATCGATAGTCCCTCCGTTCCATAACAAATTATCCATCTTTTCATTTTAGTTCATCTCATAACAAAGTATCAATTTTCTTTTTTTAAGTAACTATACTATCTATCTAATATTACAAATACCCTTACAATTTACAATATCTTACATAAATGTCATTATTTTTATATCACACAATACTAATAAGGTTATTTTAGTCATTTTTACTTTATTCATACTATAGCTCAATATAATACTAATATTTCTAAAATTACGTGGACTAAACAAATAGATACTTAGTTATGGAATAAAAGAGTATATAAGTGTATAAAAGTATGTTAAGTACTAGAATCATTATTAGTAGCATGTTGTGTGAAGAAAATGTAATTCAAATGATTTGAACTACTTTTTTTTTCAATTTTCAATAGTTGTGGATCTATATAAGTTGGATTTTGAATTATAATATAAATAATTTTTAAATAATATTTTAAATATAAAAATTAATTTTAATATAAAAGCAAAAAAATTATTATTTTAGAAAACATGTATATGTATAAAAGATGTTTGGGTTGAAAACTAATCGATACATGTAACAAATAATAATTATATTTTATTTTTTATTTAACATCGATAATTATTTTTTCATCGTATTAAATAATTATTTTAATTTAAATTTTTTTCTTATCCTACGGTCCAATCTAAAATTAAAACCCCAATGCTACTATTTGAATGGGAACTTGTCCTCAACTATTTATACTCCAAACTAGAAGCAAATTCCATTCAAACTCACTCTTCAAGATTCAAATCTATGGATAGTGAATTATCATCTTCGATCATCCTCTTTTCATCTCTCATATTTCTTGCATTCTTATGGAATGTAATCATTCGCTCCAAACGAGCCCGGAATTCATTGATCAATCTTCCGCCGGGGCCGAGAAAGCTGCCGGTCATCGGGAACTTGCACCTCCTCATTAGTTCCCGACCACCCCATCATATTTTAGCCGACTTGGCGTCGAAATATGGGCCAATGATGCACTTGCAGCTTGGTGAAATCAGCACGATCGTAATATCATCACCCGAAGGAGCGAAAGAGGTATTGAAGACGCACGACATCAACTTCGCTAATAGGCCATCCCACTTTGCAACAAAAATTTTAACTTATGAGCATTCTGACATAGCATTCTCCTCGTACGGCGAATACTGGAGACAGTTGCGAAAAGTATGCACAATAGAGTTGCTGAGCGCAAAGCGAGTCCAATCTTTCCGTCCCTTAAGGGAAGAAGTGTTTCTGAATATGTGCAATTGGATAGTTTCGAAAGAAGGCTCCTCAATCAACTTGAGTGAGAAAATCTCCTTGGCGACGTGCGACATTGTTGTGCGAGCAGCCCTTGGCGATAACAACGATGAGCACGCAGAATTCGTGTCCACGGTGAAAGAAGCTTTTGAATTAGCCGGAGGATATTATGTCGGCGATCTGTTTCCCTCCATCAGTTTGTTTCAAGCGATTGGCGGATTTAGAGGCCGCGTGAAGAAGGTGCACACACTGTCGGATAGGATACTCCAGAAGATTATCAACAATCGAAAAGTTGGATCTCAAGACGAACAGCTCGAGAACCTGGCCGATGTTCTCCTTAAATTCCGTGAAGACGCCGGACACGATCTCTATTTAAGTGATGACAACATAAAAGCTGTGCTACAGGTTTGTTACTAAAACTTTACTACATTGACTAACTTATGTCGTAAAACTGTATAATATGTAATTAATGATGCATTTCGCTACAAGTTGAAATGAATCTTCTCGTGTACATAGGATCTGTTCTTTGCTGGAATCGAAACATCATCGGCAACTACAGATTGGGCTATGATAGAAATGATGAGACATCCAAAAGTTCTTAAAAAGGCACAAGACGAGGTGAGACAAGTTTTTCGCAACAAGAGATTTGTCGATGAGTCCGACTTCAATGAGCTAAAGTACCTAAAGTTAGTGATCAAGGAGACTTTGAGGATTCATACTCCAGGGCCTCTACTGCTCCCCAGAGAAAACTACGAGCCGTGTGAGATTAATGGTTACACAATACCTGCAAGAACAAGAGTTGTGGTGAATGCATGGGCCATTGGAAGAGATCCCAAAATCTGGAAAGATGCCGACAGCTTTATACCAGAGAGATATCTCGATAACAATATTTCAGTCGATTACACCGGGAATAATTTCGATTACATCCCTTTTGGTGCTGGGAGAAGGATTTGCCCTGCAATGACATTCGGCCTTGCCAATGTCGAACTCCCATTGGCAATGTTTCTCTACCACTTTGATTGGGTTTTGCCACAGGGAATCAAACCTCAATATTGGGACATGGCTGAGTCCTTCGGGCTTACAGCAAGAAGGAAAAGCCCACTTTATGTGATTCCCAAACTGAGAAACCCTTTGCCTCTCAAGTATAATTGATGCATATTATTATTGATTCCATGTCCGAACCATTTACAATCATACTCATAAAGCTTGGTGTGTAAACACTTAGTTTATAATAAAAGTAATCGGCATATATTATATACTGTCGATCGTAGCATATATTTCATACATCATATGATGTAATTTAGTATATAATATCTTATAATAAAACATCTATTGTGTTATCTTTATATAATTTGCTTATTTAATTGTATCAACAGCTAATTGACGCCCCAATCCATTTAAATTGATTGATATTATATATTCACTGCAAGAAAATATCATTTTTGTAACAGATTTTTCCGTCTTTAAATTCACTTTTTTCTGTTACAAATGATATTAGAGACGGAATTAACGATGGCATTACGTTAACTACGTGATATTTAGTGACGGAATTCCGTTACAAATATACTATTTTAGTTTAAAAGGGTCTTTTAGAGTTTTGTAATAGATTGAGAAATATAATATTTTATTAGTTAAATATTTTGGTATTGGTGTAACAAAAAATATGTCTGTGTATATATACCGTGGCCGGAAGTAAGATTATATTTGAGAGGGACTAATTTTGAAATAATATATTCTATTTATAAATCTTTATTTATTGTTCGAAAAAATTATTATTCTCGTTATTATATTTTAAAGGAGATAAATACAAATAACTAACTACAACAATAATATTAATTATTTATTATAAATATTTATTTTTGTATTTGTTTTATTGAGACCAACTATACAATTTTTTAGTATTTTTTTATTTATCTATTTTATTTATATAACATATATTTAAATAAAAATATATATAAATATAAATATAAATAAGTAAACTATAAAAACTGGGGGTGAGGAGGGGGCTGCAGCTCACCCTTGCCCCTACGTCGGTCCGCCCCTATATATCGATATTTTGTTTCTGTCCATATATCACTACAAAACATGTCCACAAATTTACGATATTCGATGTCTCTGCGTATATCCAAAATACATTATATTAAATAGGGCTTCTATTAATATGTATACATATTTGAAAGCAAGAAAAAAGAGCAGCTGCTAAACTCTTGATATAGTCAAAACATGCTCTCATGACATCCGCAAATTAAAGATATTTTAGGATGCGACTAAAGATATAATTACAAAACCTGTTCACTTTGTGTTTTTTTGATAAATATATTTTTCTATATTAAGTTCGGAGAATTATGGCCGTACTTATAAAAAGAAATAATATTTTTCTTTTTTTTTTTTATGTAAAATTGTTAAATTTTGTGAATTATATATTGTATTAAAAGGTAAATACTATATTTTTTTTTATAATATTTATAAAAAATTGTATCACCTAAAAGTAGATTGAATGAATAAATAGCATGTTGTCTACTACAAAATACAAATTTTTTAGAGTTTATTTTTTTGCTTTTTTTTTTTTTTAAGAGTTTTGAAATTTACAAAATACAAATTTTTCAGAGTTTATTTTTTTGCTTTTTTTTTTTTTAAGAGTTTTGAAATTTTTTGAAAAACAATTGAATATTTGATATAATATTTTATTAAAAAATATTTGATGTGGCAGAATCTTTTTTTTTAAAAAAAAAAAAATCCAAAATACTATTAATACTGTAGTCAAAACTTTTTTTAAAAATATGTATATAAATAAAATCTTGAATATGCTTGCTTAGTTTTTCCAATTTGCATACACAAATAAATTGGAATAAATTAGAAAAATAAGAAAACTATATATTGTTTGTGTTGAAAGAATATTTTTTCATATAAATTTGGGTAGATAATATAAATATAATGAGTGTGTAATATACTTTCTTCGTTTAAAAGTAAATTTCTCATTTTGTTATTTTAGTCTTGTTAAGAAGGGATCCGGACTTCCAACCTAAAATCAACTGATGATAGGTTGGAAGCCCGTATCCCTTCTTAACATGGTATCATCAGAGCCAGGTGTCCGTATTGAGTTTGGATCTGTATAGATTTTCAAGATTATCATTTGAAAGGAGAGTGTTGAATATATATCCCATATTGAAAAAAATGTGGAATCTCCCCTTTGCTTACAAGGGTGAAGAGCCACTCCACCTATCATCAGTGGTTTTAGGTTGTAAGCCCAAATCCCTTCTTAACATTTTTGTCTTAATCAAAACTTTTCATTTATTTTTAGAAAAAATAGTTTTCACCTAAGTATCAAAATACTTATCTAGTTTAATTTTCAAGTTACTTTTACGTTAATATCAATGATTAAAAAACAATGAGAAGTTTACTCTTGAATAAAAGAAGTATTATTATTTTTTTAAAAAAAAATGAATTAGTTTGTTTTGACAAAAAGATCGCACATCTTAGTTTGCTTTTTCTTTTCTGGTAATAAATTAGAGAATATTAATATTTCATTGGTAAGAGTGTATAAAGACAAATTTTCTATTTGTATATAATATGTGTAATAATATATTTATACTTTACGTAAATATTAAAGAAAATTTAGTATTAGAGTGAAAATATTTTACAATTACAGGAATGTATATATTTGATGAGAAGGAGAAAAATAACAATGTAGACTTTTGGATTGGACATATGATATAAGTAAGTGTTTTATATAATATTTAAAATATATATATATATATATATTTTTCATTATGTGTTAACTAAAAATTAAATATTTTTAATTTGATAATTTGGCAAATAAAAAGATTTTATGGTACAAAAATACAACCATACCTTAAATAAACAGAGCAAAACGTGTGTTTGGTTAGACAATTAGCATCGGGCACATCAGCTGTTTTAAATAAATAAAAAAATTAAAATAAATGAAATAAATAATATGGATAAAAAATAATTTAAATTTTATTAATGAATTTCTTTCATGTGGAAATAAACAAAAAAATTATATTATATTATTATTTAAACAAAAATTTTAATTTCAGATCTTGAAAAAACAAACCCAAATATTTTTGCCACCCATAAGTCATGTCCGCAGCCTACTTTACCCTAATTTTCTACATTAATGATTCATGCTGCATGATTAGTTGATATTATTATTATAAAGTTTGAATAACGATTTAAATGTGATATTTAATAATAATAAAAGAAATTAGATAGTTTTATAAAAAATTGTAATGATTGAATAATATAAAAAAAAAATGTAAATAAACACATGTTAGGTTGGAGTTTTAATAAAAGAAAACTAAATTGTTTTTGCCTAATAAAATTGTTTCAATAAATTTATTTAATGATTTTAATTAAATAGTTTTTTTTTTTAATTTTAATATAAATATATGCTAAAATGATATTTCAGTAAAAATATAAAATAAAATAAATATAAATACTAATAACTCTATATTATCAGTAGACAATTGAGGTTGAAATATGGGCTGTGTATTGGTGTGGATGGATTGTAGGTCCAGTGTTTTCAGTCTAGCATTGGCCCATGTAATTTATAATTCTTTGTTTTTGTTGATTTCGAATTATCTACTTGATTTTGATTTGGTTTAATATTATTTTGAATTTATTTGTCATTCGGTTCCATTAATTAAATCGTAATATTTTCACGAGATATTGTTGGATAAAACCAATCGATCAAAAATATAAATTTATAATGGGTAAACTAACTTTTTAGTCAATTAGACTCTTTTATCCGTTTAGTCCCGAAGCATGTGTCTTCCAGCGTCGGAGACGCCTGCGTGGCTCGCCGGAAGCCACGTGTCCGTTAGGTTTCCCGCCAAGTCAGCGACACTTGGCGGATAAGTGGATTTTTATTTTACTTATTTTATTTTTATTCAATTGAACCAAATAAAAAAATTTAAAAAAAGGCAAATAAAATTTAAAATCAATTTGTTTAAAAAAATAAAAAAATGAAAAAAAAAAATAATAAAATCCACGAGCCAGGTCATGACAGACACGTAGCCTTCAGCGAGCCACACGGACGTCTCTAGTGTCGGAGAACTAAAACAACGAGAATTTTTCACTTATAGGACTAATTTGCGACAAGCTTCGGGACTAAAATGATAAAGGGTTATGGTTATGGACTAAAAAAAAAAAGTTTACCCATTTATAATTAACAAATTGCATAAAGATGTGTGTTTTTGTTGATTTGGGGATTTGAGTTACACTAACGATGTATTTTAATTAATTTGGAGGTTTGGGGGTTTTTTTTATTTGAGTTTTAATGTTAAATTTATGTTTCCTATAATATAAAAATATATTTTATTTGATACTGACAATCAAATTAATGAATAATAAAAAAACCTATATACATGTCCAAAGAAACACAGCCTCATGGTCTCTCCTGTAAGATAGATGGAATTCATTAACCAAAGTTTCGAAAAAAAGTAAAACAAGTTTAAATCTATTATTAGCAGTAGCTAGTGCTTATACATCGATCAAGCCTTATTTTTCAATGATTACAAATGGCTCGATCGAACAAGGAAATTAAGGAAGATAGTGTGTCTCTCGATTTTACTTTACAGGCAAAGGGTTTTTCAATTTGGGAATCACAGTAAGAGGAGTTTTTCTTACTGCTGTAAGGCCAAAGGATTCAGCCATGTCCACATCTTCAGGTTTGATTCCCTGTGGCAAAACCCAATCGAAGTGGTAGAGTAACATTGCCAATGGGAATTCGACGTTAGCTATGCCGAATGACATTCCAGGGCAAATCCTTCGACCAGAGCCAAAAGGGATGTAATCGAAATTCTTTCCAGTGTAATCGGCTGAAATATTGTTATCGAGAAATCTCTCTGGTATAAAGCTGTCGGCATCTTTCCAGATTTTGGGATCTCTTCCAATGGCCCATGCATTCACCACAACCCTTGTTTTTGCAGGTATTGTGTATCCATTGATCTCACAGGTCTCTTTGTTTTCTCTGAGAATTAAAGGCCCCGGCGGGTGGATTCGGAAAGTTTCTTTGATCACTAAGTTTAGGTACTTTAGCTCATCGAAGTCGGACTCATCGACAAATCCCTTGTCGAGAAAAATCTGTCTCACCTCATCTTGTGCCTTCTTAAGAAGGCTTGGATGTTTCATCATTTCTGCCATGGCCCAATCTGTAGTTGTCGATGATGTTTCGATTCCAGCAATGAACATATCCTATGTGCATAAGAAGATTCATACTTGTTAGTATACTCTCGTTTGTAGATAAATAAATAAATGATACGTATGCCTAACAAATTTAAGTTTTTAGGTGAGTCGATCATTAACATCATTTGACATGGTATCAGAGTCATAATTCCCGTATTGAGTATTGATCCTGTTTGAATTTTCGAGATTATCATATCTAAGAGAGTGTTAAATAACTTCTACATTGGAAAAAATGTGGAAACTGCCTTCGCTAAAGATGAAGGATCAGTCCAACTATCACAAATTTTAGATTAAAAGTCCGGATTCCTTCTAAATAATACTGATCAATGAAACTCTAGACAAAATCGAAATTACTCAACATAGTAAAACTTTGATGACAAACCTGTAGCACAGCTTTTATATTGTCATCGCTTAAGCCGAGATCATGCCCGGTATCCTTATGGAATTTGAGGAGAATATCAACCAAGTTTTCGTGTGTTTTGCCTTGAGATTTGGCTACTTTTCGACTGTCAATAATCTTCTGGAGTATGGCATCGGATAGTTTGTGCACCTTCTCCACACGACCTCTAAATCCGTCGATTGATTGCAACAAACTGATGGAGGGAAACAAATCGCCGGCATAAAATCCTGCGAGTAAATCGAAAGACTCCTTAGTTACATCTACCATTGCTGTGTGTTCATCAATCTTTCCGCCAAGCGATGCCCGCAAAGCCACATCAAAAGTCGCCAAGGAAACTTTCTCAGTCAAGTTTATCGACGAGCCTTCTTTTGAAGCTATCCAACTGCACATATCCGAAAACACTTCTTCCCTTAAGGGACGAAAAGATTTGACGCGCTTCGCACTCAGCAGCTCCATTTTGCTTACTTTTCGCAAATTTTTCCGGTATTCTCCATTGGAGAATCCTATGTCGGAGTTGTCATAAGTTATAATCTTCGATGCATAGAAAGATGGCCTATTAGCGAAGTTGATGTCATATGTCTTCATGACCTCTTTTGCTGCCTCCGGCGACGATATAACAACCGTGCTGATTTCACCTAGCCGCAAGTGCATCATCGCCCCATATTTCGACGCCAAGTCGGCTAAAATATGATGCGGTGGTCGGGAGCTGACAAGGTTGTGCAAGTTCCCGATGACCGGCAGCTTTCTCGGCCCCGGCGGAAGTTCGCCGGAACTCCGGGGACGTTTGGAGCGAGTGATTAGATTCCATAAGAATGCAAGAAATATGAGAGAAGAAAAAAGGATAATAGAAGATAAGAAATCACGATCCATAGATTAAAATCTTGAATGCAATTTTGTGCAAGTATGTAGAGTGTAAATAGTTGAAGTGAACAATTCTGCCACGCCATTGGATGAAGACATGTTGGACACTTGGGCCTCCTTTTAGAGATGGACCCGGGCCGGGCCTGAACATTATGTATTTAGTTAGAATCATGACCTAATTGTTTAGTTAAAGGAAAAACAAAAAAAAAATTGTAATTAAATTCGAAAATCTTTTTAAAATCTTATTTATTTATTTTTACATTTTATTCTTTTGTGACTAAAATTAAATCATAGCCTCCAAGCAGTGGAGTTAAGGAGTAGCTTAAAGTTTTCTACAATCAAGACATCAACAGCTCAATACTAATTTTTCTAGCTTGGTTTCAAGATTAATCTTTGTATTGTATGCAGGCCCGGCCCGGGCCAGGGCCAGGGCCAGGGCCGTAGAAGCCTTGCCCAGGGCCCATTTTTTTTAGGGGGTCCATGGGAGTCTCCAATTATATATATATATTTATATACTTAATATATAAATATATTATTATTATTATTATTATTATTATTGTTAAATATTTTAAGGAATAAATAAAATTAATTTTTAAATAAAGAATTTATTTCATATTATTTTTTAAATAAATTATGTTTATTTTAATTTTTTAATTATGTATTTATATGATTTATTTAATTGTATAATTTTTATATATTTTTGTTGTAAATTATGTAAAATTATGAAGATATGATAGAGAATAATATTTTGTGTGTTATTTATATTTATATTTTTATGGTTATATATTTAAATTTGTATATTCTACTATATTTTTTGTTGATATTTTTTAAATATTGTTAATTATATAATGAGTTTATTTTTTTATCAAAAATTCCAGTCATTTTTTCAAAAAAATTAATATATTACTTTAGAGGTTTTGATTTTAATAGTAAAATTTGGAATTGATGTGATATAAATATGTATTGATGTGATCTTTTGAATATAAAATTAGATTTTAGTATAATAAAATAAATGAAAATTGAGTGTTTGTGTTAGAAATTTGGGGGAAAATAATGAAATTGTCTTTTTGATCATTAAAATAAGAAGCAATACAAAACTAAATCTAAGTAATCTAATCTATGAATAAGATCAAATCTAGATATAAATCTACTAAATCTAAAACTGAATATCTAAAATATCTCAACAGTTTGATTTGATATTTTTGAAGGGAAAATAAAATTGGAATAGTAAAAGCAGAAATAAAATTTTAAAGTAAACAGAGCCAAGTATTTTTTTTACTATTTACATAATTTGTTATACATTATATCAACAACATTTCTTCAAACCAAAATATAAAACAAAACATCCTAAATAATAGTTATGTTTGAAAATTTCTTTAAAGATTTTGACTATTTAAAAAAAAATTTCTTCAAACAATATTAAATCATATATTTTTTTTTTGGATTTTTTATATTATACTAAAACTATACATTAATTTTATTTATATTTTGATGTTTCAGTATATAAAAATTAATTTTATTTTAACATTTACATTAAAAATATATAAAATTATTTTTATTATTATACTAATATAAAAATATATATTTAGGGGCCTACTATTTCAATTTCGCCCCGGGCCTAAAAAGAGCCAGGAACGGGCCTGCCGGGAATGATCCGCATATGCTCAAAGTCTAAGCATGCGAAGATGAGAGAATTTTGAAATGAACATAGATCTTATGAACTACGTACTATCTTGGCATCGAGGTGAAACAAATTAATAATGGAAATTTAATTCATCGCCAATGGTGTTGTCCGAGAAACTACCAGTAAATTTGCGATGGAGAATTGCAAAGCCATTGACACCCTTATCGCAGCTAATAAGAAAATTTTAAAAATTGATGATGGCACAAATGTCGATCCCAAATTATTTCAAGAGTTTTAGTTGGTAGCGTAGACACTAAAAATATATGTTTAAAATCAATTAGATATCATATATTTTGGAAGAAAATAAAATTTCAATAAAATAAATATATGATATTTAATTATGCACATATGTTAATTTTTGTACAATAAATATCAACCATTAATGCAAAAATATGCTTAAAATGGAAGATATCGTGCAAATATTACGTGCATAAATAGAGCAATAATAAATTTGGCAACAAAATAAATTAATCTTGTCAATAAAGGAAGTATATAAATTAATATCTTCCAAACAAAGGCAATAATATAAAGATCTTGTCAACAAAGGAAATATATAAATTAATATCTTCCAAAAAAGGCAATTATATAAAGATTTTGGCGAGAAAGGAAGGTGCACAATCAAATCCGTCAATAATGAAAAGCAGCATCTGATAGAAAATGAAAAATTATAAAATCTTTCTATACACGTGGCACCATCCGAAAAGGAAGCCAAGACCACCAATCCCCTATAAATAGGAGACATGGCCAATTCATTTGAGACACCGAAGTTCATTTGAAGACTCGCGCAGGGGTAAGTCTCTCTAGACTCTCTGGAATGTTCTTTATTATTATTCGTGTCCTTCGAAGCGTTCTTCGTCGAAAAGTCACCGATTTGGACAAATGATCCAATATTGGTTGGCGAATCGATGGAGTTAACGTTCTTCGTCGTATGTTCGAAATGGAGGAAAAGGAAAACCAAAGATCAAATCCGCGGATCGTTTAAAGAGGACATTAAATCCAAAGCTTAGGATCAATTCACCCGTACGGAGACCAAAGCCCTCCAAAAGCGACAAAGACAAATCAAAGATCAAAGTTGCGGATCGTCCAAAGAAGATATCAAATCCAAAGTTGAGGATCAAATCGCCCACATGGAGACCGAAGCTCTCCAAAAGGCGGAAAAGGCAAATTAAAGATCAATGTTGCGGATCATCTAAAGAAGACATCAAATCCAAAGCCGACGATCGAATCGCCCACGCGGAGACCAAAGTCCTCCAAAAGCGGCAAAGCCAAAGCAAATGTCAAAGTCGCGGATCGTCTAAAGAAGACAACAAATTCAAAGATGATGATCAAATTGCCCACGCGGAGACCAAAGTCTTCTAAAAACGGCAAAGCCAAAGCAAAAGTCAAAGTCGCGGATCGTCTAAATAAGACAACAAATCCAAAGATGATGATCAAATCGCCAACGTGGAGACCGAAGTCCTCCAAAAGCGGCAAAGCCAAAACAAATGTCAAAGTTGCGGATCGTCCAAAGAAGACAACAAATCCAAAGATGATGATCAAATCGCCAACGCGGAGACCAAATCTCCAAAAGGCGGCAAAGACAAATCAAAGATCAAAGCTGCGGATCGTCCAAAGAAGACATCAAATCCAAAGTTGAGGATCAAATCGCCCACACGGAGACCGAAGCTCTCCAAAATGCGGAAAAGGCAAACTAAAGATCAAAGTTGCGGATCGTCTAAAGAAGACATCAAATCCAAAGACGATGATCAAATCGCCAACGCGGAGACCAAAGTCCTCCAAAAGCGGCAAAGCCAAAACAAATGTCAAAGTCGCGGATCGTCCAAAGAAGACAACAAATCCAAAGACGATGATCAAATCGCCAACGCGGAGACCAAATCTCCAAAAGGCGACAAAGCCAAATCAAAGATCAAAGCCTCGGATCGTCTAAAAAAGACATCAAATCCAAAGCCGACGATCAAATCGCCCGCACGGAGACCAAAGCTCTCCAAAAGCCGACAAAGTCAAACCGAAAACCAAACTTCTTCGGATCAAAGAAGCCATAAAAAACTAAGTTGGAAAACAAATCGACCCGAAAAGAGAATCAAATGACCCATTTAGAAAATAGGACCCGTTTTAAATTCAAATCAAATATAATTTGTATAAATTTTATATTTATTAAAAATAACATAATTTTTTGTCCCTGCCAATACTTATCCTGTACAAGACTTGGTATTGTATTTGGAGTAGGTTTTAGGACACATTTCATGGAAGCACCTACTACCATTTTGAAGGTAAAAAATGGATTCTTCGATACTCGTCCATGAGATACTCTGTCTTATTCGCATAGAATTCGAAGAACCAAACATTTGTAATGCTAAGTTTAAACCTTCAACAAAATGTGTGTTCGATGTCTTTTGGTTGTGGAGCCTAATCGAGGAAGTTCACTTCCACGAGAAGACACAGCTAAAATATTTTCGGACAAAGGATAAGTTATATGTAGCAAATACCAGAAAATTGTAAAAAAATATTCTTATGTATACTTCATTATCACTATTGTCCTGTATTTATTTCTCTAGCAAAATATATCTTACATGTTTGCAAAAGTCGTTATTTCTGTACTTTGCCCGTGCGTGACGTTGACACCACATGCTGTTACGCACGGCCAAATGATAGAAATAACGAATTTTGCAAATATGTAAGATATATTTTCCCAATAAAATAAATACACAAAAATAATACCCTCCGTCCCACTTACCGTGTCTGCTACATTGTAGACACAATATTTTAGGACGGTGTAATTAATAGATAATTACGGATGTATTAGTGAAAATAATTATCCTATAATATAAATAATTATAAATTAAGATTAAGATAATTAATTAGTTTAATTAAAATTAAAAAAAATTAAAAAGTTTAAAATGAGATTAAAGTGTGTAATCATTTTCCAAAAAAAGGAAAGTGACATAAAATGTGAGACGGACAGAAACGGCAACGTGGACATGGCACGTGGGACAAAGGGAGTAATTAGGTACACATGAGGATATTGTTTGCAATTTACATTACTACATGCTATCTAATATGCTAAAATAAATTTCTTAAAATCATAATAATAATAATAAAGAAAATAAGTGGATACACATAAAAAACAAAAAAAAATAAAAAATAAAAATAAAAATAAAAAATCAAGATAAGGATATCTTTATCAAAGAATTTTAAGCATGAAGACTTTTCTCGATTTTAAAGCGTCATCGCTTGCGATTAATGAGAGGGTGCTGGAAGTAAGTTTGAATTAAAAGGGGTTGATTATTTTATATGTATTTAATAGCCAATTAATATTATTATTTTT